CCTCTAACTGTTACATACAATTACAGTTTTCTACATAATGAGTGTCCTTGGTACAAGATTAACAAAATCAACTAAATAAAATCCAAGTTGATATGATCTGAAAACTTTTACAAAGAAAAACTGGGTTATACAATGTGTTCCTCATTTAAAACAACAACACTGAATATTACTTCAATTTAAAATTGCTCAGCATAAGGAACAAATAAACCTTTAAAACCGAATGTTTCCCTAAATACCCACATGTAGATTGTAAAACTGTCGCTGTAAAAGCTGACAAAAAATATATTCTCATTCAAAAATTACAGAAAAAAACCTAAGTAACAATTTGGGAGATCATAGCAGCACTGTTTTAAATGTTTCTGTTGCAACAAAAACATCTTGTTCTGGCAACAAGTAAATACAATATCAGATAATCATTTTGAACATCTAAGATAGTTTCAATTCCCTCATATTTCTTTTAAAAAATGAATACCTTTCAATGGTTTACCAAATATTCATGCTACAATTTAAATTCATTAAAATTATTTTTATCTAAAAGTACATAAACATGCCAAAAGCAAAACTTGGGTTTTCTGTTGTGTGTAAAAATAAGAAATACACAATATCTGTAAAGTTATTTAACCAAAGAAAATTGTCACAACCTTGGGAGTTGGAATGCATATGAATGGTGACAACACATTTATTTTACATTTACACATCACACACAAATCATAAAATGCTCATTTGCACCAAAAAAAAAAAGGCTATACATTTTCCAGACCACAATGCAGCATCTTTACCTGTCTGGACAACATATAAACACTGTATTCCTGTGTTAAAAATTGCAACTAAAAGCAAGTAGTAAATTGAAAGAATATAGTAACTTCCCAAAAAAAGAGAAAAAACTGACAAAATATATGTATAATTAACTACATAACATCCCTAGCACTTTTCAAGCAAATAATTGGAAAACAATCAAAAGTGAAATTATTATTAAGCAGAATGACTGGCTTAAATAATTTAATAAAAAAAAAAACCACAGCACACCCCAACACCAGTTATGCAGAAATGGGGGATCATGGTCTGGGTTCATTTTCCAAAAATTTGCTTCTATCTAGAGGTGCCAACAGGATTGGAACGTTCAAAAAACTTTTGTAAATGTAAAACTGAAAAATAATTCACATGCTGTAAAATTGCATGTAAATCTAAGTTATGTACAAGGTGTTCAAAACCAAGACATGATGATTATTCTTGGCAAGAGTGACAACATATCCTTCTGTGGTGATCTTTAGACCACAGCAGCGACTGACTTTGACATATGGACACTCAAACTCTCCAATGAGTGAGCCATCTCGTTGGAAAACGGCCACATGAAATCGATTGCCATGACTGTCCCCAATCAGAACATCTCCAGCATCACTGATATCAATTCCATTGGGGTAGTTGGTCAGGTTTTCACAGCCAATTCGCCTCATGAAGTGGCCATCTTCATTAAACACCACCACACAGTGACCCTACAGAACCAGAATATTAAATCAGTGGTCTAGAACTAGTAGTCTATGACATGTATATATGTAAATGAGTCACATATGTGCATTATTTTTGCGATGTTTAATCGCAATAGTTTAATTTAGTAGTCTAAATGTCCTCAGACAATCTCTTTGTCTCTATCTGAATGTCTTTTTTGCTTGATTTGCTTCTATCCATTACTTGTTCTACCTAAATAACCCTACTTTTGACACACATCTGACTGTTCTTAATATTGCAACAGGTGTAAAACTGTATATTGTAAAATTAATGTATCTCCAAGGTTGAAATGTTTTTACAAAAGGATTTTCCTTAATAACTTGTAGATTTTGTCAGTAGAAATATGTTTCTGAGAGAAAATGATACATACAACCATAATTTGTAATCCATTCAAAATTTTAAACATTTCATTCAGTTTAGATCATTTGACTGAATATCTTACTACACTTGTACACAAACCATTTTTGAGCAATATTTGCCTAAAGCATCACCAGATTAAGGAAACTTGTTGAAACAAGGGCTCTGCATCCTCTTTTAAACCATACTTCTCCAAAAACAGACAGTTGAAACTGTCACAGTGACCCACTGATGATTGTATTAAGCTACTCACTCTCATGTGGGACATAAGAATACACCCCCACCCCCAAGTATTACCCCTTATATTGTACCTGTATTAAACAACCACCTGTCTAATGTGACCAGTGAACATGATTTTCAACAATTTTTAGCGATAACGAGCAACTTTGGAAAATTATATTGTATAAATATGTATATAGAGACAATGAAGTGTTACTGAAATTAAATCACAGTTGTTTAAAGGTAAACGTAAAGTATTATTTGTTTATTAACTGATAGAAATATGCTATCAATTTCTACGAACCTTGAAGTCACAAACAAAGAACTCTTTTCCACTAACAGCAATATCTGAAGGCTCTCTCATGTAATCACTGCAGTCAAACCACTTGAGGAGGTCCCCTGCATCACCAATGACAAATACTGTTGGTGACACACTGTCAACTGCTACGATGTAACCTATAGGGTAAATATATCAAGTATCATTGTAACTACTAGCAAATTCCTTGTAACTACTAGCAAACTCTTGCAACCTTTAAATGCTAATTTGTCAACAAAAAATTCTTAGGAAGATAAATCATAAATGTAATAATTTAGTTGAGACAAGGAGATCACTCCAATACCTTGACTTGTGAGAGCCAATCCTGCCACAATGTCTATATATCTTATGGCTATCTTTCGAACAAAGCTTCCCTTTGCTGTAAATATCTGCATTCTAGATCTCTCATTACCCCTGTCACACACCACAAATTTTCCTGAGTTTCTCATCACAGCCACTTTTCTGGGATACCACAGCTGTCCCTCCTCTCGACCTGAAAACAATTACAATTAAGTTATAAAATTTTTGCTTTCTCCTCCCCCATTTGCAAAAATAATGCTGCTTGAAGACAAAGAAAGCCTGCAAGATCTGTATTATTTTTTGTGTCCGAGATAAAAAACACTTGCCACCTTACAACCTTACAACCACATATTGAACATTCACTGAAGTCCATTAATAATCATCTCACACAGTCCTAACTAAAACTTATTTGGCGGTCATTACGTCACAATGGAAAAAACATGCGTCATATCATGATGCCATGTTCCAGGTAGCTTTGGTGCAGCCAAACAGCGTGTTATGCAATATCATATTTCATGAATGCGCTTTAGTGTCACTATTGCAAAAACGTCCTTTCAGCCAATGAAAATTTAAAAAAGAATCACCTTCTATAATAAACAGTGATATTCTATGACAGCTTTATCGTAGCTGCAAATAAAATAAATTTGAATAAGAGTCTGTTGATACCACTGTATTAAACTGATAATTCTGTGTTGTCTGGCAAGAAAAAACTTTTAAAAAAAAAAGCAATTCTTTACTTTTTTTTTTTTAAATTACTTTTTCCCTGCAATATGCTCACCTGGTATTCCAAACTGGTACTTAAATTCCCCTGTTTTCTCAAAACAACATATTCTGTGGTTATTTGTATCAGCTACTACAATGTCCTCATCAATGCCAAGACAAAATCCATGTGGGGAATTGAACTGTCCTTTTCCAGGTCCAAGTTGTCCAAACTTGCATCTGAAGTAATTACATACGATTATTAAATCATTCAGTCTTAGGACAAAGACTAGGCACAACTTGTAACTACATGTACGTGTCCAACTTAAAACATTTCATTAGTGCAACTTTAAGGGCATATGAAGCCTTTAACTCATCCATTGTATAATATTTTGGACTTATTCTGATTGTGAAAGATGTGAATTATAAATTTCTAAAATAACTTTCTAATTATAACCAGAAACACAAGCCCTTTTTCTAGATATCTACAATTTTCAAGTCCTTTTTCTAGAATACAACTATCTACATTTTTCAGCTTGTAATTCCTGGAAATAAATATCTAATGCAAGGTGGGACTAATATCAGCAATATTCCCATTCAATTCGATATTTTTTTTTTTATAAGAGGAGGAATTTATTATTTTCCACTTTATTTAAAGAAAAAATTTATGAATATACATGTAATTAATTTTTTTGGGAAAAAGTCTGAACTTTAATTCTGGATAAGTTCAACTTTTTAATATTTTTTTTTATTCAAGTTAAAAAATTGATTATAATTGATTATCAACCAATTCTGTTCAGCTGATTATTATCGATAACTGATTATGACTTTTTTCTCCATTTCCAATCAGTAATATCATACCTGATCTGCATTGCACTCATTTTGTTTCCTCTTCTAACTGGAGGAAAAGGCATATTTGCAGCAGTAGCAGAGCTGAAATTTCCACTATTAAATCCACCTGCAGCTAAATTGCCAGCTGGAATTGGGAAATAAGTTTAAAGAACTCGCAAAAAACTATGGTAAAAGAGAAGATTAACATACATGAATAGATATAAATAATCTAAATATACACATACAGACTATTACATGTGTGTATGTATATGCCCTTACATTCCATGATATCCTTGCTGGAAGGATTCATACTGCCTATGGTTCCTATGGAACTAATGGATCCAATACTACCCACACTTCCCATTCCTCCAGCTAGACTGCTAGGTGGTTGCTGTAATAGGTTGGCCAGGGTTTCTAGATTAGGGGACTCTGACTGTGGGGTACTAGGGTGCAAAAGGGACCCAAAGTTAGCATCATTCTGTGAAATGGAGGGAGGGGCGGTCCCAACAGGAGTTTGTGGAAGACCTACTGAATAAAGAAAATAGAGAGCTGAGTGACAGTAGACAAATAGAGCTCTGTATTTAGTTGATAGTCATTATGACCAAATGAATATCAAGTTGAATACTTGTTCACAGTTTCAATAATTTCCAGAGAAAGCAAGTTTTTAAAATTATATTTCGATGTGAAATGCTATAGCAACATACAAGTCATAATAATATACAGAAAATTTGAGAAAATATTAGTTTCAAGTCTTCTTATTTGTCCTTTTACCTTAAATGTATATCTACTTCAAATTAAGTGGGTTATATAATGAGTATTATGATACCTGAATGGAGCTTGGCGAGGGCCGCTACATTCATCATTGAAGCACTAGAACCACTGTTGTTGCTTGCAGCATCCACAGAAATTCCACTATCTGACATTGCTGGACTGTGGGAATTCCTAGAGAGACTGGTTCCATGTTCGTGCATGGCTTGTGAACCTAAGGAAGATAAATATATTCTCTATGTTCATAATTTTCAAAAATATATTCAGATAGCTATGATTAATTCATACTTTAAAATTATCTCATTTGATCAATTTCTTATAAATGCAATGTACATACCAAAATAATATAATCAGTACTTTAGACTTGTGGGTCAAATTGTCTACGCTAGTCAATATGACCCTACTGTTCTTCAATATATTCCTATATCTGTGAACTCTGATCACTATAGTGGTGCAATTCTATCCCCAGGGGTCAATGTTTGAAACTAAATCTGTTCTACCTGATCTTCTACCATATAAATAGGACTACACATGCCTTTGTAGTCCTTAGAATATTTTTTTTTATTATTAAAATTCACATGAAATAATAATAAGCTTAGTTAGTGATATTTTAAAGTTATTCTATACTTTTAGAGGAGCTAGCAATACATGATTCAGGCTAATAAAATTGTACCACTGCTAGCTCAATTCTAATATTGCTGAAAAAAAGTTTGGTGCACACTTAAAATGAACTTGGACAGATGCCATTTTACTTCTCACTTATTCCTAATTATCTTCCCTTCAAAAAAGGATTGGGCGTTCCCTTGATCTATATATCCCTTGATCTATCATCAGTTCCCTTCACACAAGAATGCTTTGTGAAATTTTTGGTTGAAATAAGCCTTGTAGTTCTGTAGTAGTAAGATGGTATTGTGAAGAGTTTACAATGATGAAGACAACAAAATTTAATGTGTCAGAAAAGCTTTGTTTACCTGCCATTGCCGAGGCCATGGAAGCGGGGATTGTTCCAATCGGCCCTGGAGTATTACTCCTCATCGAAACAGGAGTGATAGTGCGGAAATGGCTGTGAATCATTTCTTGGGTCGAAGTCTGACGCATTATACCCTGATCAGGACTCAGTACTCCACTTGGCAGAGAAAATCCCTCATTTTCAAATGATGAATGAAGTGATGACAAGGGTCTCTCAAGCTGTGGCTAAAATTAAATGTGCAAAAATTTCTTTAAATAATTTTTTAAAAATGAAATAAATTATATGTGTTGCCATGATTACATGTTCAATAGGCACAGTGATAAAAAATGTTCTAATTGATTTAAGTTCAAATGATTGTCATACCTTTGGCTCCTCTTTGACAAAGGAACCAAATGTCTTGTCAACTGCCTTTTCAAATGCATCGGCATCAGAGTGGAAATCCAGATTGATGTGGATATCTGGCTTAGGTGTATTGTTGATTAGGAACATCAGTTGTTTGCTTATCATTTTTTTCATCAGAGCAAAATGCAAACCAGTACCATGTTGTAACAGCAAGTCAGTATACTTGCATCCATCTTCAATTTTTTCTGATGTTTTCTCTACACTGTGGAAGAGATCCATAATGGCAAGTTCTTGGCGAGAGTGAAGATCTTCCAGCTCTTCAAGCATAGCATCCTACAGTGGAGAAAAATGCAAACCATTTGCTTTGAAATCAGCTGCTGTCAACTTTCCTAGCTCAAAAATTGCATTTGTATGATAACAGATGGTGAAGTCTTAAATTTATATATTTCTATTTCTATTTGTTTCCTCTGTAACAACTCTTTGAAAGTTAGGTGAGTTGATTTCACTATCAATCAACCAGAATGTAAATTTCACCAAACAAAAATTCAGAAGCTAAGGATGCCTAATATGCATGTAAATCTCATGCTGCTGGCTCTGTGTCTCACGTCAGTGGGTGGGGAGTATTGAAATTGACATAGGAGAGCTCATTTAAATCTAATAGCTGAACATTTTTTTCCTCTAAACTTATAATTTTATTTCACAATGAGTATGATATGAGACTGTCTAATTGGTTGGGTATATCAGGGATATCAACGACAGTTGGAAACATGGAACAATTTATGCACAACCGGTTTCGACTGTTATGCAAATTATCCCATGATTCCAACTATTGATGATGCCCTGGCATCCCTAACTTGCACAACAATTCCTTAAATATTGTCTTACCCATTTCCTTATTCTGTGACAACAAAAAGATAAACGCATACCTTTTTCTTTTCCAGCATAGCTTTATAACTTTGGAATGTTTCCTGAATCAAGCCTTTTGCATTGTCTCGCTGCATCTGCAGGTCATTCAGGCTACTTTCCAGGGTTTGGTGTGCTTCTTCACAGACGGCCACCTTTTTCTTGCTTTCTTCCAGCAATAGGGTCAAGTCTTCTTTCAGCTTCTTCTCCGTTTCAGTGACATTTTCACATCTGTGTTCTGGTGGCTGATGCATATTCTTCATACAATCACTACACACTGCCTCCTGAAATTTTTTTTCTTTACATTTTATTCCATTTAATTACAAAATGCCCAGAAATTTCAATTACTATTTGAGTACTTGACCATTGCACATTATACCAATACTAATCTGCAGATGGTCCATTTTTTAAAAAAATCTTTGACTCTTTACCGATTTTAATCCAATTTTGCATTAACCTAATGAGAAATAATGGAAAGGAAAAGTTTTAAAAAGGTGTATGAGGATAGAATAGTCTGCAAAATATTTAATATTAGATTGGAGTTCAAGTATTGCGACGGTAGCCCGATTGTTCAAGCATTCTAAATGGACATGCAAGTTAAACTGGATTGAGAAAAATCATTAAAGAGTACCCCATTATTGCTCAACTATAGGCCCTGATCATTCCACTAGCCATCTAAGGAAAACAGACATCCGGAATTGCAAAATACCTACCCATATAACAGTTACACAAATATTTAAGATACGATAAATCAGGCATGATAAGCTACAATCCTAATTCAAATTTATATATGACACTCACCTGACAGGTATAACAGTAGAATTTGACATGTTCTGTAGGGTGGCTGATACAAAATATGACTTTGTGTGCCAAATTGCGACCTCCTTCTTTCATGTCCTCAAACAAAACCACCTGTAAAGGAAGAAGATAATAGCCACATGCCAAGTCAAAAATTTCCCCCTTAAAATATAACAAATCTATGGGCAATATTTTGGACTTTCAGTTGGTAACAACTTATATATTTAAGTCATATTGATCTGTCCAACAGCGGCCTATAGTAAAACGACAAATAAAGCCTCGCTCAACAAGAAAACCTAGATTATAGGGAACAAATTTTTTAAAAACTCACAGAGGACCTTTCCACATATTTCTTATTTTGATATTAATAATCTTGGTTTGAAGTAAAAGGTCAAAGTGACCTCCTTCCATATATTTATGACTTATTCTGATATTAATAATCTTGGTTCTAAATTAAGAACACATGGTCCAGTTCCCCACAAATATCCTTTATTTGACCAATTCAGCAGTAATACCTGATTAACTTTTATGTATTACAACCCTGCCATGATCGTTTTTATTCTAATTCGAATTTCCTCTGTCAAGGGTTAGAGATCTTTAGATAGCTCATACGTAGATTCAGTTGGGAAAATATTTAGGTAGCTCATACGTAGATTCGATTGGGATTTTTTTTTCAAATGATCATTGGACTTGAGTAACCATAATGAGTTGTTTCAGGAAAGATAAATATGCATTGAAAGTGCATATTAAATTTAAGAAGATATTTGATACAGTGTATGTTGTATAAGTCAAATATGAAGGAAAAAATGCATGTAATTGTATAAATAGATACCTATATTACAAATAAAACTATAAATATAGTAAACTTGTCCATTTCACTCTGAATTGAATTAAGGTTAAAATTTCACAGTTTCATTGATGTATTGATTTAAAGTTCTGGTATAAATTGTTTGGTCTGGTAAAAAAATTATTTTTACCAGACATTTGGTCCTGTAAAAATTTTTAACTTTCGCGTAGACTGGATCAGAAGCTGAAGTTTGTCATTTTGTGTTTTGTCAGCAAATGTTCTATTTCCGGCTAGTAAGAGAACTCTCCTTACCTCATGATTATCAAAGCACCTCATGAACTGATGTGCTGTGACACAATTTCCACAGAGGTAATTTCCACTGATACAATCCCTGCAGCGGGCCACCGCCTCTTCCTTGGCCTTGCAACTGTTACACAGAATCTGCTTATCTTCTATGGCGGCCATTTCCAAGAAATCGGAAATGACATACTCTGGTTGCAGACTGGTAATTCCCCCTGATGGGATTTTCGTGTCCTGTTTACAAATGGAACAGGTCAGGGAATCTTGTTGATCTTTTGCCTCTGCATACTGATTTTCCAGACAAGTCTGGCAGAAGACATGAAGACAGCTAAGTATTTTAGGTTGTTTGAGCTTTTCTTCACAGATTCTACAGGTGTGTTCCTCATCGCCCTCTAGGGTTATGTTTGGCATGGGAGACACCTCTCTGGACTGTTCTGGAGATGCTTCGGGGGACATTTCTTTTGATGCCATGGCTAACCTACAAAGAAAATTTAAACATTTTGAATCATAATTACAATTTAAAAGCAGCGTGTCTAAAAAAAAAATGTTTCTTGAAGTAAAAAATTTCCAAATCAAATTTGGTCAGAACCTTGAGACTCTACCTTTACTAATATGTCTCCTTAAAAATTTTTTTAATTTGACACCAGAAAATTGGCTATAAACAGAATGATCCTAGGTTTAGGCTCTTTGTGTGGCAGGTTTGATAGTTATCTCACTCATAAATGTAAAAATTAAAAAAAAAAATTTTTTAATAAAAATAGTGCAGTCTACATATGTATCAAATTGGATTAAATTGCAGGATGAGTAAGATTTTAAAATTCCTCTGTTTTTAAATATAGATAGCTGGACAGATTGAACTTAAAAAGCCAATGTTTATACACTCTTGTTTGCAAATATAAACAATTTCATTATTTTGTTAACTGCTTTATTGTTTACTTTCTTTTTTACTTTTTCATGTGAAAAATTGCAAGGTCCACATTTTTTGTTGGATTAAACACAGTATCTGCATTTTGTAACAGAATTAATTGTCAAAATTTTCAAAAGAAATTGACACAATTTATTTTCTTTTATCATAGATTCAGATGATTTTAACATACAATACCATCATACCTCTGATCTGATGCAAAAACACAACTAAACGGTAGGTGGACTTAACAATACGCAGGGCTTGCAGGCCATGTGCTCTGACTAGATCCACAGATCATGAAGTCGTTTATCAGTATAGACATCCTATACAGCTACAATTGACATCCTTCCTGACAGGAAAATTATTTCCTGTTCTCATCAAGAGATACAAACACCCAATGTCCTGAACTGCTTACAAAAATGCAGCCATGCATAACACATTTGATAAACAGTCATTTCCACTCTACTTGATCCATGTATCTTTGACCTTGACCTTCATTCTTGTACTAACACTTGCTGCACATCTATTATCTTCATTTTTCAGTGTTTATCAATGCTAAAGCTATATAAATGAACTGTTATGCAGATGAAAATAAATTCAAGCTAAGCAAGAACTCGTAATGAACATCAATTCCGCGAAATTTGGTCGACACAATTTGCAATGGTCGACAGTCATGCGCAAGAATAAATACCTTTATGAATACCGAATAGACATATATATCTTTCTTAAATATAGCTTAATGTCTGGTTTGGCACAACCAGATACATTTACATTCTTATTACATATCTAATTACCCCACATTAAACTTCCTTTTCAAAACCATGCAGTTCTAGACCTCCATAAAAAATCTGTGCCCCAGACGTCATCAATGATTCGCCTCGTGGGGGTCACGAGCAATTTACCAAACAGTTCACATTAAGCTAACGATGTTGCAAATATTTTCAAGTAGTCCAGGACATGCATTATTTTTTGTCATTTTGGTTTGTGGATAGCGAGGGGGCGTCTCCATAACAAACTTTGCACCCTCGTCCTTGCTAGCATGTGGTGTAACGAAAGTGCAATCTAAAACATGGACAATACAACGAGATCGTGGAAATCCATAAATTGTTTACTCACGTGGAATGTGTTGATGTTCTGGCACTTAATATTTTGTCGAGTTTAGCTTGTATTTTATGGAAAATATGCCATTTATGCGAAGAGCCTTCCCGCCATGTATCGTCCCTACATCAAGAATCGCAATAAAATGTATTTAGCAATGCGCATGTCCTTAACAATGGCGGGAGTTCTCGAACTTCGTGCAGCAACACCCCCCTTTTTTTATTCATTGAACACACCTTAATATTTCATGTTACTAGTTAACATGGTTAGGCGAAATCCCTTTCTCACCCAAAATTGAAACACTACAAATAAAAGTATTTGGTGTATAATATCGCTGATATTTTAAATGCAGTGTAACGGAGAGAAAACCCGTGGGTTCCGACGATGATGTGGCGAAAGTCATACAAACAGTATTCAAATATATAATCACATAGATTTTTTTCTTGTTAACCTTTGAAATGCATTATGGGTGAAATTACAAATATTTTTGACATCTTCTGGATTGGGAATTTTATAAGGTTTATAAATATTGTTAAAAGTTTACAATATTTACTTTGCAGCTGTTTGCAATATTCCTAAAGAGAAAATAATGGGGGAAAAAAAATGAGAAATCATAATAATATCAAAAAATGGGGGAGGGCAGTCAGAGAATTTTTTTTTACTTATCGGAAAAAGTTGACAATTAAGCAAACAAAAAAAAGAAACATTACCCAAACTTGAAATGCCTATTTCGTGGGGGGTAGAGGCCAAGTTTTTTCAAGGCCAACTTTCATTACCATTTTTTTGCATACAATACTACATATCCCTAATATTACTTTACTGTATTAAATATTGGGGGGGGGGGGGGGGCAGCCTTTCAAGGTACTGGTACATTTTCAATAGTAATAGTAATGTTGGGAAAAAAGTGTCCCCCCCCCCCCCCCCCCCCCCCCGTTGCTACGTGCCTGTATCTTCAACAACAGTATGACAGTTTACACTTATAATACCTTTCATCCCTGACCCTTGAAAACAATTACATAAGAGTATCTTTCAACATCTAGCTGATAGATATTGATGAGAGGTACCCAACTACTTTTTTTTTATCTTGACCATTCCTTTAATATTGACCATACTTTTCTTTAATTAGTGTTTAGCTCAGTTTTAAAGAAATCATTCAAGATAGTGGAATCAAACTTCATAAGCTGATACATACTAATGTAAGCTATTCAACTGCATCAGCAATGTTTGCCCTTGCATTTCCCTGTGACCTTGAACTCACTTTTCTTAAATTAAAGTATTGCACTTTTAAATAAACCATTCAGGATATTTTTATCAATCTTAATATGTTGAAACACATAAGAAAAAGCAATTCAACTGCATCAAAAACTTTTTGAGCTTATACTTTCTCTTTCCTTGACTTCACTTTTCTTTAATGTACATTTTGATAAGCTTTTAAGAAACTTTCATGATATTTTCATCAAACTGAATATGCTGATACATACTGATAAGGATATTCAATGTACTGATGTAAGCTATTCAACTGCATCAACATTATTTTATCGTGCACTTCCCTGTGACCTTGACCTCACTTTTCTTGAAATATATTTTGCTCAGTTTTAAATAATTCATTCAATTTACAATCATTTTGTGCAAACCCACTCTGAGCTCTGAATCATGGCTGATTCAAGAATCTATCCTTGAACTATTGATAAATTTGAAGTTTATTTTCCTCAATTGAAATTGTTTTACTTTTGTAATAGGACAAAAAATACAATAGACAAGACCAGGATTCAAAGCTGTGCCCCCTGCTCTACCAGTCAGGTCTACCACAGAGCTATCAGCAAAACAACCTGTGACATTTCTCCTTCGTTACAGTCCTTCAGTTTCTGAAGATATTTATCCAAAATCTTTCCTGACAGGCCTTTCACTGGCATTATTGAAAACAAAACTGTTGAGAGGTACATTTTATGTACTTGAATAAAAAAAATTATGTACAAATGTGAATTTTGATATTTCTTTATACTAAGATAAATATATGTTTCTTTTTACAAGAACAAATCACCATTTCAAGCTGACCAGCTATACTGCTTTTTATAGATTTGAAAGCACATTACAGTATAAAAACAAGGTTATATTAAACAAACACACATTTTATAACAACTGATCCTTACAATGAAGTGATTTTCATTCCACATATGCATGACTTTAAAATATATCATAAACTTATAATTATTATTATAACTTATTGATTATATAACAAATAATGCTATAATGAAGCAAAATAGTCCTTCCCTGCATTTCGTTATTATGGGTGTTTTACTGTACATTGTATGTTTTCAGTAACAATGCAAAATGTATATCATACACTGACATACAGATATCAAATTATGCATTAGCATGGTTAGAAATTATACCAATAAAACATAACAATTCTTAGCAACAAAATACACAGAAATACTTTTTTTTCTTCCATTTTAGTGTCCTTTTGAGATCTTACCGTAACCTGTGTTTGTGATGTGAAAAAAACTTTGTCATCATGTCCTTTTTAAAAATTGATTCATAATTGGACAAAATCAGATCTGTCTGCCTAGATTTTATAAACCTTGGCATCAGAGTAGTGACCAAGTCCAGACAAAATTTTACTATGCCTACAATTGTAACTTCAAAATTGAGGCCATTGAACTACGCGATATATGCAAAACATCCAAGTGAAGAATAAAGATACACCTGCTGAAAAGTTTGACAATCCAATGAATTATCATACATGTAAGTCAAACAACCTATGGTTTAGATAAATTTAAATATGCAGTTGACAAAATTTCCTTAAGTAAACACATAATGCATTTATTAATACATAATGCATTTATTAATGCGATTTAGCTAGGGTAAACTATCAAGCCTTTTTGGAATTTATAGACAAATAACACTTTAAGGACCGGTTCGCTACATCAAATACGCGAATAAAAGTTGGTTTACAGTACTAAAATATAATATCAATGTATTTAAATTTCACCATTATTTTTCTTTTTACTGAAGTCTACAAAACTGAAACTCTTTCCTCTACATGTAACACATAGTACACCCTGTCCCTATAATCCTCACTTTCAACTTCCGTCATGTTATCAGATACAGAACTCCAACCAACATGGGGGAAAGGGTTTTCTTCTGTTAACACAATCTTCATGGTTTCTGATGTATTCTGAACCTGTTTGGTGAATTCCATCTGCCATAAACATGGAGCTGAGTTTTCAATCATGGACTTGACTTGAGAAGTGGGTACAGGAAAATCAAACAAGTGCTTCTGGTCAAGGGAGTTATTTTCATAGTACTTCAACATCTGGATGGCAATGAAATTCAGGGTTTGCATGGATAATTTTAGAAACATCTTTAGCATGACGGACATTTCCAGAACATGATGTAGCTTCTCCAAAGCAGCCAGTCTCTGTGTGAATGGTCCCTCCGTCCCAATGAATGACTCAATGTTTCCAAGTACAACCAGTTCATTTGACAAGAAAGCATGCACATAATCTTGTCGCAGTTTCTCCAGCCCTATTTCAGCTAACAGTTGAATGGCATAAGATCCCCCAGCTAAGTTTGGCATTCTGAGTTTTCCTCCACATGCCTCCCTTACCATCTGAGCAATGACAGTATTATTCTTTCTGTGTACCATAGGATAAAACTCTCCATTACTCAAGACAGCAAATACAAACTTTAGAGCTTCTTCGAGCTCACTGTATGACGTACACTGTATGAGGATGTTCCATAAATGGTCTGTAAAATCCAGATCCTTCCGTCGATCAAAAGACAGGGAGTCCAGTCCTAAGATGTCGGCCACATCATTTTGTGGGGTTTCTTTCTCACCTTTAGCTGCATCCCCAAGTTTTAATTTTTCAATTTGCATTTTCAACTGCTCCAAGACAGAAACATCACTTTCGTTGGCCAACCATAGAATTTCTCCGGACTCCAAACCTACAACACAGTAACAAGAACTATAAATTCAAGGTACACAGTTCTACCAAATAATAAACAAAAGCTTCAATAAATGATATGAGCTAGTATGAAGTTCCAAAACTTGAATGAAACACATAATGAAAGGCACAGTGCACTTTAATACATAAATTAATTGCAAAAAAATCTTCACATCAAAATGTCTTACATATGAGGACATTTAAATGTGGAAAACTTTATAAATAATGGAATCAAAATTTCTTGGCATTATACAAATCCAAACATTAATTTGAAGTGGTGGAAGAAATTGTAAAATAACAGGCAAAACTCTTTGGGATAAAAGAAACTATGCACAACAGTTTAAGAGGAGTGGTGCTAACAAACTGTTCATCTCTATATTCTAAATATGGCCAAAAAGTCTAAGTTGGAAAGTGTGGAAATTGCACACAAAAATAAAGGAATGCCATTTCCTGGTAATATGCACATCTTCATATTGTGTCCTAAATATATATATAGTTTGAAAAAATTCTGTGCATTTATGAGGATTGCCTTACAAAATGTTCATCTCTATATTCAAGGTATGGCCAAATGCCTAAGTTTAAAAGTGCGGAAATTCCCGGAAAAAATAATTATTAATTTCCTTAATATGCAAACACATATGTGTCCTAAATACCTTTTATAAAATTCTGTGCAGCGGTTTATGAAGTTGCGCTGACAAACTGTTCATCTCTATATTCAAGGTATGGCCAAATGCCTAAGTTAAAAAGTATCTACCATCAAAAAAAAAGGAATCGGAATTTTAATATGCACATCTACACATTGTGTCCTAATACCTGCAAAGTTTGACAAAATTCTGTGCAGCGGTTTATGAGGAGTTGCGCTGACAAACTGTTCATCTCTATATTCAAGGTATGGCCAAATGCCTAAGTTAAAAAGTGATTCCCGGAAAAAATAAAGGAATCGGAATTTCCTGGTAATATGCACATCTACACATTGTGTCCTAAATACCTGCAAAGTTTGACGAAATTCTGTGCAGCGGTTTATGAGGAGTTGCGCTGACAAACTGTTTATCTCTATATTCAAGGTATGGCCAAATGCCTAAGTTAAAAAGTATAATTTTAATTTCCTGGTAATATGCACATCTACACATTGTGTTCCTAAATACCTGCAAAGTTTGACGAAATTCTGTGCAGCGGTTTATGAATTTTTTGACAAACTGTTCATCTCTATATTCAAGGCATGGTCAAATGCGTAAGTTAAAAAGTGAGGAAATTCCCGGAAAAAATAAAGGAATTTTCCTTGTGTATGCACATCTACACATTGTGTCCTAAATACCTGCAAAGTTTTTTTGCGGTTTATGAGGAGTTGCGCTGACAAAAAAAGAGGACTGACTGAATTGACTGACTGACTGACGGACGGGTCAAAAACATTTAGCAACTAGTTGCGTGGGGTATAAATATCACTGTATGAAGTTCCACTTCAATACTCCAACCCCAATTAAATTAATGAGTAAAAGATGTAAATAGAAATTTCATTTACAAACTTTATTTAACAATCCTCCCCAAACTACAAAAAGTAACATGGAAGAAAATGTAAAATTAGACAGAATTAAATTCAGGTCTGACTCTGAGGAGACATTTTTTGATGAGTCTGTAGCTAAATGGTCTGAAAAAAAAAAAAAGAATGGATGACCAGAGATCTGCAATGCCACCGATTAGAAAAAGTGCATATTTTTTGCACACAAAAAAGTGTGCCATTTCTCAATTGGTAATTTTCTCAGTAAACTATTATATATATATATTTAAAAATATTACTGACAGCATGTGTTCCTTACATTCTAATTTTTTGACCAGCCAGCTACAGGTCAGCAGCTATAATTTCAGAGAATTCCAGAAAACTAACGTAATTTTAGCAATTGTGTTGTCATTATAAAGTGTCACACCCTTCATTTTTTTTGTCGTCACTGTACCAAATAAGTGGAAATTTGAGCGAGATGCAAATTTAGCAATTTGTCTTTTAAAATTTTTTTATTTTTAGCGAGATGTAATTTAAGCGATTTTAAAATGCTCACTAAGTACCTTTTGAAAATAAAACGCAATTAATTTTTAGCGATTTAGGTATTGATATGTAACATTTATGGTCCAAATAATGATACACCACTTTTCTTTGAAAATTTACAAAAATATATTGATGATATGCAATGTAGAAATATTATTTTGTGTGGAGATTTCAATTTAGTTTTGAATCCAGATTTGGACTATTATAATTATAAATCTGTGAATAATCCAAAGGCAAGAGATAAAGTTTTGGAAATAATAGAAAATAATTGTTATATTGACCCTTTCAGACAGCTTCACGAAAAAGAGCGTCGATATTCTTGGAGAAGTGTGCCATTGAAGCAAAGCCGTTTAGATTTTTTTTTAATATCTGAAACCCTTTTGTCAGGATTGGAAAAATGCTCTATAGATACTAGTTATAGATCAGACCATTCCATAATATCCTTGTCTATAGCTTTTAATGAATTTAAGAAAGGTAGGGGGTTATGGAAGTTTAATAACTCTCTACTTCATGATGAAAATTACTTAGATTGCATTAAAAATGTAATTTTAGAGGTTAAGAAACAGTATGCAATCCCAGTATATAACTTTGACAACATAGATAATATTCCAGATTCCAATTTTTATTTCACTGTTAATGATCAGCTATTTTTAGAAACTCTGCTTTTAGAGATAAGAGGTAAAACTATTTCATACGCATCATATATCAAAAAGAAAAGAGAAAACAAAGAGAAAGTTTTAATAGAAAGTATCAAACTATTAGAAGAAAATGTTGAAAGTAATATTGATGAATTATATAGTAAAAAGCAAGAATTGGAGAACATTAGAAAGCATAAATTGCAAGGTAATTATATCAGGAGTAGAGCAAAATGGGTCGAAGAAGGCGAAAAACCAACACACTATTTTTGTGCATTAGAATCCAGAAATTTTACTAGTAAGATTATACCTAGATTGGAGGATAATAGTGGTAATATTATTTATGATCAATCAGAAATTTTAAAAGAAGCAAAATTATTTTATGAACAACTATATAGAACTAGTACAGTAAACCCAAATACTGATCTATTCAATGAATTAAATAATGAAGAAATACCAAAGCTTTCTAGTAAGGAAACAGAATCTATAGAAGGTGAAATTACTTTGGAAGAAGCCTCAGAAACACTCTACAAAATGAAATCTAATAAATCTCCAGGTTCTGATGGTTTTTCTGCTGAATTTTTTAAGATGTTTTGGAAATATATTGGTCCCTTTGTAGTTAGATCTATAAATTACAGTTATAGAAGTGGAAGTCTCTCTATTACACAAAGACATGGCATTATTACACTTTTACCAAAAGGTGATAAGCCAAGACAATACTTAAAGAATTGGAGACCAATCACTTTGTTAAATACTATCTATAAAATTGCATCGGGTACTATAGCAAATAGAGTAAAAAGATACCTTGACAAAATTATTAACAAAGATCAAACAGGTTTCATCTCTAATAGATATATAGGTGAAAATACAAGGTTAATATATGATATAATGCATTATACGGAAGAAGAAAATATACCTGGGTTATTATTACTTATTGATTTTGAAAAAGCCTTTGATACTTTGTCCTGGAATTTTATTCAAGGAGCACTTAAATTTTTTAACTTTGGTCCCTCAATTAGGAATTGGGTGTCACTTTTTAATACGGACATTACATCTGCAATAAATCAAGGTGGTAATCTTTCTGAAAGAATTAACATCCAGCGGGGTTGCAACAATTGGGGACATTATCCCCTTATATATTCATTATATGTGCAGAAATACTAGCAATTCAAATTAGATTAAACAAAAATATTAAAGGAATAACTGTGAACAATACTGAAAAAAAGATTTCTCAATTAGCTGATGACACTTCTCTTATTCTTGATGGTAGTAAAGAATCCCTTGCGGAAACATTAAAAACATTAAAGAGTTTTTCAGAAATGTCTGGCTTACATATTAATTATGCCAAAACTCATATAGTATGGATAGGCTCCAAAAAGTATAGCAATGAAATATTACTGCCAAATTACAATCTTAACTGGGGAACTACTAGATTTACCCTTCTAGGAATACATTTTGATGTGGAATTGGATAAGTTACTATATTTAAATTATGATCCCAAGCTAGTACAGATTAAATCAATACTTAGACAATGGGAGAAAAGGTACCTAACTCCAATTGGGAAAATAACAGTCATTAAGACATTAGTTTTACCTCTATTAAATCACATTTTAATGTCAATACCAAATCCCACTGAATCATACTGCAAAGAATTAGACAAAATATTCTTCTCATTTCTATGGAATAATTCAATTCATAGGGTTTAAAAAAGAAGTTATTATTAAAAATTATGAAGATGGGGGATTGAAAATGTTAAACCTAAAGTCTTTTATATCATCTATGAAATTATTTTGGATAAGACAGCTCATTTTTACAAATAGGGGTATGGAACATCTCATTCCAAATTTCAACTTAGACAAATTTATAAATTGTGGAATTGACTATGTCACAATCTATCTGAAGACTTTGAAAAATAAATTTTGGATAATTTTCAAATCCTGGATAATACTACAAAATCATGAGATAGTTTGAGGTTGCTGGTGACTCACCTCTGTTTTACAACCCAATGAAAAACCCTTTTAAATAAACAAATGTTTAACAACAACATTAGAAGAGTTAATGATATTATCAATGAAGTGTTCTTTTCAAATTTTGAATCTTTTTGTAATACCTATCCCATGATTAAGATGAATTTTTTAGAATATAGTAGTATTATTCATGCTATAAAATCTTGGATAAAAAATTCTGGCCTTGACATACCTATTAAAAAGCTAGAAAACCCATTAATTATGAGAATTATCTACAAGGTGATGAAATGTCACAAATTCAAATGTTTTTATGAAATTCTTAACCATAACTCCTCAATGTCAACAGGTAAAACAATTAAAAATGTTACAGATTGACAATAAAGAATGGAAAAAATTCCACAAAATACCCTTCAGAGTGACAAAAGACTGTTCCAATGGTTTCAATATAGAATTATAAAAGAGAAAGGGTACAAATTCATTTTTATTTCAAAATTAACAAAAATGACTCTAAATACTGCAACTTTTGCCTCTCAGAAGAAAAACAATAGAACACCTTTTATGGGAATGTGATTATACACAATCATTTCTAAAAATTTGTAATTTTTCTATTGAAGATAAAAACAAGACTGGTCTAGTCATTAATATTACAAAAAAATCTTTTATTTTAGGTTACATTGAGAATAATACTGATATTCAAAATACTATTGCCCTTTGGCTGAAATATTATGTTTACACATCAAGATGTACTAAGAAATCTTTGAATTTATGTGCTGCAATATCACAAATGAAGTTTTATTATGAAATACACAAATTTATATCTTATAGAAATAGTGGAAAAGAAAAATTTGATGCCCAGTGGATCAGATGGAACCAACTTTTCTCCAAACTCTCTCTTTCAATCTCTCTCTCTCTCCTCTCTTTCTTTTGCTCTCCTCTAACCTATCTCTATTTAAAAAAAAAAACATCATGTATTAATTCAATGTTTTATATTGTAAAAAGAGATGTGAATAAAAAAAAAAAAAAAAAAAAAAAAAATTTTTTAGCGATATTCAATTTTAGCGATCCCAGCATCCTGCCAAATAATGCCAAAATTAAATCCTTGCTAAAAAATTCTGCTTATACGGTATCAATTATGATAAATATGTACCATTAACAAATGATTTCAACATCTCCAGTTCTCTGTAAAACCCACTGGCTGTGGATCTTTCATCACCAGAAACCACTTGTGCCTGGATGTGTGCCTGCGACTCCAATGGAGGAGACTGTAAAACTGCTGTGCATATTGGTTTGGTCCATTCAGTTTCAACCACTAATGATCCAGCAAATTCTTGGCCGTTTGTGACGATTTCCTGTAACATTTTCCCCATCATGTCATAGCAGGCTTTGTATTTCATCTGCTTTTCTGGAATCTTAAGATTATGAATCTTTGGGAAATGGCCATTTTTAGGTTCTGGAAAGGATACCTTAACGACGGTGGACTTGAGATATTGTTCCTCACGAGATAACAGCTGACAGGCAGTATGCTTTCGATTTTGTCCATCACTAAATATGAGTAATGGTGGCCAAGAATTCCCTTGAGATGCCAGGCTGTACAATGATGCTACAACTCTGGTTTGATTGAATGGTATTCCTATTTTGGTCAGGGCTGACTTGAACTGCTCTCTGTTGGTCGGAATTCCATTAGGTGCTTCACTGACAACAATATCTGATAGGTCTGCATACTCTTGCATCTTCAAAGGTGACCCTTGAGATGCATCATAGCTGTTGGTGTGCTTCCTATTGCTTTTTAAAAGTGATTCATGGGGCATAAACTCGGATACATCTGGGTCTGTGAGCAACATGCTGCCCGGATTCTGGGCTAAAATTATTGGCAATGGAAGAGATACCAAAGATCCTATGCCAGCCAAGCGAGGATCTTTTGAATTTGTGACGTAAACATACTCAACATCTTGAAAAATGTTCTCAACATTATCTGTGCCCAGCTTCTGCATAAAGTTACCATAATCAGCAATGACAAGTCGATCCATTTTGACAGGTTTATATTTGGCGGGAGTGTAATTTTTATAAATACCAAAATGCCGTTGGTAAATATTTTATTTCCGGCAAAATAAAATTTACGAAAAAGTTTGTGTTATTACAATGGTTAAAAATGTTAACAATTGGACATTTTAAAATTTGATATACAGTGTAAGATGTAATGATTAAAATTACAAGGTTCCTTTAGGAAAAATAAAAATTAACATTCAGATTTTGTCTCTTGCGGTCGCGCAAGTTTTTAGAATATGACGTATAATGTAAGGGGACTAGTTAAATAATTCAACCAATGATTATTGTCGTTGCAAAGGAAGTTCGCTATACTAGCCAAGATGGCGGAAGACTTTAGGTAAAATTTGCATGTGCATTAAATTGATTCCGTTTCTGTGATTTAATCACTGTATGTCAATGGACTTAAATCGCAAAGTGTTTTTAAATGGCATTGTTTTGTTTCAAGAACATAACAGTGGCTCACAGGGGCTTACTCCCGGCGTGCAATTATTATTCCTTAAAAAAATATACCGTAATCAGGTTGGGCACACACCGCCAAATGGTCATTTAACCCCCGTTTGGTGGTCAGTCGCCCACATTGGCGTCTTTATTACCTACCAAATGGGAGAGAAAAATCGTTTGGTTCAATTCTCTGGAATGACGTGAAATGGCGCATATATAATTTCAACTTACTGGGAATAAAATATAGATATTTATCTATACTCTGAATGAAAAAAATCAGAATTTCAACACGAACTTTGTGCGAAGTGTCGTTCAAATATTGGACAAAATCGTCAGCTATGTAAACAAGTGTAACGTTTCTGTGTTTTAACTTTAAAAAAATTCCCTCCATCTCACACATATTTGCACCTATCAATTGTGTTTATCACTTCATATTTTTGTCATCCGGGCAACCGATCAATTATCTAAACCAATTAAAAATGACGATCATTTATGAACTTGGGTCAAAAGACTGATTTAACAACAGTGACCCATTAGCGTTAATTTTCAAAAAGTAAAAAAGAGAAAGGGTAAGAATTCGCTTTTATTTCATTTATTTCGTATGCAATGGCTTTATTCTTTATAGAAATAGGATATGCAGTGAATTTATGATAAAATAATCGCTTGAAAACAGTAATATTGGAATAAAAACAATAATGATTGTAACTGTCACTTTGTAAGTCTTTTATTCAAAAATATTCAATAAATATAGTAGATACAGATACATCATAGATATGCATACTTAACCACAAAGGGTCGCACGGAAATCGTAACTTCATCCTAAAAGAAAATAAAGAATAAATGTTACTTTCAAATGTAGAAAAAAATGAATAGTATGGCAATAATTAAGTGCCCACCATATGAATAAGATATGAGGAGCTCGTATTTAATGGGATTTTATAGAGATTTATATAGATGCAGATCGAAAGATCGTTTGAAAAGTTACTTCTTTAGACTAACACCTCTTGTCTAAATATATTTTTTACTGAACTATACACAACAAAATAATTTTTCATATTTTGTTTGAGCAAATAGTTCGGCCATCATGAACAGCTGTGGGTTTCGTTTTTACGAAGTTCCACAGAACTTACACATGGGAAATTGACTAAATTGTATTAAATGTGTGAGGAATTTGTTAAGTAAAATTCTCCAATGCCTAAGTAAATGCTTTTTTGCTTTATTTTAATAAAAATTGGATTTAAATAAAAAAGACCACTATTTGGTAGGTAAAAAAGACGCCGATATGGGCGATTGACCACCAAACGGATATTAAGTGACCATTTGGCAGTTTGTGCCCAACCTGGTAATAATAAAACGATGGTGGATGGGTTCGCCTTGACTACGTGTTTACACCGAGTGATTTCGCCCTGTTTAACTATAGATAGTATAAAATATTTGTTCTTCTAAGTATTTTACACACAGAGGTAATTAGATAATAAGATATTTCCATCATAAATTTATCATATACCACTTTCTAATATTTAAGTTTTTTTTCAATAGACAAATAAATAGAGCTTATAAAATAAATTAATAAATATTTCATCATGTTTTTTTATTTTAACAAAAAACCTTACTCCCATTTTTTTTCCATAGTGGATATTTAACGTATCCTTCCATGTATTCCATGGCAATTTTTCTACTATTTTTGGAGATACATGTAAAAAGCATGTGGCTGGTCTCTCATCTTTAATTTTTATCAAGCTGCTCATCATTAGTCTAATGGTCAAAAGACCACCCGACAAGCTGACATTAACTAGATTAGTAGCATAACCCACTTGGGGCAAATCCACTCAGCCCGAACAAGTAATTGGGGGCAAAACCACTCAGAGCCAACAAAGAATCGGGGCAAAACCACCTGCATTCAATAAAACTACACAAGGGAGAACACCATTTTCTTTTTACACTCATGCAGTAAAATGGATAATTTTAGAATTTCACCTGAGCCTGGATGGCATTTTCTTTTTACACTCATGCAGTAAAATGGTATAAATTAAGAATTTTACCAGAGCCCGGACGCCTTTTTTTTAACACTTATGCAATATAATGGTATAATTTAAGAATTTCACCAGAGCCCAAGTTTAATTGACTTACTGGTTTGGTGACCTTTGACCTCCCCTGCAAATATTGAAATATTTGTTGATATCCTTACTTTTAAGGGGAAAAAAAGATACAATGTTTTCTTCTGTTTTGTAGAACTGCAAGACCAAAAGATTATTTCAGAAAATTTCTGGTAAGTGAAATGTCCATAAAAATCATGTTAGTAACTAAATTTTATTTTTCTTTTGTGGTAAAAGCTTCTGTTAATACAAGCAAAAATTCACAAATTACCATAATGTAGTGTCTGAGATCAAATAAAAGTCTATTTCCTTACAGTTTTTCCTCCCTACTCTACTTTGTATTTGGTATAAAATATCCCTCTTGCTCAAAAAGAAATGGAATATACCAGTTAAACCCAAATATACCAAAAATGGGATCAAGAGCTTATGAGGAGTAAGCATCCCCTGTTGAAACTGACTGTGAACCTGATACTGTAAACCAACTATTTGTGAATCATCAGAATAGTTTGGTTTTTATTTGTTTGAACTTCTATGTTACTTCATATTTTTTGGTAAAAATTGTGGTCATTAAAGATTGCTAATAGTGCGCATGGACCAAAGTTTAAATGCCATAAATTTTTAAGTAAAGTGTTGTGATTAAAAATGATTATTTTCTTTATGAAACAAGTCATAGCTCAACAAAATATGAATATGTTAACAAATAAAGTGGTTATCATTATTTTATGATACCTTAAGTATCACTTACTAAATAGTCAATGAAAATATTAAGCATAAACCGCAAGAAGTACGTTTAAAAAAAAAAATTACAGAACAGCCTCCAAAGGCAATAAAACAATTATGATTTAATGTGGTTGAAACAACATCAGACAAAAAATATTTATTCCACCAAAAAAAACATTACATGTATTGGAATATATTAAATCAGTTGTTTTGTAATTGGTGTATTCTATTCAGCCTTCTAAAAATGTTTAACAAATTTTTATTCATTTGACAGGAACAGGAAGTCCGGCCAGATGGTAGAGAGTTGGGGGAGGCACGCACAACTGTTATTAACATTGGTATTGTCAGCTTTTTGGTTTCAAATTTTTGGAGAATGTCTGATCCAGTACCAACTTTTTAATCATTTTTAAATTAAAATATATAGTTTTTGTAAACACTTTTGACTTCAGGTTGTCTGTGATTGATCTGACTATACTTAATGTCTTCTTGTTGACCCTGGTTTTAATGTAATCAACACTATTAGATTTGAAACTTTTATGACTTTCAATTCGGTCCATTTCATGTATAACTGAGAAAGAAGATAGAGAAAACATATAAATACATACATGTATATAATCAATGATGGAGTCCAAACAATTTAGGCCTTGATCTGTGATTTCAAATACTTTCTAGGATGTTTGACAACTGCTAATGGATCAGCATTGGTTAAAGTAGGAAATACAATGGTGATGTGTGGGATCAAAGCTGTGAGTTTATTTAAAAACTAGAGATTGAGAAAAGTAACACTATAGCATGAAATTAAAGCTGTCATCATTGGCACCATTGTAAAAAAAAAATGAATTATTAACACTGTAGAATTGACAAAGCTATTATTTTGCTAAGTATGCATTACACTGTTTTTCTTTGAAATAGTGAAAAATAGATGAAATAATTGCAGGATGTGAATGTGAAAGTAGTTTGTGTAACATACATTAAATTATATCATGCTTTGTATTTTTAGGAATTGGCAAAACCAAGAACAGAGGAACCTTCCAAGGGATTTATAGGTAAAATGAACAATATATTTAGGCCAAGCTTAAAAAATTCTTTGTTTGCAGTTGCGGACCTATAATTCTTAGACTGGGTAGGTAGGTAGGCATTCTTTTTTTTTTTTTTTTTTTTTTTTGAAAAAAAAAGTTTTCAGATTTTTGTTAGATAACATAAAATAGATTTCTTCACAGGCCTACAATACATGAATAAGCTCCACTCTTGGTATAAACTACTGATTGATAAAGATAAAAAAATGAAAATGAAACAGTTTCAATATCCTGAAAAATTGGGAAAAAATAATATTACAAAATGGCTAAAAAAAAGTGTGGGTCGGGTGTATTTTCAGTGGGTCGGTAGGCAACTGCAAACAAACAATATTTTATTTTAAGCCTTATATATGCTGTATTCAGAATTGTGTCTTCCCTTCAACAAAAGAGATGTTTTCTTTCCAATTTCTTTGTCAGGTCTAAATTTTGAGATAAATTAATACATGTACTTCTTTTTTATTCAATGTCCATTTTCATATTGGCTTATAAATTAATAGAAAATTCTAAATATTAAGAATAAAAGATTACATATTTGTCATTTTGTTTGAGAATAACAAGTTGTTCACGGTAGTTGATATCTTTCCATCTGATTATTCAGTGCCCAATGTAGAGTTATCTCCCATGTGCTCCCCACAGTTTCGCCCTGGACCTCCTGGGGAACAGGCCCAAGTCCTGAGTCAGTTCATGCTGGAGGTCATTCAAAAGTAGGTCAATCTGTAACCTAAATACATGTATTATTTGGATGGCTCTTTAAGTAAGAGAACCATGATTACAAACTGGTTTATTAATTTTTCATGTTTTTTTTTTTTCAGCTCAGATTGTGTTAACCTTAATGAACTACGTGTAGAGCCTGGCAAGGTAAGTTTTTACATGGATTATCATTTATGAATTCTTTTTAGGATCATCTCTCTAGAAAATTAGTCGGGGTGTTCATCGACACATCCTTTTATTCATACATCCATAACCTTGGGAAACCCATCTTCCATCCATAAATCTTTCTATACTACTGAATAAAATTAAATGAGACTTTCACAGAATTTTTCTTATTTTTATTGCATATAGCCATTGTATATATTTATAAAAGTTATTATTGGGAACTACATTGTAGATTTAAGATTTTAATGATAATACATGTACTTTCTGCCTACTCTAAACACAGTTTGTTTTTAGCTCACCTGAGCTGAAAGCTCAAGTGAGCTTTTCTGATCACATTTTGTCCGGCGTCCGTGATTATTCAGTCTGTCTGTAAACTTTTCACATTTTCGACTTCTTCTCAAGAACCGCTGGGCCAATTTCAACCAAACTTGCCACAAAGTATCCTTGGGTGAAGGGGATGTTTGTTCAAATGAAGGGCCACGCCCTCATTCAAGGGGAGATAATTGGGAATTAATGAAAATATGGTGGCATATTTTAAAAATCTTCTTCTCAAGAACCACAGTGCCAGAAAAGATGAAACTTATGGGGAAACATCCTCAGGTAGTGTAGATTCAAATTTGTTCAAATCATTACCCCCGGAGGTAGGGCGGGGCCAAAATGGCCGATCAAAGTTTTACATAGAAATATATAGGAAAATTCTTTAAAAAATCTTCTTCTCAAGAATGACAAAGCCATAATTCATCATATTTATATGAAAGCACGTTCAGGTAGTGTAGATTCAAATTTGTTCAAATCATGACCCCCGGAGGTAGGGCGGGGCCAAAATGGCCGACCAAAGTTTTACATAGAAATATATAGGAAAATTCTTTAAAAATCTTCTTCTCAAGAATGACAAAGCCATAATTCATCATATTTATATGGAAGCATGCTCAGATTGTAGATTCAAGTTTGTTCAAATCATGACCCCCGTGGTAGGGCGGGGCCAAAATGGCCGACCAAAGTTTTACATAGAAATGTATAGGAAAATTCTTTAAAAATCTTCTTCTCAAGAATGACAAAGCCATAATTCATCATATTTGTATAAAAGCATGTTCAGATAGTGTAGATTCAAGTTTGTTCAAATCATGACCCCCCGGGGGTAGGGCGGGGCCAAAATGGCCGACCAAAGTTTTACATAGAAATATATAGGAAAATTCTTTAAAAATCTTCTTCTCAAGAATGACAAAGCCATAATTCATCATATTTATATGGAAGCATGTTCAGGTAGTGTAGATTCTTTGTTCAAATCATGACCCCCAGGGGTAGGGCGGGGCCAAAATGGCCGAAAAAGTTTTACTTAGATATATATAGGAAAATTCTTTCAAAATCTTCTTCTCAAGAATGACAAAGCCAAAATTCATCATATTTATATGGAAGCATGCTCAGGTAGTGTAGATTCAAGTTTGTTCAAATCATGACCCCCGGGGGTAGGGCGGGGCCAAAATGGCCGACCAAAGTTTAAAGATATATACATGTATAGGAAAATTCTTTAAAAATCATTTTCTAAAAAATAGCAAATCCATGATTGGTCATGGGAATACTTTTGGATTTAAACTTTACAATAAAAAGCCATTTTCTACTTTTTCCTACCCTTAGTGCTCAGGTGAGCGATGTGGCCCATGGGCCTCTTGTTTTATAGTATGTATGGACCCTATACTGTGATATAGTGTGTTTGGATTATGACGGGAACGTCACAGATGCCTGTCTTCTAGCAATACTTGCAGCTCTAAAAAACAGTAAGATACATTACATCTTAAATTTGATGCAGTTTCTTTTCATGTAGTATGTTGCGAGTTCAGATAGTTTCTTTATGTTAAAACAATTAATGTCGAATTTTACAAGAACTAGGAAGGCCAACTACTGTAAACCAACTTTTATTCGCGACAACTTTATTTCGCGATTAACCGGGAGTAAAGTAGTTCGCGACGATTAATTTTCGTGACCAAGCCTTTTTTGGAACTGTCTTAATAGAAAAAGAGACTTTAAGAACCGGTTCGTGGCGAGAAATATTCGCGATGACGAGGCTCTCGCGAACTTCGTGAAATTTTCTTGCACGCGAATAAAAGTTGGTTTACAGTATATTTCCCAATAGTGTTCTAAGGATTAAATTTTATGTATTGCAAGCATACTATGCGGCTATTTACCAGTAAAACTTGTTAAGTACAAACATGGACAAAGCAAATTAATGGATATAATGAATCGTTTGGATACTAAGCAAAATCCTTAAAAATTCCTTTTAAAATTAAATGGTTGTAATGAACTCCGATATAATGCATTTACAGATACAGTGTATATTGATCTGATTTTTGCGCCCTGTAGAGATTACAAATAACTATATTTAAAACATGTATCTGAAAAAAATTTTGTCATTAAGCCGACATTTTTTTTACAAGTATTATTTGAAAATGTATTGGAAAAGTTGTTTATATGTTTAAAGGGAATTAAGGGTATAGCAAATTAACTTCATATGCCCTTAGAACTTGACGTTAACAAAGTTCATTTGTGAATATTAAAGATTTTAAGGAGTACAAAAATGACTTATTCATTTACAGCTACCTTACCTGAGGTGGTACTAAATAAGGATACAGACAAAATAGATGCTTTTCCCGATCGACTCTCAGCACTCCAACTACAATCAAGTCCTGTGTCCTCAACATACGCAATCTTCAATAAGTGAGTACAGTTTAACAGATCTGTATTTCTATAGATGCAATACAACAACCAGTCTTTTATCTCAATAACTTCCAATTTCAGTGAGATTCTCTTTGTGGATCCAACTGCTGAAGAGGAAAACTTGGCAACAGGACAAGTCACTGTAGTCACAACAAACGATAAACTCTGTATGGTTTATAAGCCAGGTGAGTATAAACATCGTACCTACATTGTATACAGCTTTGGACCCTGGGATTCTGATAAGATTGTTAGATTCCGATTTTCTTTGACAGGTGGTACCCCTCTAACAGATCAGCAGCTGTCCATGTGTATCAAAAAAGCCTTCAGTAGAACTCGTGACATTTTAAGACTTATAGACGACACAGTGTCTAGTGTAGAGAGGTAGTACTAAATAAATAATGAAAGGGACATCTTTGTTGTTATCGTTATATGTCAATCAGAATAGAATTGTTTTACAGTGTCAGTTTATGTATCTCTCAATTATATATATAATTGAACTTCATTACATCAAACACAGATATCTCAATACCAAGGACATTGATTCTGCAACTACCTTTTCTTGTTTTTTTTTTTAATTCTTGAGAGATAAATCTTGGTCCTTTTGAATCCCAGATGAAGTATGACTGCATCATATTTTTCACACCATTAAAATTGTCATCATTAAATGATCATAAGGGACATGTACAGTAAAACAAGGTGATAGCAAACACACTTTTAATAAATTGAAACTTACAGTGAAGTGATTCTCATTCTGTGACTTTATTATATATTAAAACATTGACTTATATGACAAATTAAACTTATAAGAGAGGACAGATTTGTTTTAAGTTTGGTTTGTATATCATCTGAACCCACTTTAAAGCTGAAAATGATTTGTAAAAGGATGCCATACTTAATAATTCACTTGCTATACATAAGGGCCCTTATATAAAGGCACTGTTCACTCAGTCTCGGTCATCACCTGTGTAAACCCATGACATAGCAATGAATGTGAAGGGTATACCCACGAACTGATAATCGAAAACGGAGTCAAATTCAGCTTTAATGACCTCCTGAGGAGTCCAGAAAAAACCAGAAGTCTCTGTCGAGACTGTAGCTCTACTGGTTTGTACTTATCAAAAACCATTGCACTATTTTATGTATCTTTGTGTAGTCTACTTGTGTGCCAACCTATTTTGAAATCAAACTAGAACTGTAGAAGGAGTAGCGTTTTTAAGGAATTTCACAGAAAATTCTATTTTTAGTAACCATGGTAATACCGTTAATCGAAATCAGAAACAGATGCACTATTCTATGTATCTGTGTGTCTACTTGTGTGCCAAGTTATATTGAAATCAGACCAGAACTGTAGAAAAAAGCGTTTAATTAAAGAATTTCACAGAAAATTCTATTTTTAGTAACCATGGCAAAACCGTTCATCAAAATTAAAAACCGATGCACTATTCTATGTATCTTTGTGTAGTCTACTTGTGTGCCAAGTTATATTGAATTCAGACCAATACTGTAGAAGGAGTAGTGTTTTTAAGGAATTTCACAGAAAATTCTATTTTTAGTAACCATGGCAACACCGTTCAACAAAATCAAAAACCGATGCACTATTCTATGTATCTTAGTGTAGTCTACTTGTGTGCCAAGTTATATTGAAATCAGACCAAAACTGTAGAAGGAGTAGCGTTTTAAAGGAATTTCACAGAAAATTCTATTTTTAGTAACCATGGCAACATATAGTTCATCGAAATCAAAAACCGATGCACTATTCTATGTATCTTAGTGTAGTCTACTTGTGTGCCAAGTTATATTGAAATCAGACCAAAACTGTAGAAGGAGTAGTGTTTTTAAAGAATTTCACAGAAAATTCTATTTTTAGTAACCATGCCAACACCGTTCATCAAAATTAGAAACCGATGCACTATTCTATGTTTCTTTGTGTAGTCTACTTGTGTGCCAAGTTATATTGAAATCAGACCAGAACTGTAGAAGGAGTAGCGTTTTTAAAGAATTTCACAGAAAATTCTATTTTTAGTAACCATGGCAAAACCGTTCATCAAAATTAAAAACTGATGCACTATTCTATGTATCTTTGTGTAGTCTACTTGTGTGCCAAGTTATATTGAATTCAGACCAAAACTGTAGAAGGAGTAGTGTTTTTAAGGAATTTCACAGAAAATTCTATTTTTAGTAACCATGGCAACACCGTTCAACAAAATCAAAAACCGATGCACTATTCTATGTATCTTAGTGTAGTCTACTTGTGTGCCAAGTTATATTGAAATCAGACCAAAACTGTAGAAGGAGTAGCGTTTTAAAGGAATTTCACAGAAAATTCTATTTTTAGTAACCATGGCAACAAAGTTCATCGAAATCAAAAACCGATGCACTATTCTATGTATCTTAGTGTAGTCTACTTGTGTGCCAAGTTATATTGAAATCAGACCAAAACTGTAGAAGGAGTAGTGTTTTTAAAGAATTTCACAGAAAATTCTATTTTTAGTAACCATGCCAACACCGTTCATCAAAATTAGAAACCGATGCACTATTCTATGTTTCTTTGTGTAGTCTACTTGTGTGCCAAGTTATATTGAAATCAGAAAAACTGTAGAAGGAGTAGCGTTTTTAAGGAATTTCACAGAAAATTCTATTTTTAGTAACCATGGCAACACCATTCATCGAAATCAAAAACTGATGCACTATTCTATGTATCGTAGTGTAGTCTACTTGTGTGCCAAGTTATATTGAAATCAGACCAAAACTGTAGAAAATAGCGTTTTTAAGGAATTTCACAGAAAATTCTATTTTTAGTAACCATGGCAACACCGTTCATCGAAATCAAAAACTGATGCACTATTCTATGTATTAGTGTAGTCTACTTGTGTGCCAAGTTATATTGAAAACAGACCAAAACTGTAGAAGGAGTAGTGTTTTTAAGGAATTTCACAGAAAATTCTATTTTTAGTAACCATGGCAACACCGTTCATCGAAATCAAAAACCGATGCACTATTCTATGTATCTTAATGTACACACTTGTGTGCCAAGTAATATTGAAATCAGACTAAAAATGTAGGAGGAGTAGCGTTTTGAAAAATTGTTTACAGACATATTGGTAAAAATCAGATAGATTCAGACAGACAGACAGACAGACAGACAGATTAGACGGACGGAGCTCAGACGCATTACTATCACATAAGCTCTTCTGGTCTCTGACCAGTAGAGCTAAAAAATTGACACTTTTTGAGGGGGTTTAATTTTCCTGGTTTTCAAGGTATGAAGAGACCCACAAATTTATGTCCACCACGAAATGTAATTTTTCACATAAATTACTACTGATCAATTCTTCAACCACTAAAATCCCCATGAAGCAATATATTTTCCTCAAACCACGAAAATTTGACCCCTTGGAAATGTGTGATTTCACAGTATGTCGACTTGTAAAAACAACTTCAACTTCAAAGAAAAAGATTTTAATCACAGAATTAAATCGTATTACAATGTTGATTTTACAAACCTAATAAACATACAACATTTTCTTCCTCTATAAAGCTAAAATCTTCACAGATTAGTAGTCATTACAATATATAACCAAGTGCTGACTTGAGGACTATTAACTCTGTGGTGGTTGACTCAGCAATCAAAAAAAAAACAAACAATTAAAACAATTGTCAAGACAGTTACTGAAGGTTCCTTAATTTTAGGAAAAATATATTAATTGTACATCCCATAAAAAATACTTTTTATGAAAAGTCATCCTCTTTTAAAGGGATCCTGTGATGTTACACAAACATGATCTTTTGTAAGGAATCTACTATATATTGCACAGAATGAGAGGAATGTTAAAACAAAAATCCATTTTCACGTGTATACGTATCATTGATTGTCATCCACAGAGGTCCATAAGGCTTTTTTTTAGCCACAGAGCTCACCCGAGTCACTAAGGCCCTGCTATTATTCCTCAGATTTACCCCATATATTCCTATGTAAAACTGATAGCCTACTGAGGCCCCACCCTACCCCCCTGATATCATGATTAGAACAAACCTACTACACTTTGTAATAAAGCTTTCTTGTTATGTTTTATCTATTCTGGTTTTATAGAAGATCTTTAAACCTGTAATCAAATTTTCCATAATTCTTCATCATCTCTCCTTAAAAGAAACCATATGACCCTTAATTTGAATGAACTTGAATCCCCTTCACTGGCTATGGATTCTCTGTGCCATATTTTAGTCGAAATTGACACAGTAGTTTTGGATACCTATTTGAAAAGTTTATGACAATGACAGAAACAGACAAAGTATGGATCAGGTCAGCTAAAGAATATTTTCAACAAAGCAGCCTAATATCACAGAAATTTATCTGTATCAGTAACACTTTTCAGATATGTATTACAACATCAGGTTACAAGTCACAACTTTGAAGGCTACATTCAAGTGAAGAATGTCAAATATGAATTCAAGAAAAAAATTGAATTCTTTAAAGCAACAAAAAATCTTAGCAATGATTCAATACACGTATGTACCCTGTTCTCAAATCAAATGTTCATCATAGTAAATTATAAATATAGAAAAATCATACAAGTGGTCGTTGAATATGAGTATTAGAGGAAAGTAGGGGCTTGTACCCATGAATTACTGCAGTATATAGTAGGTTCTACCCCACATACATATTTACATTAGTTTCACAGCAGTGAAAATAAACCTGATTAGGTTTTGTATATTTGTCAAAAAAAAGTAGCAAAAGGTATTTAAAAATTTGTTCATGGTCATGTATATGAAAATGTAAAGTGACATGGTTAGGACGGATTAATGCAATGTTTGAGTGTAATATCACAAAATGTATATCAAATACAGAATGGTATTAAAGTTGTACAAAATTATATCAACTTTTACACACTTGTAAATAGTTAACGTCCAAGTTAATAAACTTGATAGATGTATGAACTGAGCAATTTCCTATACAGAACTATATTGGTAAAAATCAGATAATTCGTTTGGAGTAAATACAGAACATTAAAAATAAATACTGTCTAACTGAGCATACTGAAAAAGTATATTGTCAGTTAAAGTGCAAATATATCTGTATATTAAAATGTAAAATAACAATTTAAGTTATCACATACTAACAGAGATCTACTTCCAGTATATTGAAAATAAATTAGTGAGCATACTAAACCTGAAAAGTATACTGTCATATAAGTATTAAGTGTATAATTATATTGATATGTAATTGATATATAAATAACAAAGTTGTAAAATAAAACAATTAACATGTATCACAGTGAATGAATAAAGTTATTTGACTTGTAGATTCCATGAAAGAAAACAATGAATTTCCAAGGCAAACGTAGAAAGGGATAAATCCAGTATACAAGAAATAAGTACATTATAATAAATAACCAATATCAACAATAGGTTTGATTTATTCTCGGACAATAAAGCAAGTTCCATTGCATTTCTTTTAAAACTATACATTATAAACAAAAAAATTTGCACATTGTTGCCAAAGCCGTTTTTCAATGTCTCAAAATGTGCAATACAAAACATTCAAATAAACTTCAGTAAAAACATGGTTCAAGTAAACACACGATCAATTTACCAAAGCGATTTTCATTCCCTTTAGCTTTTAAATTTATTGTAATATTAACAGATATAACAAATTACCCTTCTATAAATGAAGTAAAATTGTCTATCCCTGGCACTGCATTTTAGATGCGTTTTACTTACATGTTGTTACGTTACAAGATTAACAATTTTATCTAACTGGTGCAGTTTGGATGAATAATAAGTAAAAATTGACCCTTCATCTTGCTAATATTTCTACAAGAGGTTAAAATTGATTCAGATTAATGGATCAAACCTCTACATAATTATGTAAATCATGCTTTTCTATAGGAACTACAGTTAGAATTATATGAGAGTTGAAAGATGAACATTAACACTAACACACAATTGTATAACAATGATTTACAGTCTGTATACAGGACGGTTTACTGCAGCACACAAGCCTGACTTTTTTGCCGACCTGACTTGGAGTAATTGCGCTGTAATTTCCGGACCGTGCCCGCCACCTGACTCATGCTGGTAGAGGAGGTGCTAGATGACGGAGACTGGGGGGCGCTGTTGTCCGATTTCTCCTCAGTTTTATCATCTCCTTTTTTCTTGTCAATAGACTGCTTGCCTTTAGGTGTCTGGGATGTTTTACCTAAAATAATAATATTTTTGCATAGAGGACACTTTATATCAAACTACAGTGTATCTATACTTGAATAATTTATAGTTATGATTACACAATACTCATGTGATTAGAGAGAAAGTATTAACAATAACATTAATTCTTATGAAACAATACATGTACCAGGATTACATTTAAGTTTAGCCCTTTACCTTTGTCCTCTGCAGTTTTCTTTTTGCTGGCAGTCGGCTTCCCTTCAGCAATGTCACCATTCTGTTTTGAACGCGCCGTCTCCTTAATTTCCTCCTTTTCTATAACAACAGACACGTTACTTTGTTCCTTGATCATGGATGGTTGTCTTTCAGTGTTAAGACTTGACGTCTCTCTGTCTGGGCGGCCCATCAGAGCTGATGCTATAGGGGAGGTTTTGAGATATTCCCTCATCAGCTCGTCCTCTTTGTTGAGAATGGTCTGTCCCTGACCGTGCACACTGATGGAGCCGACCCCTAACTTAGTAATTCTGTTTCCTTTGGAGTGTTTTTCACACAGCCATGCCACTTTTCCACTGGGTAAATGGCATCTGAGAAAATAAATAAATTAATAAGGGCATCTTTAAAAAAATTGTTTGTTTGCTCTCTCCCCAGTGACTGCCAAAAATCCCTCAACTTGAAACTTTTTTGTGTTCTGGTAAACAGATTTTAAATAATTGGCATTGAAATTTTCTTAATAGAAAAAATGTTGACCTAATATACCACAGAAACAAGAGGCCCACGGGCCTTATAGGTCACCTGGGTATTGTGTAACAACTTTTAAACAATTATATTTGGTTCGTGTTTTAAACCGGAGGCCATGAAATTCACAATTTACAATTTTGAAAGAGGCACCATTACTTATCATAATCATTAACTTAGCATGCTTACTCTATTTACTTAATACCCAGAGATAGATCAGAGTAACAAAGAGAAAATGCACTTCCACTTTATAACCAGTTGTGCACCTCACCCACTGACCCATGGGCCACATATTTCAAAATTTTGCAAATGTAATCATAAAATGGTTGAATATTTTCAAGGAATTAATGTATTTTTTACTATATAATCAATAGGGCCCCACCCTAACACCAACCCTTTATGGACAAATCTGCCACTCTGCTCATCATAACTATGTGCTTAGGAGTTTATTTAATACCCAGGAGCAGAGAGTTTTCAAAGAAATAATGCATTTTCACTATATAAAGGAAAATAGCAACCCTGGGGCCATAAAATTCAAAAATCTGGAAGAGGCACTCTTGCTCATCATAACTATGTGCTTAAATTTATTTAAACCCAAGCAGAGAAGATTACAAAGAAATAATGCATTTTCACTATATAATCTAAGAGCCCCGCCCTCCAGAAACCCTGAAGGGGCCATGAATTTCACAAATCTGGAAGAGGCACTCTTGCTCAATTTTCATTTAATACCCAGGAGCAGAGAAGAAGATTTTCAAAGAAATAATGCATTTTCAGTATATAATCTAGGAGCCCTGCTCTAGCACTATAACCCCTGATGGGGCCATGAATTTCACAATTTTGGTGTGCTCATTACATTCATGCCAACAGTTTGCCTGCTTGATGTCCAGGAGTAAAAAGAAGATTTTTAAAGATTTTATTAATTTTAGTGGTTTTGGCCCCACCCCTCCAAAATTCACAATTTTTGTTCCCTTCACCCATAGATGCTGTACACCAAATTTGGTTGAAATTGGTTTAGTGGTTTTAGAGAAGAAGCTTGTTCAAATGTTAACACACGACACACGAGCCTAGCAATAGGTCACCTGAGTTACTCAGGTGACCTAAAAAACCCTGATTCTTCCTCATAAACCTCAATCAATCACAGCCAATGACTCAGTAATGATTATTTATACTTGCCTGTCAAGCTGCCTGATGAATTCTTCATTTTCAACATGAGATGACACCAATTTATGGACAGCCATGTAAGCCATCAGGAAGTTGGAAGTTGTCTTTCCCTCCTAAAAAGGAAAATAGCAAGATAAAAAGAGCAAAAATTGTCCCTGTAAAATAATCAAAATAATTACGGTACTCATTATCTAACATCCAATAAAATAAAATATAAAATCCAATTTTCAAGTACTGGTAGCATTTACAGTAACAAACAGTAGGAGCTTAATTGCCTATACAGTGTATAAGTCACATTTAGGAGAAAGCTTGTAAAGTTAACTTAATTAAATTGTAAAGATGACCAGTGTATTTGAGTGTACCGGTACCTAATAAAAGATGCCCACACTATTGATAAAAAAACATCACTAAACTTTCCACCAATTTATAGAGTAAACATTATAAAGAATGTACACTAACAGCAAAGTGATTCTTTCCTATAGTTTTTAAAATACACACTCAAACCTTTTTATCCAAAACCCACTTTTTTTTTTTTTTTAATTATGACTGAAAATCAGATGGTGTAAAATATTGAGGCATTTCAAGATTTCAAAGTTGAAGAAATTAAGCAAAATTCAACTGAAATATGAACTTGTATACATAATAACAATTGACATTTACAACAAACTAATAGGGCATAGTTACATCACTGTCTAAATAAGTTTATGTGATAGCTATACAGTAAAACTTGATTATAGTGAAGTCAATGGGACCTATGAAATTACTTCACTTTAATCATAATTCCCTATATCTGTATAAAGAATTCATTAAATTTACAAAGCTGGGGATCAAAGACAACTTTGCTATAGCAGAGAATTCGTAATATCCATGTTCGTACTAAATGAGTTTTACTGTAGTTTAATTAAAAAGTGTTGTTCTGTAATGATGGTAGAATCAAATGTACATATTAAATGTAATTTAAAAAATACTACAGGGCTTAAAACTGCACCTTGTATAAATACCGGGTATTGTTTGCTTTTGTGAAAAAAAAAAAAAACAATTGAAAAAGTTTAAATTGTTCACTGTTTAATATGATTTAGTTAAAGATGTTTTTAACTATTGGCTCTTCATTTTAAAAAAAAAAAAATTGCAAAATATTTCAATCTAATGAAGATAGGTTGTACAATAAAACCTAGATATAATGTCTTTTAAGCAATGCAATATAGCCAAACTTTCCTGAAACAGTGATGAGATTATGAATTCATTCAATGTATTGTGGTGTGTGTGATAAACAATTGTTTTACAATGGGAGTCAAATATAGATAAGCTTGGGATGTATCGAGCTCTACAAATTATAAGGATGTCAAAATCATCTCATTGTCTTCCTTGACTAATTGGAGGCTTCAATCTGGTGATAGTTGATAAATCATAATCTTGCATATATGGACTGTAGCATAACAAAAAGCCACTGAAGACAAATGATATGGGCTGGACCATTCATTGTTGAATTGTTTTATAGCTGACTAAAGGGCAGAAAATGTCTCTCTGACTTTATTTTTGTATCACGTACAGTTTTGATATGATTGTCATAATAAATGTACAAAAAATAAATTGTAAAGGGTTGTAGTGCTTTAACTTTATGTAGGCCTTAATTTTTTTGTTAGAAATGTAATCTGTATTTGTATCCATGCAAACATAAACAAAGACACATATTTTAGTCACATCTTTCAACAGTCATATATTAGTTACATCTTTAAACATCTATGAGTAATTATGAACAATTAATGAAAGACAATGAGGATTATATATTTTTGACTGTAACTAGCAAATAAAAAAATATCTACATGAACTTTGGAGCTGACTATTTTTCAGGTTCTAGAGCATGCATAAATATTATTATTGTAAAAAGTTGGAAAACAAAAAATGTTGACCATTAAAATGGGAGAGAAAAAAAACTGATACACTAATAAACAAGAAAACTGACTTGGTCTAAAACACAGTTAATCGGTCAATGATGTAACAATGTATATAATCACAAAATACAGTATTAAGCATACACTGCCGCTACAAGCCAAAAAGTCCCTAGTTAATTAGTGTTACCTCAACAGCAATTTGTCAGTTTCTTAATATTTACCAGACTTTTCTGAAAGGAAAATTATGCCATTGTTTAACACATTGCACCAAGCAATAGCAACTTTCTAAACATTTTAATATTTTTTTTACTTGCATGTTAATTGTTCAACACTGGAATGACCCAAAGATGCAATACTGGCCTGATAAGAAGTCTTTATAATACCCATGTAACAGAACTTATTTATAGTCCATCTAAGATGTTTTAAACAGACAGACAAACAATGAAGTTCATATCTTCTTTCTTTGGTAATAATCATTTATTCTAAACCATGTGAAAGAAACAAAACCAACAAAACATTTTGTTAGGGGGCAAATTGAAACATTCTTTTAAAACTAATTGTGATTTTTTTTATGGTGAAAGATCATGCTTTGCATCTGGCAGGTGACTCTTAGTGAGAGGAAAACACAAAGATTTACTTAACTTGCTTTGCATTGTCTGAAAATTTGAATTCAGTTAAAGAAGAAAGCCATCAGTGAGATAGTATACCAGATATGGTAGTAATGTGGTCTGAAAGTTTCTTTAGTGAAAACTTTTATTGTCAAACTTATATACTGAATATAGTTTCCTTAAATACTGTTAAAATTTACTTCTATTGTCAAACTTATATAAATGTAAGGCACATAGTGAATATAGGGCCAGAAATTGAGATTCTGAACCTTAAATATAAGGATTTGACATAAAGGTTTGTCAAAGAAGAAATTTTAAACAGCATGCTATCATCACTCATCCTTAAAGTCAGAAACATTGATCCCCCTTCCTTAGTTCCAAAAAATTCTACATATACCATGAAATATTACTAACTTGGTCCAGGAAATTCATGAAACTCTCTCCCAGTTGTCCATTAAGACACTTCAGTTTGACAGAGCTCTGTTTCAGGATGGCGTAGAATCTGGCCAGGAATGGAGCAGCCTCTGTAATGGTGTCTATAATCTCCTCCGCTGTGTTTGTGAACAAACTGAGGGGCTTGGGGACCAAGTGCCAGCCCTGAAAAAAAGAAGAACATAGATATCAGGTACTAACATAATTAACATGCTGCCTGAATCACATAACATGTAGTTATAGACTTATTACACACTTTGACTGAATATATTGACTAGAATTTTGAGTTCTTGATTGCAGAATACAGGCATTTTGTGAGAGAGACAAATTAGAAACTTGCTGCAAATAATTGTCATCTGTACTACTGTAAACCACTTTTTTATTTGTGAGAACTTTATTTTTGCATAATTACACAAGAAGCAAGCTTGCAAAAATTTCATTCTTGCATATAATGGCCAGTATTCCTTTAATAAGATTATGGAATTTTTAAATGTTATTTAGTCTTGCTTATTATTTATAATTATCTATTCATTATCTTATTATCTTGTTATCGTTATTAAATGTAACCAGAGCCTCCTCATGTTCACACAGGAGGCTCCACTGTAATCATTTTTTTTTATTTGTGATAGCTTTATTTTGCGAATTATGCGAGACAGCATATGCTTGTGAAAATTTCATTCTCATACTTGCATTGAATGGTATTCCTTAAGATTATACTGAGCAACTACTACAATTCGTGAAAATTTTGTATCGCTTATAAAAAGTCAGTAACTATCTCATGAAAATAAAGTGTTGCAAAAATTAAATGATCTACAGTATAATAGTATGTACATGTATAATAAGAATTATCATATGTATGCCTACCTCCTCATGCCCACACAGGAGTCGACATGATTTTGACAGCTGAAAAGATAGTAATTGCTGTAATACATGCTTATATATTTATTAAGGGTATTTATTTATGATGCTTATTAACCTTTATCATTATATATATGTATAGTATGCCTACCTTACCCATGACCAGGTCACAAAAAATCTGCAAAATTGAAAAAATCCTAAAATAAAAGCCGCCATTCCCCGCTCTCGATTTAAAAAAAATTTATTATTATTTATCATCAATTTATCATTATTATATGCCTAATGGAAAACATAGTCTAAAAATAGATTAAAATGGAAAACATTTAGCCTAACAATAGATTACAATGGAAAACATTCAGCCTAAAAATAGATTACAACGGAAAACACTTAGTCTAAATATAAATTACAACGGAAAACATTTAGCCTAAAAATAGATTACAATGGAAAACATTTAGATTAAATAAATAAGATTGCAATGGAAAACATTTAGCCTATAGATTACAATAAACATAGATTACAATTAAATAACCAACCTAAACCAGATTAAAATAGAATAACGTTGCCTAAAGGTCTTAAAACGTACAAAAACCATATCCTATAAAGGACACAGTAGTTGACAAAAAACCATATCCTAAAAGCACATTAGGTTAAAACCATAAAGCTATGAGGTCTCATAGATGAAAAAAACAAAACTGATGTAGAAATACTGCTAGGTCCTTGACTTTACCTTGACTCTATCTTTATTGAGATTGCTGGCTCGGGACAACAAGCTCTTGCTGGCAGTTTTGGGTCTCTCTGCATTTTGTGGCGATTCTTGTGCTTTTGGTTTATTGACTGAAAACAAAGTACAGATATAACTTATATTTTTATTCATAAAACAAAAAATCTCCTAATAATTTGCTATATACCTATTTTCATTGTGTTAATTGTAATCTGTATATGTTTCTTTACTTTTATTAATTTTTTTCTTTTCTGTTGTTCTTTATTACAAATATTTTGAAACACACTTAAGAATCTTTTTTATACTGCTAAGCAGAAAAAAAAATCCATTACTGATATTTTCAAATCTGCAACTATTTACCTGATCTGACAAAATCAAAGACCAGTAACCGTGGCATCAGTTGAAGGTCAAGCTGCTTTGTCATAGTGATGACATGTCTCATGAACTTTCTTTGAATCAGTTCATATTCTTCCTACAATTTGATAAATCAACTCTGCTAAAATCTATTGTATAAATCAAGAGTTTTTATCCAAGAAACACCATTAAACAACAAAGGATTTCAAGTTTCATAGACATTCATTGCTCTAAGAATGCTTTTATTTTCAATTAATGATGTAGGAAAAGTGAATTACCAATCAAAGCAGCTGTTATGATTCTCACCTGATAAGAGTGCCTCTCATTGGTTACTTTCTTTTCATTTGATTCCTGCTTCTTCTTCTTTTTGGCTTCCTTCTTTTTCTTCTCCTCTGCTAGAGCTTCGTCTGTTGCGGTGGGCAGAGAATCCACGACATATTTGTAGAGAACTTCGAATCCCTCTGGGTTCTCCTTCTGCATGTAGACTTTACTGGCTCCTTTATCTGATCTCCTCATCAGCAGGCTTACCTGTACAGGTACACAGTTTTAAAATTGAAAATTTCATTGAACTGTTCATTGTTTGGTCAACACTCTACATATACATGCAAATCAACAGATGTTAGAAATATTCACATTCACCTATAAGACAGTTACTGTAAACCAACTTTTATTCGCAACGACTTTATTTCGTGATTAACCAGGGGTAAACTAGTTAACGACGACTAATTTTCGCGATCAAGCTTTTTTCGATCGGTTTATTGAATTGTACTTTCGCTACAAGAAATATTGGCGATGACGGGCTGTTGCAAACTTCTTTTCCACATAAAAGTTGGTTTACATATAAAAAAGAAGTAAAATCATAAACATTCCTAGCAACTTTTAATCTAATTACAGAAATATCTAAATTATATTTACTGTAAATCACTTTTTATTCATGAGGACTTTATTTTCGCGTAATTACGCGAGACAGCGTGCTCGCAAAAATGTAATTCTCACGTATAATAGTACAGTAAAACTCGGTTATAGCGAAGTCCTGGGGACATGTGAATTTAATTCGCTATATCCATAATTCTTTATATTCGTATAACAAATTCGTATAACCATATATAGCAAATTCGCAATATGCATGTTTTCCTTCAAGTGTTACTACCAAATATGTCAGGTAAGCAAATACTACAAAACATACCTTCATTAACTAGAAATATATATGCCATGAATAGAAATTAAATTTTGAGATTTTTGAAAGTTCGTTATAAAAGATGTAAATTTCAATGTATTTAACCTCAACGGGACTGAAAAACAGTTCGCTTATCCGTAATTCGTTATATATCCGAGTTCGTTATAACCATGAAATTTTGCAAAGATTTGTTAAGAATTTTGCCGGGGACTCAGAAAAACTTCGCTATATCCGTGAATTCGCTATATCCGTGTTCTTACTAAACAAGTTTTACTGTATTCCATAAGATTATATAAAGCAATAACCACAATTCGTGAAAATTTTGTCTCCCTAATCAAGAGCAATGACTATCTCGCGAAAATAAGTTGTCGCGAAAATTAAGTGATCTACAGTATCCATGAATGGAAAATACATGCATGTAGAAGTTGCAAGCACTTTATACATCTGTACTGATAGTTAACCCTACTAGGGTAATTTGTTTTTACCTCTATAGTCTATATTTGTTTTACCTCAGATCTTTTCCATTTGTCACCCGTCCCCACCACTGCCACAATCAGAGGGAGGTTCATGTTACAGACAGCAAATCTCAGCTCCATCATACAGGCATCTGATTCTACATACTGTTTAAAAATCACATTAAAACAAATCTCAGCTCAATCATACACACATCCAACTCAACATACTGTATTAAGAGTGTATCATTAGGGAACTGTTACATTAGGGGGGTAAACATATATTGAGTAAATTAAAAGTCTCAGTCCATTCCTCTGTACATAGTTAAAAACAAACCTCATCTGACACACAAGCCACAATGACTTTACAATTCTGTAGACCAATAGCAATCTCTTGATAAAGACCATACTGAAACATAGAGGGATAAATATAAGCTAGACTGGGTTTAAAAAGGACATATAGGTACATGAATTGGCATTTCAAACTTATCTGAATGATAAAATTGCAGAGACAAAATTTCATTGTTAATTATTAAAACTTCATTTATTTTGTAATTTTCAGCTGGAAGTCAATTTTATGTCTCTTAAATCCAAGATGGAGCAAATGGTATCTGAACCTTTAATGTTTGACACCTACCTTCCCCATCTGTTCTATATCTAGCCAGCAGGAGAGTCCCTTCTTCTCCAGGAATTCCTTGATTTTGCGGGGATCCCCGTACCCCAGGGCTCCTTGTCTGGCCTGGGTTCCCTGATTCACGGCATCCTGGGAATTCTGCCAGCAGTAGCTGATAAAAACATCAGGGTTATCCGTCTTCGACTGAAACAGAGATCAAATGTAATCCAGAATAACAAAGTACTCATCTGAATCAGAGATTAAATGTAATCTAGAATAACAAACTACAGAGTGTCAATTCTGAAAGAAGTTTGTACAAATTATATTCTTAATTCTCTATAATTTTACAAGTTACTTCATCAGATTTGAGGAAAGGCCACATTTTCTAAGAAAACCATGGCATGTTTTTTTTCTTTTTTAAATCCAAATATTTACACACCATTTCCAGCCCTGCCATATGATCTTCCACTATGTCTTTTAGATCATTAATTTTAGCTGTGTATCTATCAGGGGTCTTGATCATGCACATTTTCTGTGGAGAAAAAAATCATAATAAATCTACTAAGATAGTGCACATGAAGACTAAATATTTTCAATAACAGTGATTTGAATGAAATTTTAATTTCAGTGTTAGTTTAACAGATACGGACAAATGTGCTTATTTAGTAGCAAATTCAAAGTTTTAATTTTAAGTTTAGACATAAATGTTAGTATTCCTTTATAGATTTACCAAGTTGATGTGTCTTTTTTGTCCAATTTTGCCCTGCAAGCTATGTGTTTATTTACCAGTTCTTTTGAAAAATATTAAGGTGGCATTTTATATGAAAATTTTAAACAGATGTTCATGGAATAACCAGCACAATTAATGTTTTCTATCTGATCATTGATTGTAAACATGTATTCGTGCATTCCTGTTTTGGTGAAAATCACATAAAGAGTGCTGTATTTTTTCTACGTATGAATTCCACTAGCACTACAAGTTTGATGAGGAAGCCCAAAAGTCTAATGAAAAGTCTAAAAGATCATGACTTCAGAATCAGAAATCTTACTGGTTGTCCAATCTTCATGCCCATTTCAGTGTTTTTCCATTCCAGACTGTCTCTGATGACTGCTATTGCAGTCTTCTTAAAGAGCTGTTCCTTACAGTATAGGAACATGTCCCGACACTTCTCATCTCGCTCAAACTGATCCGAGACACAACACACCACAACCTGTGTTGAAAAAGTATAACTTTCTTGATGATACACTATCAAAGACTTTATATAGGTACATATAGCTACAGAATTCACAAGTTAATTTTCCAAGTTTCATAATTAATTGTTCAAATTGATGTTACTTTTTCCAATTAATGCTGGACATGAGTACAACAATACTAAGAGAGAGTATTGATCCTACCTTGCAGTTTTTCACAGCTAGAGTCAGCTCACTAAGGTCAGCTGTATTAATGTCATCATGCATGAATCTGTAATATCAAAGAAATTAAAAATAAAGTGGATAATCTCTAAGCATAGCAGCATAACAAGGGAATAAAATAAAGAAGGTAAGTAAAATGCATGTGTGTGAAGAAAAATAAACCTTGAAATCTAGAAATTTCATGATAAGAAACTGCAAGAAAGATCTCTCAAATTAATAATAAATATTGTCTTTTCTTAATTAGTTAGTTTGTACAGGAAAATAATTCTTACACAGAAAATCCCCAATGGGAGAGGTCCTCCTTGATTTTAAATGGGTGGACCTCTTTTTTGACATCACTGGGAATGTCTGCGGAGCAGTAGAGGAGGACAACATCATACTGCATGGCGTTGTTAATAGACTGTAGAGCACTGATGCTGTGCTGGAGGTGGATGTCAAAATCAGAGTCCTTATCTTCTGGCATCATTTCTGGTCAAAGAAAATGTTAAAAACATCATTTTTTTTAACCCTTTGTGTGCTGACTTGTTTTACGTGCGCTGTAACCTCAGGACTGAGTTGTTTTGTAATATCAACAAAATTATCACAATGGTGTACTAAAATGCAAATATCTAAAATTGTTGACAACCAATTTGCTTGAAATTTGGCAAATATATAGCAAATGTTGTGTTTTTAAATCTGTACTATTTTTTTTTAAAAAATCTAATATTTTATGTTGCCATGGAAACCAAATTTTCAAAAAATTTATTTTAAAATGACTTTTTATCATTTTAACTATATTTTTCAGAGAAAATATTGCACTTTGATGAAAAAAAATAAATCAATCACTTTAAAAATTCAATTTTAGTTTAATATTATGCAAAAAAAATTAATTTAAACAATAACTCAATGATGAAGTCAAAGTTATATATACTGTTATGTTGTGAAAAGTCACTGTATAATTATCTGAGTAAGGGATATATTCATGTAGGTTTAAGTGAATTCTGATTCAAGTTCATGGATTTTTTTCAGATTTTAACTAAAAAGATTATAAATTGAAGATTCAATTAGCCTGTAAATATAAAACCAGTGATTATTTTAAGAAATATCAACAATCATATAAGAAAGTATGATCCTTAAAGAATATGCAGGTTTTGAGGTTGGGAAATCTTGGAGCAAAGTGGCACAACAATGAACTAATTGCTGTTACTAGTATTCATTTAGTCAAATTAAAGCAGTCAATATGTTAAATAAAATAAAATAACATTTACACTAAGTTATAGAGGTCTTATTTTCTAATGACTTGTATCTAACAGCCCTAAATATACTCTAGTAATTCTCAAATCTTTTTTTTTTTTATTTTGCTTTTATTGAAGAAAATGCATTTCTCCGTGTTATTTGTAAAGTTTACATATTCATCAACTTTCCTCACTCTGCAAGAAATGTGGCATTTATTTTAGAAGTTTTATTCCTGGCTGTCAACAATAATTGCCAGCAGGAAAACTAGTACTTTAAATTTTAGAAATTTAAGCACCTTTAACAGTCATTTATAATGTTTTCAAAAATGACTTCATTCAATGTGCTTACTGGTGAATAACAGTTTTGATTTTTTTCAATTGATTTTAGTTAATGATGGTTGACAGATGTGTACCATAATATCAATCAATATATTAAGAAATACTTTTAAGTTTATGCAAGTTTAATGGTATGGGTCATGGATATAGGCCAAGTAAACTCAGTCAGTAGAGCATCTGACCGGTGATGCAGGGGCCCCTTCTTAGATTCACGGTCCAGCCGTGCATTTTCTCCTTCCTTGTTACATATTTGATGCTATTGACCCCTCTGGATTTGCAAGTGAAAGTCCTGTCAGGGGCTAATAAGAATTTGGGTTGTGTCTGCAAGGATAAAGATAACTTTAAGGAGTGATATGTAATGGTTATGTAATGGTAATGGGTATCAACCTAGGTAGCTCATTCGGTAGCTAGAGCACCTGACTAGTGAAGCAGGGTTCCTGAGTTCAATTCCTGGTCCAACCATAGTTACCATACATTTTCTGCTTTCCTATTACACAAGTTTTAAATGTGCCTGAATTTTTACTTCAACAAAAAATATTATTCCTAATACTGTATACACGGAAATTTTCGCCCGTGTTTTATTTTTGCCCCTTTCACCCTCTCCTTGATTGGGCAAATTAAAATTACACCTCATAATTTCCTTAACAGAACTATGACTGGGTGAATTTAAAACAGGGCAAAATTGTTCACAAGTTCAAAAGGCGAAAATAACATGGGGCAAAAATAACCCTGTAAACAGTAATGAAATTTATATTTTATTTCCACTATAAGATTTCTTTGTATTCTTAGTAACTATTCATATTTTCATATTTAAAAATAAACATATCTTTGGAGACCAAAATGTAATCTTTGTTGATAAGTAATTGTACAGGAATTTGCATTTTTGAAAAAAAAAATTTTGACCATCATGAAAAAAAATTCTCACAACAAATCTTAGCCTTTTTCTGTATTCATTTACTGTTACATATCTAGAAGGGATGGAATGTAGAAGCTTCTTGGGCCTTATAAATTTGTAAACTACAGGACATATTACATATCAATAGGTGAAAACTTGTAAAGTGTGTACTTATGAGTTTGAGAAGTACAATTCCTACAGTAAAACTCAGTTATAATGAAGTCACTGGGACTTATGAAATTACTTCACTATATCTGTAATTCGTTCAGTGGCGGATTTAAGGGGGGGCGCACCCGGCGCGCGCCCCCCTTAAATTGTCAAGTTTTTTTTTTTCGTCTAGAAAATGTCAATAAGTCTACTTGGTAGACCCCATTTTTATCCTACAAAATCTCTAGAACCAGGAGCTTCCGGGGGCTTCGCCCCCTGGGCCCCCACCAGGGCTTTGCCCAGGACCCACTGGGGGCCTCAAGGCGGCCCCCAGACCCCTTGCCTATTTTTGGCACCCCCTCTAACTTCAATTCCTGGGTCAGTGCCTGTTTGTTATAACTGTATAAGAAATCAATTAAATTTATTTAGCTGGGTATCCAAATTGACTTCGCTATATCTGTAAATTTGCAATATTTGTGTTCGTACTAAATGAGTTTTGCTGTATTACCCAGTCTTTATTGTTATTTATTGAACAGATGTACATGCAAGTCCATACGATTTACACATTACTCATTCTAAAGACTCTGATCTCCTTCTTATGTCTACAAAAATGACAATTCATCTTAATTTTAAACTGTAGAGATACATTTTATTTAACCAGTGAATTTTATAATTTTGTGTGTGCATGTATAGGTTGGGGCAGTCTCACTGTTTTTGGTTTTTAATAAAATAAAAATAAAAAGTGGAGGAAATGTGCAATTCAATCCACATGCTTTATTCTGGCAAAAGTCTATTTTAAAGAAAAAGAAAATTACTCCCTGATACATGTTCTTAAACTTGGTTTAAAAAAAATTCTGATACATGTAGTACCAATTATTTTCACTTACCAATTAGGTCCCATGCAAACTAGAGTATGTACCGTAAATGCCTTGAAGAAATCTAACTCTAAGATACCGAAGATCCCGGAACATATTTTTGTTTTGAAATTATTGAGAGTCTATATAATCCTCATCAAGGAAATAAAAATGGTATTTTATTATTTACTGAAATAAAACAAATACCACAGTTTACACAAATGACAGTCATTTCAGGGAAAATCAGCACTTCAAAATTTTTTCATCACTTTTTACCATTTTTATGTATATGCACATGATCAAATGCATCAATGCATCTTTTCTGATAACTATAGCTTACATTTGAAGACACTATATAGAAAAAATCAAGTTTATTTTTAATTTTTAATTGTGCTAAAAAGTTTACAATTTATCATATACTGTTATAAAAAAATATTTGAAAGTTTTCCCAAATAGATGGAACATTAAGCAGCTTTAAACCAGAATTTTTAGGTGTAATTAGGGCCACTTAATTGACTCAATGATTGTCAATTATAAAATTCATATTGTGTATATTTCGAATACGTGTATCATGAATGAATTTTGCTTGATCACAAAAATATGTTGATGGATATATATTCTCTATATATCTCTTTTTCACTCACTTATTAATGCAATAACTCATTGGAAAATTTTCTACAATGTTCAAGGTCCTCCACATTTATTACTTTTATTAGATGGAACCTTTTTTATCTTTCAACATCTTTGAAATGGGTCTTTAGATTTAAAAAAAATTGTTTACTTATTTATTTGTTTATTTATTGTTAAAAAAACAAATGCTTTTAATTAACAAGATGCTTCAAATTAATTTTTGTTAACCGTTATTTTAAAGCAAAGCTTGATTTACGTATGTAAACAACGTGCCAGAAAAACGTCTGTGACTTGCCAGGTTCAATCTCGCGCATTATTGTTTTCATTTAGACGATGTAATGTATGTCTACTTACAAAACACCAAATAAACAAATAATAACTACCGTATGTCCAAAATATAAAACTTTACCGACCAGATATAAGCTCTCGATATGCTTCAGACTGAAGTTCAGTAGCATGTGCATCCTACTTTCGTTTTAACAAGAAGAACTTCACAAGGTTAAGGTCAAATCAAGTTAACCAGAGGTTTTCTGCTAAAATATCGAAAATTTCTGAGTAATTTTAAGTCTACTAACACAAATTTATTAGAATTATTGATATTTAACTATTTTTTGGATTTATTTCTTTATTTTCCTTTATATTTGAGCAAGTTAGTAGATATTTATTACATGCGCGTTTTTTCCCTGTTTCCAAAAATAGCGGACTGACTTTCATCGTAACAAACGCCAAACACCTTCACTTTAAATCACAATTTCACAAACAATTCGCATATTTTCACATCTTAATTACCTATTTTTCAATGTGTTGTAGTTGTATAATACATTTTGATAGATTCTGAATAATTCACAGCTCATTTATACGTTTTATACGACGTTTTAAGTGACGAAGCGCTAATTTCAGACTCAGACCCAACATATTGGGTTCCCGCACGCAAGCGTTTGTGACGTCAGACCCAATATATTGGGTTCCCGCACACAAAGGGTTAAAATGAGAATGCTATAAATTGAAAACCTGAATTATCTGCTGTGACCTTGACTACAGATGTGATCTTGAACTCTCTATGTACTGGTGTACAGTGCATTTACCAAAATTAATATTTGACAGAATTTTACAAGATATAAGGGTGTAAAGTTTAAACTGTGATTATACTCAGAAAGATATCATTTTTATCTATACTCACCGTCAATAGAAACTCAACACCTTAATTTTAGGGTGAAAATTTTATACAGGTTATCACTATGTACCAAAAACGTTAGGACATCTTTTACTTTGCCAAATCAGTTATTTAACGGTTGAATGAATTTCTTTCCATTACCGGAAGTTGTTTTTTAGCCCTCTTAACAGAATTCGAAATTTTTCATTTTATATAAAATTTTAACAATATTTTGAGTTTCTAAGGTTTTGAAACTGTTAATCATAAGTATTGTACTAAAAGGCCGGGAAAAAATCCTTCTTTCTTTACCGGATGTGATGCTTATATTTCCTCAAAATGACTGATTTTTATTGCTAATGCTGGAAATTCTCAAAATAGAGAAAAAAAAGAGCTGCAGATGCAAATGTACACTATAAAACGACTCATCAGGCTCATGTGTTTCTATAGCATAAATGACAGTTTCTTGACCGGAAGTCCAAAAGTTGCTACACTACGCCAGGTTAGAGAAAATTCGACCGCAATATCTGAAAAACTTTTATTTATAAATGCCCAAGAACATTAATTTTGCTCAGATTAAGACATTAATAAACTTAATGCATGGTAGAAATCGGGCTGCATTTGTTGTATATGGCGACTAGCACATTTTCATTAAATGGTCAGAAAGGGGGATGTTTTAAGATTTACCGGGTATTTGTTTCTTTCTAAGGTCTAAAAATAACATGTTATGTTTAAATGGAGCATTAATTTGTTGTAAATTTACTTTTTACATAAATATATTCATTTTTAATGTTATCATTAAACTTTATAAGGTAATTTATAACTCTTAAAACATCCCCCCTTCTTGCTATCAGTCATTTTGAGGAAATATAGGCATCACATCCGGTAAAGAAAGAAGGATTTTTTCCCGGCCTTTTAGTACAATACATATGATTAACAGTTTTAAAACCTTGGAAACCCAAAATATTGTTAAGATTTTATTTAAAATGGAAAATTTTGAATTCTGTTAAGAGGGCTAAAAAGCAACTTCCGGTAATGGAAAGAAATACATTCAACCGCTAAATAACTGATTTGGCAAAGTAAAAGATGTCCTAACTTTTTGGTACATAGTTATAACCTATTTTTAATTTTCACCCTAAAATTAAGGTGTTGCGTTTCTATTGACGGTGAGTATATATGCCCATATAACTTTAAACAAGAAATTGAAAATTTTACTTGGATTTAAATGATTGAAAATTTCTGTTTCCAGTAAAATATTCATATCTTTTATGTTGTTGTTAAGATGTTTGATTACTGATGCCCTCACCTAACAACTGGCCCATGGAGACAGTGTGGAAGTATTTAGTGCACTGAAGGAACGGGGCTTTGTGATCTTTAGCTCTGCGTATCAGTTCTGCTTTAAACAAACATGGATCCTTTGTTCCCTGTTAAAAAACATATAACAATGTTAACAAATCATAATATCAGACATATAACAGAGACCTTAACACTTTGTAAATTGTTCTCATCAGATATTGGTCAATAAAAGAGGAGTAATGATTAAGTTAATGATTAACTAACAGGACTGGTCAAATAAACTGCCATTTTACCTCTTTGCTGATACAGTCGGGGCACGGGACAAAGTAATCGTATATCACACCGTGGAAGGACTCCAATATCAAACTCTCAAACACCTCATGCACTAGGAGGAGAATGTTTTCTGGCCGTGGACCTTGAACCAACACCATTAATTCTGAATCACTGCAAAAGGAAACAAGACATGTACTTGTAACTTTCTAAGACTATTCCCCCACATCTGATTTCCATTTCTTTTAATAATAAGAAAATGAGCACCAGGGAATTTCAAAATTAAGAAGTGGATTTCACCTACTTATCAAATAAAATAACATACAAAAATCAGCTATCAATTTGGGTTATGGAATTATCATAGCTGTGCCTGGAAAATATAAACCTTTTATAGGGAACTCAGTACTTACTTTTCCTGTTTGATCAAGGCCAGGTGATTATTTTTCTTCAGGAAGGAGCCATTCTTCCAGATGATCTTCCCATCAGAGAAGTTAAATAATCTGACCTGTTATACATAGTCATAATTATTAAATAAAGACTCCCAGGATAAAAACAGCTTTATGATAAATTAAGGCTGCTTCTTTATTTAAATGAAATTAACTAAGTGAAGATGACGCTTGACCTGAGCTCTGTTGAACAGACCAGCTGGCAGGTAAGCAAACTTGTACAGCATCTTGTTTTCCCTGATTCCATGTTCTACATCTGATTCAGGCCACGTCAGCTGTAACACAGAAACAGAATGTATTATCAATGGTGCTCATGCAGTCAATAAAATCAGGACAAGGGCTCCATGAGCCACAATCCTCACTAAGAATTTTGTTTTAAAATGTACCCCTATTGGGAATCTTGCCCAAGAGGCCAAGAAGAGATTGAATCAAGTTCAAAGAGAAAATCAATTTGTGGGTCTCTTAGTACCAAAAAACAACAAAAGTAACCCCCTCCCATTAGTGATATCTCAGCATACAGGGAAATAGTAACATGTAATGACAAACCTCTGGTGGGGGCTCCAGGGGAAGGAGACATGGTACAATGTTAATGGGTTTGCCAGGCAGGGGGAAGGTCAAGTCAAACTCCTCTGTCAAACTCAACAGCCAGTTGTGTAGGCTCTCATCATAGCTACTCCACACCTCCTTAATGTGATCGTGCAAAAATCGCCCATCGTGTTTCTAATATCAAAAAGAAATTCAAATCTTAGTTTTTTTCAAATCTGATGAAGAATTCTATACAGTGTGTAGATATTCTGTAAGTTTTACCTGTATGGGGGATTTTTTGACTGACACAACACATGCCATCACGTTCACTATCCACTGTGGGTTAATTACTACTTTGTCTCGCAGGAAGTCATTGTCAAAGTACTGCACTGTACCCAGGTCATCAAGGAATTTTATTGCCTGCTTCACCTGATATAAATAAACTTTAACACTCAACCACTTTCTTCTAACGTTGTATGTACTAATTTTATATCATTTTGGTGAGACAAGAAATCTTCATCCTGATACACATTTATATATACATGTATAGAAAGCATGTTAAAATCAATCCACTGTTGTTGAATTACAATTTTGTTATACAGGAAATCATTTGTAAAAGAACTGTGATGTATCCAGAAAAAAAACCAGTTCAGTATTTAAGTAAGCTGTGCGTCCTTTGTTCCAAGTGGAAACTTGTTTTAATCTTCAGTTTTTGTGAGCAAAGAAGAGAAAATGATTCTTACATCTTTTTCATCAAATATTCCATGTTCAATTGCAAAGTCTTCAATGACACTGTAATCCAAAATGCTGTGTTTTGCTCTTTCCCTGCAACACATCATATTACATATTTATCACAACGGGATATTCAGTATTTAAATAATTTGATTTGATTTTCCCATTTAATAATATGACAAAATTATCCAAGACTTAGTATTTAAAAATTCTTGTATCTCATACATGTAGTAAAATCTAAAAACATAGGGAGACTTTGGCATATTTTCCATTCCTAAAGCTTAGTATACATGTATATGACAATGTCACCTGATATCTGAATAAAATCAAACTAACCCCAGAATCTTTTTCTCCAGATTCAGCCAGACCTGTGGGATTTTTTCTCCCATGTAGGACTGACTCAATGTTACAGAAAGCAGTTCCTTCTGAAGCTCGGGGATTTTCTGTAAATAAGAACTTCAAGGTTAATGTCATACAGTCTTAAACGCAGACAACATAATGGATCTTACAAATTAATCATGTGATTTCTACAACTGTACAGCATTGCCAGACTTTATACAGAAAACATGACACTACTGTAGAATCTGTACAGTGACTTACATCTCCAGTGAGAGAGCTGACATAATGGAAACTCTGGATCTGTGGGTATCTGGCCTTCAGATCCTTTTCTGGAATCTCCTGTTTAGGAACCTACAAAACCACACAAAAATATTACATTTTTTACAACAAGTATTGTAATGTGTTATTATTCTTCATAGTTAAGTCTTTTGTATTAATTTGCCACACTCTCTTTCAATTTAGATGTCATAATGTTTTGTTAATGGGTAATCAAAAATCGATATTAACATCTTCTCTTGAAAACCAATTCACATACTTTTAACGTAACTTTGAAATAACATTTTATTTAAAATCAGTCTCACCAAACCAGCTTATTCAACTGTTTGCCATGCTCGACTATAGTTGTTTATGGCATATTATATTGTAAACAGAGGCAGCCAGATCCCACATACCTGATCCGACTGGGTTCCAATCACCAGAATGGGAGTGTCCGGTGCATGACAGGCTATTGAGCTCAACCAGAAATCCAAACCGGCATGCTCAAACCCCATCCTCATATTCCACAACAGCATGTACACAGCTCTCTTGGACATGAAAAACTGAAGAAAAAAAATAATTCAAAATTCTGACTGGGTATTTATTCTGTGCTTTCTGTGTTTACCAAACTTGTACACATTTTAAAGAATTCATCTATCTTTCATTGCCTGTAAAAAAAAAAAGAAGAAAGAAATGCATACCTGATGTGTATTATAATAAACAGTCTGTCCAGCAAAGTCCCATGCAGAGAAAGTAATATCGAGCCCCGACTCGGATTTAACTGTCCATGTCTTGATGTCGATACCATCAGTTAGCTGAGCATTCTGGGTACCAACTGTCTTCTTTGATGAGCTCATCAAGGCTTGCAATAAACTGACAGAAGAAAAAAATTATAAATTATTGCCCATTTAATTACTAGTATGTCTTTTAAACAAATCAGTTTTTCTTTTAAACAGTTAAATATATTAGCTGCTGAAAGCATTATCCGAGCTCCTTCACATTTAAAATTTTCAAAAATTTGCCAAATTTAGATTGAAATTAATGTACTTAATAAAAATGAATAAGGTCAATACATGTGGCAATTACCCGGATATATAAAAAAGATTGATCTCAAACATACCTAGTTTTGCCTGCCTCACCAAGTCCTACAAACATCAGCTTTGTTCTGCGACACTCTGTAAAGCCTCCATGGAGTCGCTTTAAATAGGCCTTCACCGATTCAAATCCTCGACCTACGACCTCTAGAGGCGGAGTCCTTAATGATGGACAGCTGTGTAGATTCAATCCTGAAGGGAGACAGGTCATATTTTAGGTATTCTTCTTTACATTCATTGTTTCATTAGTATATTGTACACATTGTATAAATCAAAACTAATTTTTTTCAAAAGTCAAAGTTTCTACATCTACAGACCTAAATGCTGAGTGTACATATATATTAATTAATCTCCTACAGACTTTACAGAAAGACAGGGTGTTTCAAGTGTAACCCAAACAATTTTGATTTTATTCATTATACTCACTCTTGATGTTGGGTAGGAGCCCGATGGCTGAAGCAATGCTCTGTAGTAGCAGACAGTGAGTAAGACTGAGAACTCGGAGATTTGTCAGGTTAGCGATGTCCGCTGGAATCATCTGAATGCCCTGGTTGTTCAGGTACAATTCCTGTAAGTTCTTCATCTGGAATATCACTGGCGGTACTCCGCCACTTTTTAAATTGGTTCCTGTTATAAAAGTGAAACAGAATCAAGACCTGTTGTTCATATTTACTGAAAATTTCTCCATTAATGGCAATGTTTTTATAAAGTAAAAATTGATTCCTACCCTCCCAAATCAAGATTTTTAACCATAAAAAGTTCACAAGTATGTGTACATGCATGCTTCAAAGTCTCCAAACAAATTTCAAATTCAAGGATTAAAAATTTGGCAAGAGATGATTTAAAACCATGTACTCTATTTTTGTCACCCAGAAACATGTGTTTCTTTTGTTTGTTTTTGTTTTTAAAGAAAAGAGTTACATTCAAAATAACATGTACAGTGGGCCCTCATTTATCCAGACGCTTTGGTTCCCAGTTAATTTGTCCAGATATGTGAAGCATCCGGATATCTGAATCACCAGTTAAACAAGACAAAATAACATTTGAAAATTTCGTTCCGATGAAAAATCGTCCAGATACTGAAGCATCCGGATATCTGGCATCCGGATATCTGAAGGTCCACTGTATATTTGTGTTAAAAGGGCTGCATGCAATATCAAAAGAAATTTTGGCTGCAACATGTTAATATTAGCTATAATGGAATGGAATAACTAAAACTGTGATGAAGAAAATAATGTTTACAGTGCTGTGACCATAGCTTAAAAGATGGTGAGGGTATAGAACTACTTGTACTGCTAAATGTATATGTACTAACTACATGTAATGTAACAAATTTAATCATACTATTCAATGCATACCACATATAAAGCAAGTGTAGCAACAGTGAAGAACTGTACTTAGTAAAGTTTTCATAACTATAAAGTGATGTTTTTGTACACTGTAGATTCCTTTTTTGTGAGTACCTATAATAATTTATTATCATGAAATGGTTCTTTTAAGTCTAATCACAAGAACAGTAATCCATAAGTGGACAATTGATCAAGAGATTGATTTCAGCATGGCAATAGAAATAAAAGAAAGCAATTTCATTTCACCAGTAGTGCTTCTCGCAAAATTATGTGATATTTAATTCCTCACATATTTTTTAGGAATCTACAGTAATTGTCTACCAGGTCCAGAAGACGACTCTATTAACCCTCAAGAGAAAAAAGGAAAAAGACAGAGATCAATGAGGGGGATAAAGATTTCAAATAAGTGTGTGATTTCTTTTAAATCACACTGACAATGTCAAGATCATCAAATCTCTTTTGACAAGCATGATAAATCAGTCAAATGAGATTTTCTTTCTCTAAAATGATTTCTAAATAGATCCATGGCCCAGGTACCCCTGTTTTAAGAATTTGCTTAGTGATATTTCAAAACAAAAGAAATATCTCTTAAAATGAATTGTGTGTTTAAGTAAGATAATTTTTATGGAAAAGAGATACATGTACCAAAATGATGCCTCTCTGCTCTCTATTTTTTTAACATTAGATATCTCTCACTGTTATAGTAAATCAATTTTTATTCACAAGTCAGAATTTCAGTTTAAATTTGCCCTTATCATGAGGCCACCTGCACATTTAAGTTTTATAATAATAGAATATAGGACAAACTTTTGCCTACTAGTACCACAAATAACTTTTACTTCTAAATCCAAATACATGTACAAGATTTATCACTTTCCCTCCATTTAATCTCTGTCTTTACAATGCATTATAAGCTAAGACTCTCAGCTCATCAAATCTCATGCAGTAAGACTAAAACTAATTATAAAGATGATAGACATCCTTTAATATAAAGACTAAGATAAGTATTTCTACTGTAAACATACTTTTCTCCATGGGTTGCAGATTATCACAGGATTTTTATAACATGTTAATTCATTTCATAAAAAAAAACCGATGACAATATCTCCAGGAAAAATTGTGACTAGGAACGTGATGTAAATTAATTCCATATTGAAAAAAGTATGTCTGCAGTACACATAAACCTATTTGACATCAGCAATTAATTGAGGAAATTTACTTACCCTCATCTCGATCTTATAGTGATAAAAAAAAAATAAGAATGATGTCTTAAATATATTGAGACAAAGCAGTAATTTCTCAACAGATGAAATCAATCATTTAAATTATTCAATCAGATTTGTGAAGTTGTGTCAGTTTTATTCAATACAGCTTATAAGTCAACTCAGGTTTAGTGCACTATATTTCCTGAACAGCATGAAGTTTAATGTTAATTTATACAAAGTGTAAACTTAATTACCACAAACCGTAGACTTAATTACCACAAACCATAAACTTAATTACCACAAAGTGGAAACTTACCAACAACTCCAAATCTAGGAATGCTGAAGAAGAGTTTTAAATTCAATTGGGCCAGTTCTTTCAATTCTAATGCACTGTTCTTATTTTGGTCAAACTCTTCAAACATCTTGATCACAGCCTAATGAAAGAAAAGAATTCTATTTTTAGGCATCCAAAAAATATAGGGCAAAAATATTCATCAGAGCATGTACTGTCAGCTGCTAGCTAAGGATAATGCATGTACTTCTTTTGCCAGCTTAAATTGTATGGAGATAGCAATGGGTCCATTTGTAAGAGTGTATGCTTGGATTAGATTTTTGGTGATTCTAAGAGACGATAAATATCACCAGCTATAGATGATGTGCCTCTAGTCCTTCCTTACAGACCTGACCAACTGGGATCATGTTTCATTGGGCATAATATAGAACAATCTTGAAAAACTTTGAGGTATCCACAAGTTTGAGATTTCAAAGTTGGAATTTAAAAGTCATAACAAGGTTGAAATGGAAACTCCTGTACAGATGTCAATGGTTTTCACCATATCACAACTGACTAAAAAAAAAAGAACTGACTCACTTGTTTGGACATGAAGTTTGTAATCATGGGGTTTTGTTCATGCCAGCTGAGGTACTGCTCCTTTGTGATGCTCTCCTTCGTTCCCTCAAATGTAATCAGTGGAATTCCTGGGAATGCAAAAGTATAATTATTATTGGGATCTGATTAATAAAAGGACAGCTGAAAAGGAGGCTATACAGGATTTAGAAGACAAAATACTAGACTTCTGATGTCTTGGATGCAAATTATTGTTCTTCCTCATAAAACACTTTTAATAAATATCTCACAAGAGTAAAGTGTGATAATCAATAGACATATTTAAATTCCAATTGCATTTGCAGCACAGTTATACCTTTCACAGACAGAATCCTGAGCTTTGACAGCTGCTCCAGTTCTTTGGGTAGAGTGATTATAGGGTTGTAGTCAAGGTATAATTCTTCAAGCTCTGTCAAAATATTCAGCTGTTTTGGGACAGATCTAAACTGAAGGCCCTGGAGGACCAACTTTTTTAGCTTGCTGCTGTGTGGCAGGTTCACATCCATACTCTTCATAGGCAGATTAATCACAGTCATGCTCTTCATCTCGGGAATCTCCAGAATGTCTTTTGGTAACACTGGAATGTTCACATTCTGCAGTTTAACCGCTTCAAGTTCCGCTAGCTTAGAAGCTCCAACTGGGCAGCTAGAATCCTTCTCCAATGTCCCCGATTCCAGTGAAAAATACTGCAGATTTGGAAATTTGGAGAAGAAATCGTTAGGAATGTCAGGCAGGTCTGGAACATCCCATTCAAAAGCATTCACAAACTCATTGTATGGTTCAAAGAACTTATACTTAATGCCAATATCTTCTGTGACTAAGCCTTCATTTTTGACAATGGAGACCATGTGGGCTTTACAAGTTCTCTGACGACCCTGTCGCATGATTTTGTGGCTTTCTTCCATAGTTTCTTCTTTGTAGACTATTGGTCCAACGTCCTCATTTTTTATCAAATCCTTGACCTTATTAGAACCAAAAGCAGGATTCTCTTGATTTGGCAATCCACCGTGTTGTGCAGCATATAAACTACACAAGGACGCAAAGGAAGAAAGAATGTGAAACAGCAGCTGCTCAATCTAAAAGAAAAAATATATAAGGGGGAAACTTATACTTACAAATAATTTTCATGAATAAAAGTAAAATATAAAATACAGAAAATACTATATATAGTAAATAGAAGCCTTTACCCTCTTTCTTTCCAGCTGTCCCATCTCTGTGGACATTAACTGAGCATCTGTGAACACTTTGCTGTAGGATGGCAATAATAGCTAAAATATTTAGATTTCATCACATTACTTGCATATCAAAATCAATGACCTTAACTCAGGAGACTAGGAAAATTTCCAAGTAAACTGAGAATTTATGTCAAACATTATGATGATTGAACACATTTCCTTGGAATATTCCGGTAGTCAAATGAAATTTACATAACATTGGTCTGTCTGTTCTTCAAAGAACAAAACCAATTTCTTTTAATAATCATAATCACAACATGGACATAAGATGTTTTATTTTGACTCTAAGTTTCAAAGAATATGTAAAAAAGAGATCACAAAAATTTCGGGCTGAGTTTTTCACAAACTGTAGATTTTGATTTGTTAAACTAGACCAACCTTTTGTCCAATCAGCGCCAGATAAACCCAACCCTGGAAGTTACAGCAATAGGACAGCTCTACAGGAACAGGTTGTTCTGGGGTCATTGCTGGCATATCCATAAAGTGGATGGGAATTTTCAAATTAATTTTCTTCTGTGCTTGAAAGTGAACCAGTTGATCTGAAATGAAATGTTTTTTTTTCCCTCTAGATTTCAGTTTTGCCATTTATACACAAAACAAAAGAAGGTTTACGGGGTTCAGTTGGTTTAATATTTAACATATCAAATCCATACAAACACTTAAAACACATAGAAAAATTATAAACAATAATGTAAATCTCAAAACTCATACTTGTTTGGCGCTCTGGGGGCTACTCATACTTCTCTACCTTTCCTTCCTACTCTTAACTGTTAAAGCCACTCCAACCTGATCCCGAAAACAACTAAACATAACTCTGCCTAGGGCTGATCCATAAAGGCAAGCACAAATTACAACTCCGGGCTGATCCCAGGAGTGCACAATGCCTGGGGTTGATCCTAGCAGGCTACAAACAAGACAAACCTCTGGGCTGATCCCAAGAGGATGCTCAACAAGAAACACTGCCTAGGGCTGATCCCTAGAGGCAAGCACAAATCGCCACTCTGGTCTGATCCCAGGAGTGATAATGCCTGGGGCTGATCCCAGCAGGCCACGAAACCTGTCGGACCTCTGGGCTGATCCCGAGAGGATGTAAACAAGATACATAGCCTAGGGCTGATCCCTAAAGGCTAGAAATAGAACCCACACTCCAGGCTGATCCCAGGAGTGCATCACGCCTGGGGCTGATCCCAACAGGCCACAGAACCAGACAAATACCTTCGAGTTAAAACTATGTACATGCACTATTTTGACTAAAATATACAATTTTTTTTTTTTGTACATGTACTACACTATACAATTTAAGAACTAATCTACCTCAGACACACAAACATAAATATAAGTAATATTGGGGGCAAAATTCCCCAGGAATGAACGCCAAATGAACGAAGTAATGAGTGAAGCCCCCAAGTAATATCACTCTAGCAAAATGCTTATGATAATACCTGAGTTACTGTATCATTTAAATGTAACGTATCCAAATCAAATGGCTTGAACTAATTAACCATTGTTCAAAAGATTGGATATACATGTACAAGTAATCAACAGATATTTTCTTGAATTGTTCTTAAGCCATATTTTTAGAGATGTTTGCAAATGATCTAATGGTATTCTATGCTAGTGCAACAGAACAATTGTTTTTTAAGATTTCATGTGAAACAATCATATAGTCTCCGTACACACAGTACATACCAACAAAGAAACAGAGGCGATGCACGGCTATGTCCTCAAACATGTTAGAGATGGATGGATACAGCAGCATGTTAGCGTCCAGTTTACTGGGCAGGAAGGCAAAAGAATCCTCCACATGACCCCCATTACCATAACCTGTAAGCCAGCTAGCCAGGGTACGAGTGTTGTATGTGATATGCTGCTCCTGAACTATAATGGAAAAGTTAAAGAAATGAATGAACATACAAGCCGTAATACCAAACGAATTAACACTGCAATGATTTTTTTCCAGAAAATGAAATAATATATAGATATTTCATTTTGTAAAGAATTACACATAGAAAAATAAAATTAAATGCTTCAAAATGTCTCACAAACTAGTTATTGAATAACTAAGTACTTCAGACAATACTGGAAATGTCATCAGCTTTAGTGTAATGGATATTATTATGTAGATTATATAGATATTATTATTCACATTTATTCTCCTCACAGTTGCAGTCCTAAAGCCTGTATATTAAGTCACCTGAGCATTGCTTTATATCTACATAATTTTTTATATAGTCACCTGTGTATCGCTTTATATCCTGGAAACACGAGGCGTAGGTTGCTAGGGAGTCCTCCCTCCAATCTCCGTCAATCTCGTCCAAAATTTTACCCCCACCCTACAGTATAATCAGGTTATCAGAACATTTATAGTGAATCTTACAAATAACAAGAACAGTAACACCCCCTACAGTACAACCAGGCTATCAGAACATACAAATATAGCAAATCTTGCATTTAACAAGAACAGTTAAACCCCACGAAGAAATGTTTTATAAGGTATACATTTACAAACAAGATGTACCTTAGAGATGAGATATGGTGGTGCAGCAACATATGTTCTAGTCAAGAACTTCATAGTAGCTGCAAAGAAAATAAGATCATAATTCTTCAATACTCTTCATTTAAATTCAGGTTTAAAGTCTTAATAATATGCAGAAAGGAAATTAAAAAATTTAAAAAATTTCTGAAATTCTTTTTTATACTACGGCTTTCATTTTCCTTTAACTCTTACAGTCAGCTTTGTAGAGGAGAATTTTTTTCTCTGCGTCGTAGTCTTCTTCCTTTACCCCCAGCATGGAGGTATCATAACAGATAACTTCATTCTCCTCCGCCCCGTCAGGCGTGTACTCCAAACAATACCCCCCACCATCATATATCTCAGTAATCAAGGCTTCCGCTATCTGTTTGACATTCCTAAAATTTGGAAGATATTTAACCCTATATGTCTTTCTTCTGACTAATTAGAAGCTAAATCCTTTGCTTACTTGAAAAAATAAATTCATATACTGCTAAGAAAACAATTTTTTGTAAGATTTCCCACAAATAACATTGACAGTTATCAATGTATTCTGATGTGTGATAAATTCTGCAGTCTAAGAATTGCTTTTATTTACCCATCCAGTGTCACCAGTAGTTTCATTCCTCGCTGTAACTTCCCTGGATACAAGTAACTCTGAAATGATAAAGCAGTCATATAACAAGCCAGTGACAATTTAACATACAAATCATCTCACAAATAAGGTCATATTTAAGAAAATTTGAGAATTGTTTAAAAGCGTATTACTCCGACTGACACAAATTTAATTTTTAAATTAAGCATAATTTGAAGTCATTTATAAGGGTTATTACCCTATTTTCTTAAACAAAATAAATGAAAATTAAAGTACGAGGAATTATTCAATAGCTTCCCAATTCATATGGTATTAATTGGGTTTGAACAGTTTACATTTTTTTATACACTGTTTTGCATTTTATTATGTATAAACTGCCCCAACTCAGTTGGATCCATATAAATTAGGTAGCTATTAAATTCATACCTTAATTAATTCATAGAGGTAAAATTGCAGTGGATAAATCCAATATTTCAATTCAAGCTTTACTTTTGCATTTTGCATGCTATGCACTAACAAATGGATACAGAGTTTGACCTACTGGACATTTTGGTGCATATATTGAGTATTCTCCAGCAGTATAGGGAATCTCTAGTCTGTAGTCCACTGCCGGAATCCAGTAGTCCCCAATCAGTTCAGCATTCCTAAATATCTGCAGCTTGTACATATTCTGAAAAATGTCCAAAAAAAATTAAATAATCTTTATACCATGTTCTTACAGGAGTAAAAACACGGAGTCCAAGATAAATTAACTTACACCAACAGGTTTCTCCTTTGGCTGGTATTTTTTAAGTGGTACAACATTCTGTACATTGCTACTGGAAGATAACTCACAGGACAACCTATATAGAGAAAGGAAAGTTCACACACAATAAACCGAAACATTAGCAGGTAAGGTTCAGTAAACCCTGGTGCTTCACTGATGTGGATGATTGTCTAAGGAACATGATTGTACAGATTAAACATTCTGAGCAGACAGTGAGTAGCTAAACCATTCCTGCTACTTACGTGTGAGATGAGAATTTATCCATGCTGACAATATCCTCAGGCTTGTACTCTTTGCTTTTGTCCAATGTAGACCAATATATTGCCAAATCCTTAATGTTTTCTTCATCTACATAAAAAAGAGGCCCACGGATCACACCACTCACCCAAACATGTTAATGTATGAATGATAGCATGTGTCCTAGCTTAGATAAGCACTTCTCGTTAAGATTAAGAAAATGTACTGGCAAATGTGAAATATGCTAACAACAACAACAACAAAAAATTTTGATCAGAAAAGTCAATATTAGACTTTGGCTAAAGTGAGCAAAAAAGATAACTTCTAAATTATATTAGCAACCTGACTTTACAATCAAGTGATCCATGAATCACAGTCAAGATTCCTCTCTCTTCCTTACAAATAAATAATTATGTTATCAACAAAAACATCACAAATTAGCCTACATCACTAAATATAGTACATGTATATAGTATATCAAAATCAATATTCAGTTGTATTTACAGTAATCAATTTAGATCTTTTTATAGAAGTCAATATAATTGTTGATCAAACTTTCTTCCCCCATTGTGGGACCAGCTCTGGCATAGGGACACTGCTTCATAGAAATCAACACAATCTTTGAGGGGGCTATGTCATGCTAACTGAATCAATTCAATCCCTGATATTTTTTTAATAAAATATGTTTAAGTATATTTTTTCTATAGATAATTACCTTTAGCATAGACATTCAGGTGGAATGTCTCTTTTGAATCTAAAGTCAATGTGAAATATTTCTGACTATTGACCTCCACCACTCCGGATCCCTGCTCCATGTTCACGGGGTGTAATGGGGGATCAAGGATCTGAAATGTTACAATCACAACTCAGAACAAGTCTATAGACATGACATGATTTCAGTAGTGTTTTTCTATGTCAAACAGTAAAAGGATAGGCTTTTATATAGCAATAAATCATTTTAATTGTATAGTGACCTCTTTACATAAAGGGTGCACCCTCATTTCAATATTATATTAAAAAGAGAACTGTCATTAGTTAAGGGTCATTCACATCTTATTGGATACAGAGGCCCCAACTGGAGAAAGATATGAAATACTCCTGACCTTGATGCCAATTTTAGAAGAGGTAGGGTTGTACAAGACCACAGAACCATAACATCCTCGAGTTCCATATTTTGTCAAAATCACAGAACTGCTAGGCCTGATAAAAAAGAAAAAAGTTATCAAACAGTAAAAACAAAGTCAAAAAATACTTAACTCTTATGTGAAGCCAAAGAATAAATTCTTTAATGAAATTTCAAAGCCAACTTTTTTCAGTCATCAGCTAATGCAAACTTTTACATACGTTATCATCATATTGCCAAGGTTCTCAGTCTCAAAGGTTTTGGGTTTCTTTGCTGCATCCTGTTAGTGAAGTTGATGAAAATTATGTTACAGCGAAATACGAAATGGCAGTTAAATTTTCAATAGCCTGTTGGATAGCTCAATAGAGTATTTAATTTGGTCTAACAAGTATCACATTAGGTTTGAAACTAGGTCACAAGGTTACTCAGGTGTATCATTGGTTTTTACAGGTAAATGTGAGTTGATTTCAATGTTGTATGAAGCCACATGTATGTGCTAAAGTTTTATGCAGTAAATACATGCAATAATTTTCTTTAATTGAAATATTTTTTTTTCAGTAAAATTGTATTCCAGCGCTTCAATAATGCATATATCCTCTGCACACTATCCTTTCTAATTACTATCAAGTCTTGTCACTTCCATTATAAAAACCCATTGTAATCTATTTTCATAATTCACATACAAGTAATTTCATATTACAGGGTAAAATTTCTCTTTTAGACAAATGTTAGTAAACAATAGCACCAACACCCATGTTTTAGATTAAACTGCTTAACATTGCTTAATTCAGCATTCAAATATATTGGTTTTTCCAAAACTTTGAGTACATTATTTGTTGTATGTCAAAATCTCATTATCCATGATTTTTGATTTTATTGTTTTGCTAGATTTATTAATATAGGTTTAAAAATAATTAATATATATAAACTAAAAGTTTTTAACTCTCCTAGCAGTTAAGAATTCTGTAATTGTGATGCTTTTAATATTTGCCTCTCTGTTATTTTTTAAAATATGAAAGAATGAAATAAGAATTGAATATGGTAAAGAATAGAATAAATAGCAAGAGCACCTAGTCTTAGCCATAATTTCTTTTGTAAAACAATTAAGCCTTTTATCAATTCAAATTTCAGTTTTTCAGAGAGTATCAGATATGAATAGAGAAATTTGATGGGTGTAGAAATATTCATCATAATTAATTTAATACATTTTATATGTGCTATTTATATCATTCCAAGTATTTATGATATTATTCAGTTTATGTGCCTGTTTATGTATAATCCATTAAGTGGGAAAAGTGGGGAGCTAACTATGTCCTGACTTTGTTAACAATACCTTTTGTGAGAATGGAAAAGGGGGACTGTCTGTCATTCACTAATTCTGCAAAAAGTATTTGCAATTAAAGAAAAGTATTGCATGTATTTACTGTATAACACTTTGGCACATACATGTGGCTTCATACAACATTGAAATCAACTCACATTTACCTGTAAAAACCAATGATACACCTGAGTAACCTTGTGACCTAGATTCAAACCTAATGTGATACTTGTTAGACCAAATTAAATACCCTATTGAGCTATCCAGCAGGCTATTGAAAATTTAACCGCCATTTCGTATTTCGCTGTAAGTGAATGTAAATACCATTTTATGACAAAACTCTGCTTCACAACAAAATGTTTTCCTTTTAATGTCAAAGTAAAAATTCATGCAGTACATGTATTTCCTGAATTAAATTTAAATTATCTGTCATGATTTTAATTTTACATCCCCAAGTAAAAATTTTCCATTCTATTTGTACTGTAGTTGCCATGACAATCAGCCTAAAATCTGCGTAAATAAAACTTACTTTATCTGCAGAGTCTGGTATCCATGGATGCACTTCTAACAGCTTTACACACTCCCCTGGTGAATGCATCCCTATCATTGGATAATATCCTCCTCTAGGATTCACATTGATCGTAGTGGTATACATCTGTAATAGTTTCAATGGCCGTTTTAAAAAAAAAAAAAAAATTAACACAATTTTTTGTAAAATTTTTGTATCTCATCCCCCAATTTTTTTGGATTTGTTTGTATTATTTAAGAAAGGGGGGGGTAACTTTGATAAATTTTCTGTTGTATTTCATCCCCCTGGTAAATTGTTACTAAAGGGGGATAACTTGAGTGTATTAAATGTACTCTGTTTCTCATCCCTCATGTTCCAACTTGTTTTTAAAAGGGGGATAATCAATATTGCATTTGTAATTGAAGAACAGTTGTATGCCCCCAGTTTTCCAAATAGAATGTTTGTAAATTATATTGGTAGTGTGTAGATATTTTATTTGCTTGTACTGTATACTGTAAGTCGTTTTAATTCCACGGTGTTAAAATATCACAATTTCTTAAGAAGTACCAATCGCGATGGTTTTAATTTCACGGTGGAAGAAATTGATTTAAATTTTGTATACGCACTTAAACTTTTATAAAAACCAATGATAGCATTCACGATGGGTTTAATTTCGGGGAAAAATGTCAATTCACAAACATAGTGAAATTAAAACCACCGTGATTATTTGCCAATCTACAGTATATAAATACATTAGTTTACTTATGCAATATATTGTATTGTATATACCCTGTAATGTATTAGTTTCAGCAGTCAAAATCAATGCATATGAGACAGCAATAAAAATGAACAATAACTAATCTTTAGATAGTGCATTAATATACAATGTGATGTTGGTTACAAGCACACCCTTGTAGGTTTCCAAGTTTTTTTTAATATCATTTTTATAACATAATTTTTTTATTCATAAGGAATACAACACAGGAATTACCTCCTCTCCATTTTTGTAAAACTTGAGTACTCTGGTGTTTTCATCAAAATCGACACCCATAATATCTCCTTTCTTACAGGTCTCTTTCTTTGTAGTTGAGTAGCCTCTCTCAAGAAATATTCTGAAAAATAAGAATTTTCACTGTCACTTTGAAAAGAAAATGATTCTCATTAGCAAAATTATAGCAAAATATATTTTCCCGGTGTCTCTGTCTTTCAAATACTAGTATTAACAACTCATGCAGCTCTAAACTTTGGCCATTTCTGTGTAGCTGATATTGAATGATGATAACTTGTGAAGTAGCAGTGACATTACCTTCTAACAATTCTTATGTTGGATTGTCAGGCCAGTCAACAATGAAATTGTAAGACTGATGTAATTAACCTTTCTTTTGATGTACTTTTCATCAGTAATAAATATAGAAAGATATTTATAAGGGTATAACAACAAAATATGTTCCCTTAATACTGTTCAAAATAAAAAAAGTCCATGATGACTGTAAACATTTGAACAAATATTTACCCTCCATCATCAGCATGATAGGCGAAGGAGTATCTGTTCCAGCCGGGCTGTCTGTTGGCCTCGTACGTGGAGGGAGCTATTCCTATTGTTAGAGCTTTGTCAAGGCCCTCATCCAAAATTTCTGAAAAAGACAAACACATAATATATATAGATTTGTGATAAAGGTAGCAACTTATTACAAATGTGGCTTGATCTTTTTTTCTTTTTAAGTCTATAGAGAACCGTTTTAAGTGAAGCACTCACTGAAGGAGAAACTTCGTAAGCTGCTGGAGAAGGGCTTGGGTCCAATGAATTGTCCAACTGGCATAGCAGAGGAGAAGGAATTGTAGCTGTATCAAAAATAAAACAGCATTTACATTGCCAATTTATGTTTTTCCTTATATATCACATGGTACATATTTAAGTCTGTGTGTTTATTAAAATGTTTGTCACAAGCCATTAATATATTGTTAATTAAGTCATAAACAATTGACATAATCATTGTGACACATAAATGGTTAATTTCTTTAAAACATTTTTAAAAAAAATCCTTTCTGGACTTCATACATCAAAAACTTGATAAAAATGTATTTACATCCAGATAACAATCACAAATGATGCCTTTTCACAAGTATGAAAAAAAATTGCATCAAACATGTTTTTACCATAAAATGCCAGCCTCCTGAAATAATGTCACTTCTCTGCATTGGATGGCATAGTAAGTAAATCTCTGTACCGACTTCTGGGCTGTGTCACTCACTTTGACTTTCACAAAACCCTAACAAATTGATGTTTTAATCACTTGAAATTTGTTAAGAATATATATAATTGATTTCTGAATTATTTGAATTTGGTTAATCTAGATGATGTTTTCAATTTCTAAGCATAAATGATGAAAACAAAGAACTAAAGGTGTTGAAGACTAAACTTTGCCTCAGACAAGATAAAGGATTGGGGAAACAATTATGCTGGGACTGCATCTAATTGGTTGTAAAACATTCAGTATTCCTATAGGCTATCTTGGCCAATTAAAATTATCAGTTACAGGGGTATAGCTTTAATTTGATGACTGCATGGTTGGACAAACATCTAACTCACCAATGGATCAGTCAGCCTGATTTTGACTTTATCTTTTGTTCTAATTGGGAATTCAGACTCTGTAAAGTTAAGGAAGAATGATAAAAATCACAAATGAAAATGGAGGTATATCTCTCCAGTCAAAATTACAAGTTTTACACTCTGCCTTTAAGTTGATCCTGAAATCGCTCTAAGTGATTTACCCTTAGCAATAGCCTCGATCCTTTGTTTGAGTTTGTCGGGCTCAGCCTCTTGTATGGAGCTGGGTTTTCCTGGGGCAGTCAATACTACAGAACCTTCTTGAATGCTGTCAAAGTAAACAGGTATGTGTTAGATTCAAAAGAAAATTCATCAAGCATCTAAAACACTTTCTACATGCAATTTGGAGCCACTCAAATTTTGATCATCTCTTTAACACTGATTTCAGTGAGGCAGAAATTAATCAAATAAAGCTGTGTATGCATTAACATTTAACTCCCTTTTCAAGAATTTGGAATACATGTAGTTAGCTTTTAGAAAATTCACAATCATTGTAAAATTAAATTAAACTGTCTTAAAACTCAATCTCCTTTATTGCATAAAATCTAAACATAGACAGACATGACTATTGTGTTAATATAAATGAACAGTTGAACACCACTTTAGCATTGAGGTTAAACGTTAATTAACTTACTTTTTCAGACATATTGGTGGACAAAGTCCTGAGTGTACTGTGATCTCGATCTCATTAAAGGTCACCGGGTTCATGCTTATTTGAGGAACATCTCTAACCTTGTCAAATACTAGAGGCATAGGTCTCAGTTCACTACGCAGATTCTGAAACAGAATTATTCACCAAAAACTTTAAAACTTAAACCCTGCAACCTGCACATTTCTGTGTTTTTGACTTATCATATCAAACACCCTTCTGTGATAAACGGGAAATTTAAGAGCACATTTAGGAATCTCAAGATGTACATATTCACAAACTTGAAACTTCAAAGTATGTGAGACTTCAATATTACCCATAATTCTTTGGCACAGGTGACACAAATTCCACAATCCACACAGCCTGTTTGCTTTGTCTTACAACAGCATTCTCTGAAGTAATTTCCCATGATGCCATTCCATGAGCAGTTATCTCCCTTCTCACAACAGCGGTTACACAGTGTACAGACAGACTGCACTTGCTGCACATTGGGAAATGGAGTCCAATTATGTGAGCAACCAAAGGACACATTCACTGTAAATATGAAGGAGAGACTACAGTCAGAACTTTTCATAAATATTTAAACAGAATGATATGCAAACTTTGTACTCATTTCTTATAGGGTAACTTCAGACCCTCCCCCTACTGTCAGTTATATCATTATATTTATCTTTTCTTATTCAAACCATGTTTAAAAATCTGTTTTCAGTATACACTATTAACCCTGAAAGCCACCTTAGCATCAGGCTACTTTTCAAATAAACATTTCGATTTTAATTGTTAATCCCCCCTCCCCTTTTCCATTCCGTACCTTGACCTGTTGGGTAGTTGTGGGTGATTATAGGAACCAGCCCCTGCCATTGGATGATGCGGTCTATATAATCAGTGTACAAACACATGATCCGGAATGTATAGTCCCACACGTAACTCTCTGTCAGCTCATTCAGAAGATCTGTTTTCTTGTCCGGAATGTAACATTTAGACTCCACCGACAGAACTCTTTTATCTGAAAAAAAGAAGAAGTATTTTTAATGCATCCTCTTCAAAAATTCCATAAACATAGAATTCTTCTGTAACATAGATTTATATTATGGTACTGTCTCATCCTAAATAAATATGTATGGGAGAGACACCATATGATTCCTAATTTAAAGCAGAAGGCAATTCTTTCAAGGAGAGTTTTACTGCATACTTTTCCTAAATATTTACAAAGAAGCCAACTGCAAACAATATTTGACACAAAGAAGATGCCCTACATCAACATGAAAAATGCCTATGGTTTGACAAACAAGAAAGGGAAGAAAGCGAAGATTAAATCTCAATTATAACTTAGTTTTCTTTTAGTTTTGTATTTTGGTTATAATATCAGGGAATACTTGACATGTAAAATCTCTAAACTTAAAATGCAACAATCTCACAAGCATTAAAATTATTGTCTATGAAATGTAATGCACCAATCAAAGAGGAAAAAAACTATTACTGTATATAGGGTTATTTTGTCCTCGTGTTATTTTTTGTCCTTTCAAACTTGCAAACAATTTTCCCCCGTATTTCTTTGCAGTAGATAAATATAACATAATCTTTCTATATAACTCTGCTCCATTTCTTTCTTTTATAGAAAAATCTTAAAATTTAGAAGTTGCTCAAGCAAGGACCTCAATCTACACACTCAAACTACCGGGTACACTTTTTATGACACTAAATTTGCATCTTTCCAAGAAACTTCTTGGAAAGAACATGGGAGTTCAAATCTCAAGAATTCCTTTTTTCACCAAAAAAGTTGTGTTCTATTGTCATATTTTTTAAAATCAGAATTTTGCACTATATACTATTTCACAAACTGCATTTGATTTATATGCATTTTGCATACCTTGTTTGCCCATTTTCTTTCTTAATTAAAGTACTAAATTCTACATTTCTATACTTGTCTAATTATTTTCGTCATTTGCCACTGTAATAAACATAAACACACAGCATTGCAACATATATTTGCTGAAGCGTAATACATTTTGCAAGACTATCATTACTATGATTACTCTTGTTGTAGAATTAAATGCAGCCAAACAAAGTTAAGTACAGTTGTTATATATACTAGTACCAAATCACATTTTTTTAAAGTAGAAAATAAGAAATTAAATGAAGTTTTATACATAACATAGGAGATGGAACATATTAGATGTGTTAGTATATGAGTATAGAACCTAAAACAGCTACCAAAACTGGAACTGTCCTTTGGAACAGGTAACCCCCCATCCCCCCCCCCCCCCAAAGAACACAATAAAACTTGCCTATCTGAAACATGGACGAAACAATTGATGATTTTTCGAAACACTTACTTAAGCAATGATTCATTATTTTTTGAAAGATATAGTTTCATAACTGCATAATTGTCTTTCATTGCAAATGTGACTTAATTATATTTCAAAATTTCTGTATTCCTAAAACCAGGATATTCCAGTCTAGAGTAGAGATCATCAGAATGGGCCAGAGGAACATATATTGGTTCAGGTACATTAGACCAATGCCCTTCACTGCCTGGTTTGAAAACTAAATGTACTCGGGGATAAAAACAGTGACTCCAACACCAAAATAATAGCATAAGCACTTCCTCACTTCAGTATTGTGAGCTATAAAGTAATAAGGTAAGATTTTTCCTTTGAATTCTCCTTTGCTCCAAGTTTCATTTAATTGAAATCAAAATGCAAAAGCAGATTGTTTCTTTACTGGCAAAGATTTTGCAGACAAGATCAAATTAGCAAGAAATGCAGTACATTTTAATGAAGATCAGTTCTTTCTGAGATAAAACTATACTAAAGAGAATTTAAAGAAATACAAACAATGGGAAAAATCTCTACTTTTGTCTTACCAAATAATGGCTGAACATCTGTTGCTAATAAATCTGGAATAAGACATTCCAAATATCAATCTGGAAGGGTTCTATTTAAGAATAAAAACTTTTACCACTTGAAAACTTTCAAGTGTTTACCAATTGAAATTTTAAGAATAGGGTGCAAAAAGAAAAGCTTCAATAAGATAACATGTCTATATAAGGAAAAATTTGAGTGCACAGTGCAAACATTAAAAAGGTTTGATATTTAATGAATTTTGATGTCCCTGATGGGATATCAATGTTAAGGGGGGGGGGGGGGGTAGGGGGGGGTAATGAGGGATGAGAGAAGGAGTAATTTAATCCTTAGTTTTCATGATTTCTAAAATCTTTGCACACAGACTTTCTCAGTAGTGGTTTTAGTGTAAGGTCTGACTCAAAATGGATTTGCATTCACAACCTTTTGCTCTACCAAATAAGCCACAACGATATAGTAAATGTATGAAAAATGTTTCACACTAAAATGATTTTAAATACACTCACACTGACTTTGGGGTTGATATCATGTTTATATTAATCAATTTTTATTAATTATAGGTGCTAAGGAATATATTTCCAAACTAAGGATTCAAGCAAAACAAAGTAAAATGATCTATAAAAGATAACATATCACAAAATATAAGGGAAAACTGACAGACAGGGCACAGACTATTGGAATTCACACTGCGGTATTTGTCATCCAATATTTTATCTTTAAAAATTACCATTTACCTTACCACATAGTTAATCTTATTTTTAATAGTTAAATAAATTAGTGACACATAGACATCACAGAGTTTGATCCATAAACTGAATTAACAAATACCATAAAATTCAAATTATACCTAACCCAAGAAACATATTTTTTCTAATGCATTGAATTTCTCTCTGTGTCTAAAATGTGCATCCATTGCATTGTGACATTGAACATGACCTTAAGAAGGCTGAGTGGTTGTGGCCATTTTTAGAACAAACTGATCTTTTTAAAAGAAGAGCTCCATATAAAGATATACAAAAATGATCAAATTTTAAAACTAGAATGTATGAAATTTTTCTTTCTCAAATAATAATTGACAGCTCAAGATATCATCAAAGAATTAAGTTATATCAGACAGTTAGTTTGTACACCCCCCCCCCCCCCCCCCCCTTAAAATTTGTCGTTCAGTCTAGCAGATAACAGATAAATATTTCCATTAAGTTTTAACTGGAAAAAAATAACAGCCATGGATATTCCTGAAAAAGTGTATGAAACAGATATTGATAAACTTGATCCCTATGTGTCTGCCATGCATCATGGGCAACACAGGAGAATATCTGTTTCATAGTCTGTAATTTTCAAGAAGAGTGGAAGACAAAAAGCAATTTAGTTCAGTTATTAAAAACTATGTTTCAAGGGAAAAAGACATGGACAAGAGGCAATCACATCAATCACATCTGAATCAGTCACCGATTCCTCCCAGGACCTACCCACAATGCCAGTGTGCTGAATAATGGTGGTCTGCACTGCTCCCATTTGTAAGACAGCACCATCACTCGTCATGGCAATAAGTCGTCCATAGTGGGAGACAGCAGCAAGGACCAATGACATGAGGTATTCTGGTAAATCATGAACGAAGCTGTACGTCTTCTGTATCACTACAAAGTTCTTTGTGGCCTCTCCCTTACTCCAGAAGTCTCGCTGTGGACAAGAAAGTAAAACACTTTAATTTTATGGGTGAAATACACAGGAAAAATTCAAAGTGCAGAGAAGCTCCTAGACAATGACAACATATGTGTACAATGTATTCCTCAAAAACTGAAATAGTATATGTCAATGGAAAGAACTTATTGTAAATTTAAATGCATAACCTATTGATAACTTTACAAAAAACCATCACATTAACAAACATTCAAAATCTAAATGAAAAGTTGTTTAGTCTTGCATTTCTGCTGAAGTTCTGTTGTATTTTTATGCATTGTTAACTGTGTTTTTCTCACCAGTTTTACGGGTGGGGGTGACAGGTTGGCAGCCGTGGAATACAGATAATGCTCATCCTTCTCTGACTCTCTCCACAGAGGAATCTTGATCAGACCAAGGTAGCCCTCTAAAAACACCAGAATCTGACAGACTTTTTCAGGATCCATCTGCAATTACAGAAGATGGGATAAAATTATTGTACACTTTGTGTCTAAGACAAACATCCTAATTATCTTGACTGCAGACAACAGTATTTTACCTCCTTGACAATGTTGGACACTAGGGAGTTACGTGACCACACATGGGAACTCTGACCAATGGCTGACGTTATTTTTCCGTTTCCCATTGTCTCCGTAGCAGAGAATTTCTCCAATCTCTTGATCATCTCTGAGGCAAACCTGATGTCGATGGCCTGAGTGGACTTCCCAGTTTTTGCAATTATCAACAATCCCTGTGTAAAGAGTGGTGTTTGTGACAAAATTAAACAGGTTATAGTAAAAACTAACTGAAAGGCTTGTAGAAATGCAAATGTAGATTTTTTAGATGAAGAGATTTATTTCTGGGGACATCTTGTGCAAATACTTGGGTGATAATTAGAGAGAGACAATAATATAATAAAACTTATCACACACACCCCCTCCCTCCTACACCCACTTCATTGTGGGAGTATATTTACAATATTTCACATTTTTTTAACTTAACACTTACCGTATAACCAAGTCTTTCTAAACATCAACTTAATTTTGGGAGCATATTTCACAATATTTTATGATTTTTTAACCTGTTCATGGAGAATGTCTAGCATGTGCAGTAGCATGGTTCCAGACAAGTTTCCTTCAAACGACTTTTTGACTTCCTCCAGAAGGCTGACACCCTGATCTTCACAAGTGGACACCAGACAGGGCAGGAGTTTGAGTCGACCCAAGCACTCTTGGATTTTTTCACCAAGATAGGGTAAAAATTTAGGCACTAAATACTTGGGTAGCTGCTGGATTCTGTGAGCTTTGTAGGTATGCTGAATGATCTTCCGCAGTTCTACCAAACCCTAAAAAGAATTTATAGCAGAATGAATATCTTAAATAGTTTTCCTGCAATTTCTATTTCATCCAAAATGCAATGTGCTAAGACAAAACTTTTTGTCCTACAACTTTGTTTTCTGTGAGTATATTAATTTTTAAGTAATCAACTGATTCATAATTCCACGTGAGCTTTATAGTGCAAACATATTCTTTGTAAAACTTACCGGGGGTAAGAAAATTAAGAGCATGAAGAAACCTTTTATAGAGTACATTATCTTATAATCAAGCATCAAGATAAATCACCTTGTCGCTGGCTATATCTGCTGTGGTAAAGTTGAGTCGACCTGGCGTGCTCTGTAGATTCTGAATGTTTTCTTCAGCCACACAAAGACGAGAATAGTATGTTTGTTCTTCCAAAGTCAGGTTTGAGAAATTCCTACAAACCAATAGCAATTGTTAACTCTATTCCTGCTAGACACTTTTTAAAAAATCAAAATTTCATTTCATTTACATGTACTTCATATGAAATCACAGCCTTAAATACTATAAATGTATTACATCTGGCTGTGTATTATATTTAGGAATTTTGGCGTAGAGAAACTTCCGCTAATTCAAGTACAGAGCTAAATGTCTTCCACCCATAGACATAAATAAGAACATAGAGAATTGAGCTAAATCACATTGATAACTTGTTCAAAACTTATTTAAATTATTTTGTTTGAGTACTTCATAGACTTTTGATCACCGTTGGAAATTCCATCCATGAATTAAATGCACATGTTAAGGATGTTCAATCCTAAGCTTTTGAGCAGAGTTTGGTCCTGTCCTTTATTTATAAAATTCTGCATCATTTTTAAGTTCTAACATTAAATCTAAATTCTACAATGCAAATTGAACTATATTCAATGAAAAACTCACAATTAAATTGCATACAAATAGAATTAAGCAAGGAACTATATTTTGTGGCAAAAGTTTTTTTTTTTAGAAGAAAATGATAAATTTTTTCCCTTTTGAACTATAACAGAACTGTTAATTTTAGATTCTTATTTTTCCATGCTGGTTGCACATAAAGCTGTTTTTTGCAGTGAAATGTGTTATGCTGGTTCTGAAATATCTATTAAATTATTTCTTATGAATTCTTTCAAAGAAGTGTGACATCCGTGAAAAAATAGAGCAAATTTTAATGTGAAATTGAAACTTTTTTAGTAATACCTGAAAATTTACATCATATACCCCCACTTTTTACGTTCTTTTCTAAATATTTTCGATAACTTTGACCTATCTGCTTATATTCAGCAAAAGTTTAAGACTTTAAAATAATTTTCTTTATTAAATTTTCTTTGCCAGAAAAATCCTTTTTCATCAGTGCAGAATGGTCAAATAATTGATTATGCGTAGCGATTTGAAACTTTTTAGAGACAATTTTAAAGTGTCTTTTTTATATAGGCTTATAGTCTATTTTGTTCCATGCTTTAATTATTTGGATAAAATTATTGGAGGGAAAACGTCGAAGATGTATTTTTTTTTTATTAAGACACAAATTTCAGTACACAAAGGTCATAGTTCATGTGCTGTAGTGCCAAAAGAAGCATATTGACCCCCATTTTTAGATTTGATTTTTAACTAAGATATGTGTGTACAAACTAAAACTATACTTGAGAAAGGAAGTTTAAGACTTTTTAAAATACCAGGATCCAACCTCGTTAAGGGATACATTTCTTCATTTTTAGAAAAAAAAATGTAAATAAAGAAAGATTTAAAGATGAACAAAGATGGACCAAGTAATATCAGTCTCTCCCACCCCTCCCCACAATCTACATAAGTTCCTCAAAGAGATGGAAATGTTATAACAAAATCTAAGCTAAATAAACTATAACAGTTAGACTGTGAAATAGCTTAAAAGGAACAAGATTTTTTTAATGGAAGCAACTGAAAAAAATTATATGATGGCATTTTCTCACTTTTCTAATTCCTCTTTCTTTGCTCGGATTTGTTGAATTTCTGGTGAAGTAGCCAAATCTTCCAAGGCCACCATGCTCTTTAGAATTTGGATTTTCCCAGCAGCGTCAGATGACCCAGATTCCACCCCTACCACTGTATACTGACAACCAGAGTATGTGATTTTCTCCCCATCTAATGGATAGTTATCCTGCAAATTGTTAATATAGATTAATTTTTAGCAAAAAATGAGAGTTCATTGCAATCGCAAAAACATTTTCCTTAAAAATAAATCAACAACAGCCAGTTGTTTTATCTAACAATAAATCCCTACCACGACAGATTGTACATGCATAACTTATAAACTTTAAAATTCATGAAAATTTAGGTGCTTTTTAATTTTAGTGCTGATAAAAATACGCAAAATTTTTAATCCCAAATATTAATCAACAGCTTTTTGACCCAGATTCACAAGATAAAATGGAGTAAACATTTCTAGATCTAGGTATGATTGGATACCTTCTCATCCGATTTTTCTGCTGATTGTTTTGCAGCTAGTGCTTCCTCCCTATGAGCTCTTGTCTCTGAGTAATATTTGAGAACCTTTACTTTGCACCCAGCCTTCTCCACCATTATGGAGGGATACATTCCATCAGAGCAATAGAATATTTTCGTTGTCTCAATCTGTAAGATAAGAAATGAAGGTTTGAGTTGTGCTGTATATACAGTTAAACTCATTGTCTCAAACTCAATGGGACTGAGAAAAAAAAAACCTTCCGAGATATCCAAGAATTTAAGATATCCAGGATAAAACACTTAAAATATAATGGGTTTTTCTTAAGTCTTTACAGTATAACTTTGACATTATATATCCATGATTTTCAAGATATCAGTGTCAAGATACACAAGTTTACTACATTTAAGCATAATTAATTCTGATACTTATTTGAAAAAGACCATAAATATAAGCCAATAAGTCTGAGAAATTTTTTTCCTCCAACATGGGAATAGATCATTTGTAAGATTATGAGATTTTTAAGCAAGAAGTTTTTCAGAGCATAATGGAAACATTGTCTAAACTTTTACTGACTACCACCTAATTTTTTTGAACATACTAATCTCTTGACTGACCCTTTCTCCATTCCTGGTAAAGTACACTGTGACCTCCTGCTCCTGTACCAGATAACCCTCGTCATCAAAGTCGCCCTCCACTCCACACCCTACCACATCACCGACATTATAGGCCCTGCTCGTCATCTTTGTTCCTAGTGCAACCTGGGACAGCCTGTAAGATCAATTTGGCTCATCTTCGATACAAGGGAAAAAAGTTTTAACTGATAGTTAATGCAAATGTTTTCTGGGAACATCTGGCTTATTTAAATGTTTATAAAGTGAATACATTACAATGTATTACACTATGTGTTGTTCTGGCTATATACAGTGCAGACAAGGGAGATAATTTTTTATTATCCACCAGTTTTTCGCACATTCATCAAACTTAAATCATTTCAGATAAAAGAAAAATGTGAAAATTACAACCTCTGAAATTAATCCAATACACAGTATGAAAATTTTAACTGCATGGTTATGATCTTTCCAACCTGATTAATGATTAACTGTTGCCATCCTTAATTTCTTTTTATTTGAATATTAAGTCGAAACATTTTGATGGAATTTCTCATCTGGGACAGAGTATGTACAGATGTACAGATGAGTACATCATCATGCTGCTTACTCTGAGGTATTATGGAGACCGACTTCACACTGGTTCATGCCGAGATAAAATCCTGGAGGCTTGTCATAATGTGCTACACCTATGGTCACTCGGGATGGACAAGCCAACACCTCCATCTCAAAATAGGTCAAGGACGTGTTAAATTGGGTTTTGGCAACAAAAATTCCAAATGTGTTGATCCCGTGCTGTGCCCTGTAGTAAAAAATTTGATCATGAATGAAGAAGTTGTACATTTGTAGTTTTGTATGAAAATAACACCAAGGATTTCAAACACAATTTTAGAACAATTATCAACCCTCCTCTTGAAAAACAAGTAACTTACCCACATTCCATGGTTCCATCGTCTGAGACTATTACTCTTCTTATGTAGCCCAGTGTAATTTGATCTCGTATGACTCCCTGAAATCAAGGATACTTATCAACAGGGAAAAAACATGTAATACATACGTAACAAATGAAGGTTATAGCAAACTGCCAGGTCTATAATATAACTGAGTTTGACTGGACTATCATTATCGCTGCAATTATATCCTCTTACCGGCTGTCTGTAGATGGGTAGGTGCTGCAATAAGCGGATTTTTCTCACACTTCCTGTGACATATTTGGCAATGACCTTGTTTCGGGGCAAACCATCCACAAAGGTGTAAGGAAAATCATGTGTGCAATACTAAAAATATATATATCATATATTATATTGTGAGACTCGGAACGTAAAATTGCTTATGTCAAGCTTTATTCAACAAAAACATGAGATACTCTGTCTCTTTTGGTTTTAATCTGATGAACTTCATTTGTACTATCAATAAACAATAAAAATATGCTGTAAAATTACTAATTTTTGTGGGGGTTAATTTTTGCTGTTTTCGAGACATGATGAGATGCACAAATTTATGAACCCCATAGCATTTATGCATTACTACTTAACATTCACAGAATCAAGTCCCCACAAACCAATATTTTTTCCTCAAACTTCAAAAATTTTTATCCAAGAAAATATGTGATTTTACAGTAGCCTAATAATAGTGTATGTATAGACTATGTAGACTATAAGACATGAGGTTATGATCCTTTACCAGCTTTCCATTCTTCAAGACTTCTGTTTTGCATTCTTTGGTTCCACTAAAACCATCAGCTTGTCTTTCAATGTACCATTTGAAGGTAATTTCATCTTCTTTCTGAGGTATGCTGCCTTTTTCAGTCAATTCTAGTTCCCTTGTTCCATGTTTGACACTAAAAATACAAGTTCTATGTGAAACATTTAGTTTCCGAAATTAGTCAATGTCAATTAACCCGCCGCCCTCCTTTCATCCTAAACGAATAATTGAATTGAATTTTCAATACCCAGTGAATAATTCACATACAGAAATATAATACTATCAGCTGCTACCAATTACAATGTATATATAGTACATACCCTCCATCCATGCATATAAAGGCCAAGTAGTCTTGACTGGTTCCAAAAACATGGTCTTCTTTACCAATCCCAAAAACCACTTTTGAATCTTTCCCCAGGTCTACAATCTTGAATGTAAATGATGTGTGTGGTGTGTCTAGGGTCCCAATGCTCGTCTCTGAGATGTAATGCGAATCCTCAGACCGATTGGAAAAAGCACAAGTGCTGCAAAATTGACAATTTTTTTTTTTTTCAACTTACAACAAATATTCATACATATATTTTGTTTTAATACATGTAACAAATAAATATGCCTTTCAGGTTTATAAATGAATAATTATTAGCTCTTGATGTACATATCTTTTAATATATACCTCATCAATCCTTGTTTGTTGATTACCATATTAAACAGGTAGCTGGGTGAAATCCACTTATTCTCCACATTCATCGGCAATAAAAATTCCTTAAAAATATTTTCAAAAGAGAAGAAATAAATTTCAGGCAAAAGGAAGTCAAAATACTGTAAATTTGTTACATTTAGGAGCGTATTCTATTTAGCGCCTTTTACTTTTGCTAAACCCAGTATGTCGCTAAAAGTCTTGTAAGTACAATGTATATATTTACCGGTATATGTAGCACACTGAGAGAGCACTAAACCAAAACTATGGTAACTTGTAAATTAAATCAATTACCACTACTGTAGATCACTGAATTTTTGTGACACCTTATTTTTGGGAGTTAATCATTGCAAGAATTAAAATTTTGCAAGAACACTGTCTCGCATAATTATGTGAAAATAAATTTTTCACAAAAAGAAAGTGATCAATTTACAGTAAATATGGTGCATGCTAATATAAGGCCAGGTAAAATTAATCTTGCAAAATCCTAATGACAGGCATGTACACACATAATTTGCAAAAAAATTTGGGGCGGGTGGTGCAGGATTTTATTTTTTATTTTTTATAATTGTTAATTTATATATATAGATCTAAGTATCAACAAAACAATGGACGCCCCGTACACATTTTTTTCATTACCTTATTGCAAATATGAATAGATTTAATTCTTTTCATATTATTTTGAATATTTAAAAAAAAAATTTCTTTAAAAGTTAAATATTTATTTTTAATTAACAAATTATCGAGTACACATTATATGGCACACCCAATTGTTAACAATATATAAGGTTATCAATAAATTGTGTATGCATATGACCTCTTAATTTGCAAAATTTATATGACACATGTTCTAAATTATTCTACTGAAAAATCTAGGCCTTCATTTCAAGTCTGTCTACGATGTTGTAGATTTTTTTTTATTTCAAAGTTAAATCACACAATTTTGAAAGAGGCATTATTATATATAACTTGACTTTCTTCGTCTATTTTTACTTAGTTACAATCTCTCTACATACTTGCTCCTGCCAGTGATAGTATCTATATGTGCTTATGCTATTTTTTCTTCTCTGCCTTCTCTATACTGACAAATTATCTTTTCCTTACACATTTAAACTGCTTTTATTGCCGATTTTTCTACATTCTTCACATGGCGTTTTTGCTATAAATAGCGACACGCGAAAAACATTTATACAGACCATAGATATATAACTCTTAAACTTTGACCCAAATTCTTACTGAATAAAAATACATGAAAATACCCAAAAATCAAAATAAAAAACATCGGGGCGGGATATTTTGAGAGGGGCGGGCGGGGATGAGAATCTAAAGATTAATTTTATATGGCCTAATACATTGACAGTATATGATTTACAGATTCATCAGACTTGCAAAATCCTAATGACAGGCATGTACACACATAAACTTTTTCTTTAACAAATCATACCTTTGGTGGTGCCGAGTAGTGCAGGATCTTCACTTTAGCTTTGACGGTTGATATAACCGTCACAAATGGGTAGTAGTTCCTGGTTGTTAGTGGGTCTCCACTCAGCATAGATTTATCAGTGGCCTAAGAAGAATCAAGGATACATTAAAAAGGTTTCACTTTATATACTTATATTAACTTTTCAGTTAATTCTCTCAAAGTAATAACAAATAGTCTTTGAAGATGTAGAACTGCAAAATCTGCTGATGCAGAAATTAGAATAAAGGTTCAAATTACCCATCATACAATTGTTACACAATATATAATTTTATCAATTCATTAAGCTATGGATGCATATGAAGCCTTATTCCCATATTCTTAGCAAGATTTTCATGACACAAAGGTAATTCCAAGTTGTGCAAAGACAAGAGGCACATGGGCCTTATAGGTCACCTGACCGTCATGCAACAACTTTCCAATGATTGAACTTGGTTTATATTTTAAACTAGACAAAATGGCATTCACAATTTTGAAAGAGGCATTATTGCTCATCATATACACTTAGCAATTGCTTAGCTTGGTTACTTAATTTACCCCACCTCTGTTGATTTTTCGACAAAATCCTGGCTTACGATTGGTTGAAGTCTGTCATGTGAAGGAGGTGGATTACTTATACCCATCAATTGTTAATCAATACTTGGTTGATGTATTACGTAACAAAGTGACGTCATAATAAGCACAGTATAAGCGTGATGAAGCAATTTTAGCAAGTAGCAGAGAAAAACATTTATAAACCACAGATAATAAATTACACCTCGCCAGGTATGAAATTTACTAACCAGGTATCATCCTGTACCCTGCCACTAAAAAACTTAATTTTGTAATGAATTTACCCTTCTGATGAAACATTTAAACTATGTAACTAATAATCCACAGGCAGGGTAAGGGAATAAAAAATGCATTTCAACTAATCAGTTATATTCAGCAATAATCAGTAGTGCCCCTACCAAACATGAACCCCTGACTCTTGGTCCACACATTTCACAATTTTGGAAAAGGCATCCTGGCTTATCAAAAATGTCTGATTAATAACAAGGAGCAGATTTCAAACACTTAATTCATTTTCAATATATAAGTAGAGCCCACCCCCTCTATGGTACCCCTGACCCCGGGGCTTTGAAATTCACAAATTTGGAAAAAGGGCCCTTACTCATCATAGCTATATAGGTAGTTCATCTGCTCAATACCCAGGAGCAGAGAAGATTTTCAAAGATTTAATGTATTTTCACTATACATGTATAATCAATAGAACCCAGCCCTAGCACTAGAACCCCTGACCATGGGCAATGAAATTCACAATTCTGGAAGTGGCTTTCTTGCTCATCATAACTATGTACTTATGCCCTGTTCATGCCGAGAGTTTAATTTGAATTAAATGTAAGTTACTGCCAATTAAATTTGAATTGTGTTCACACAGAGAATTTAATGTGAATGGGTTTAATTCGAATTAATTTACTGCGCAGTAAATTACTTCGCATTTGCTCCGTGTGAACGCTAAGCGAAGCTAATTAGAATTAAATTTTGATGCATGCATAAGGCCAGAATTAAGTCACAGGACACGGTAATGGTTAGATATAGGTATCTAAGCTATACTTAATTCAAAAATCAAGGAAAGGTTTGATAATCACTAAATAAATGAATCCCTTTAGCCAGTATATATCAAATGGATGGTTTTGCATACATGACAAGATTTACAAATGATGTCATAATAGCCTTACTGATTAGCCTTTTTGTAGAAATAAAATTTTAATTTGCATTAGTTTACTGCACATTAATTTATTGCGAATTAAACTCTCCATGTGGAAAAGACATTAGTTAGTTTATTAAAAACCCAAGAGCAGAGAAGAAGATTTTCAAAGATTTATTGAATTTTCACTATATAATCAACAGAGCTTCGCCCTTACACCAGAACCCTTGACGCATACAAATCATAATTTGGAAAAGGCATTCTTGCTCATGATAACTATGTACTTAGTTAGTTTATTTAATTTCCAGGAGCAGACAAGAAGATTTTCAAAGAATAATTGTATTTTCACTATATTATCAACAGAGCCCCATCCTAACACCAGAATCCCTGACCCTGGGGCCATAAATTTCACAATTTTGGTAGAGGACTCAATGCTCATTACAATCATGCCAACATTTTGACTGCTTGATGTCCAGGAGTAAAAAAGATTTTTGAAGACTGCATTAATTTTAGTCGTTTTGCCCCCACCCCTCAGGCCCTACGGGGGCAGGGGCTGTGAAATTCACAATTTTTGTTCCCCTTTACCCATAGACACTAAAATTGGCTGAAATTATTTCAGCGGTTTCAGAGAAGAAACTGAAAATTTTCAAATGTTAACACACAACACACAACACACAACGACAGATGAAAACGAATAGCAATAGATCACCTGAGTGACTCAGGTGACCTAAAAAGACAACAGCATTCATTCTTATTGTACTTTATAGTATACATGTTACTTACATCCACTCCATTAATAGTGGAATAAAAGGTGCAATTTCCACCAGCCATATATTCAGACTCCCATTCTCCTTGAATTCCAAACCCATATCTGTCACCTATCTTTTTAAACTCAAAGCTGAAATAGAATAAACAATATATTTATTTAAATTAGATGAAAGACAATCAATTATTGATTCTTCTAAATCAACCCAGTAATAAACTGATAACGGAAAGTTTGTAACACATACACTTGGACTTCTCCACCCTTGTCGACTTTGGAATCCATCGGATTTCTGAAGATGAAGGACTGCTCGTGAAGACAACCTATAATAATACCATCCTTTTCTTCATCTTGTTTTGCTGTTAAATCTCCATTGTATTCAATCAACTCAATCTCAAAGTAAGGATAAGACTTGGAGAAAGGCTGTCTGGAGAAGTAACAGCCAGGTGTTTCATCTTTATTCTTCATGGTAACATTTCTAAAAGAAAAAGTTCAAATAATGACAATCAAAATTAAAACAGAGGATTCAGAAATTACAGAGCTCACCTCAACGAATGTTGTCTTTAAGTAAGGCAAAGTCCCACAATTAAATAATATTCTAGAAGTTTACATCCCAAAATGCAAAATTTATGCAATTTTGATCTGATAGGGCTTGAAGGTTACTTGGAAATAGACCTATCCAAAAACATAGGTAATCAAAGATTACGAAGCTCACCTCGACGAAGGTTATTAGTTTAGGTAATGCAAATCTCAAGTTAGTATTTATTCTGAGAACAATATTCAAGCAAGTTCTGTTTTATTAGGTCTTAAAATTCATTGGGAATTGACCTGTTCCAAAAACTTTAACCTGGTCCCTCATCTGGAAAATGTAGGTCACATCCAGCATCCTAAGCAAGTCTGGTAGTGTCCATCCTTAGATGCATCATCCATGCAAGTTTGGTCGGGTAGGGCTTATAGTTACTTGGAAATACTCTAGTCACTAACCTGGTAATTGTAGGTCACATCCAGCATCCAAAGTAAGTCTGGTAGTGTCCATCCCTAGATGCATCATCCATGCAAGTTTGGTTCAGGTAGGGTTTATAGTTACTTGGGAATGAAAATATAGGTCAGATCCAGCATCCGAAGCAAGTCTGGTAGTGTCCATCCCTAGATGCATCATCCATGCAAGTTTGGTCCGGGTAGGGATTATAGTTACTTGGGAATGGATCTGCTCCAAAAACTTTAACCTGGTCACTTATCTGGAAAACGTAGGTCAGATCCAGCATCCGAAGCAAGGCTGGTAGTGTCCTTCCTCAGATGCATCATCCATGCAAGTTTGGTCCAAGTAGGGCTTATAGTTACTTGGGAATGAACCTGCTCCAAAAACTTTAACCTGGTCACTCATCTGGAAAATGTACGTCACATCCAGCATCCGAAGCAAGTCTGGTAGTGTTTATCCCTTGAAGCATCATCCATGCAAGTTTGGTCCAGGTATGGCTTATAGTTACATGGGAACAGACCTGCTCCTAAAACTTTAACCGGGACGCTGACACCGGGGGTATAGCATAAGCTCATCTCGACTTTGTCGAGGTGAGCTAAAAACTATAGTCACCCATCAAGAAAATGTAACTCAAATCCAGCATCTAAAGCAAGTTTGAGAGTGTTCATCCTTTGACGTTTCATTTATACAAATTTGGTTAATAGGCCTTATAGTCCCTTGGTGTTAAACTTGCATCCATAACTTTTACCTGGTCCATTATCTGGAAAATGTATGTGGGATCCAGCATTCGCAGCAAGTCAATCAGTGTGCATCCTTAGATGTTTCTTCCATGCAATTTTGGTCAACATAGGGCTCATAGTTACTAGGAAATGGGGCCTGAACCAAAACATATTAACCTACTCGTATTCACTCATCTGAATGAAGAATATTAATGAAGATGCCAAAGATATCACATAAGCTCCCCCCCCAACTTTGTTGAGGTGAGCTAAAAGAGGAGATGAATATATACTTCCACATTCAGTAGGGTGGTAATGACCTCAAAGCTGACATTAACCAAAGGTACTTTTAATAGAATACATTCAATGTGGTATCAAAAGACACCAAACAAAGTCTGGTATGAATACCTGCACTTCAGATAACTATTAACTGACCTAGCTGACGGTCTTAACCAAAGTCACTTGTGCATAAAATTTAGGAAAGGTGTACCATCAAAGGCATTCAAGTCTAAAGGTCCATACATGCATCATATATAAGTAAGTCTGATAATAGGCTATTACTTGTAGGGCTACATAAAATTGAAATTCTGGTTCTCACGCCCATGCGCATCCATTTTGAGGTAGCCGCATTACTAATTTTATTGCATTTTTTATAAAATAAAAAGTTGGTATTGTGGAAAGCAATCTGAAAAAAAAAATTCCGTCCTCACTTTTTCGTAGTTTAGTACTCAAATTTCGCTTCCGCTAGCCATTTGTAAAGAGCTTCAAATACATTCAAAGACACGGCATACGATGTTCACAGGTTGATAAGCAATGGATAATGTAAACCTTTTGAGCAGACATGGGAGGTATATCTTGATCATTATTGTAAAGGAATTTGAAAAATAAAATTTAAAAAATACCTCCCTCATCTACTTTATTGCCAATAAAATGATAGATAAAATGCCTCCCTCACGCATCTGTTTTTGAGAAAATTGGCCTGAGAACCAGAGAATTGAATTTATATAGCCTAATAAGCTTAAACCTTTAAAACTGTCTGAACAGGACTAGATTTTCCCAACCCATCTCAAAATCACCCCTTTGTGCACACTATCACATTCACCAGATTTATTACTCCGAAATATTACAGAGCAGTTGGCTTCCTTAATTAACCTCCCCTAGTGTATCTACCTGTGTATGTAGAACCATGATATAATTTATATAAGATTTAAGTGAAGTGTCTGCAATGTCTGAATTTCATCACTATAAACTACTCAAGACTTTATTTTTAGTCCTTCTCATAAAAAAAACTACAGGTGACCTTTTTAAAGAACATTTTCTTCCCTAGGCTTCACTCACACATACCCCTTGAATACTAAAATTGATTAAATTTATTGGGTGTTTCAGAGAAGCTAAAATTATGATCAAAAGACATTGACAAAAACAGGAAGCAATAGATGAACTGTGGGTAACTGGTGGCCATAAATTAATTTTTGCATTAATTTCTCCTAAACAAGTCAATTCTTAACATCATCATGATCATAATTGTCCTAAACCTTCACTGAAAGAGTTTGTTTTTAATTTTCCCTTTATAATATGGAGGGACCTTAAAAACAGCCGAGCATGATTTTCTAACATTTTCTGTATAATTCCATAAGTTATATGTTTCCACAGCATTTCATATGAAAATATTATAAAAATTTATTTTGTCTCAGTTATTGAAACTAAAAATCTCGAGACGCATTTGATTGACACATCCTAACACTTTCACAGTTTTTAACTTCATCTTTAATACTTAAGAAAAGAAGCAATTTCGTTGTGTATTGATGAAAAATATTAAAGGTACTTGGACACAGATTTGAAGTTATTATTTTCTCTATAATATTACGACTTACATATTTTAATAGCATTTCACACAAAAATTAATTAAAAATCTTATTTCATATAAAAGATATTAAAATTTCAAATTTTTTGGCGGGTTTGATTGACACATCCTTGCACTTTCACAAATTAATTTTATTCTTAATCCTTAGAAAAGTGACAATCTCGTTGTGTATAAATGAAAAATATTACTATAATGCAGAAAATTCAGAGTAGACATGTTTGAAAGCAAAACAAACTCACTATATATTGGCAGTACGTGCAGTTGTGGTAAGCAGACTGTGATGACTGAACACACCCGGTGAATTGTAAACATCAACAAAAACAGAACTTGTGCCCTGTTTACAAAAACTGTGTACATAACACAAGTGTGCTCGATTTGCTAAACTGTATTCACAACTCTTAGTTTGGAATGACGATACTTGTGAATGAATTTTGCTTTCTAACATTTCTACTCTGAATAAATTTATTTTTCTGGATAAAAGTTTTAATATTTCTCATTAATACACAACAAGATTGCCACTTTTTCTAAGGATTAAAAATAAGATTAAAATTTGTGAAAGTGCAAGGATGAGTCAATCAAACCCGCCAAAAAATTTGAAGTTTTAATAACTTTTAACTGAAATAAGATTTTTAATTAATTTTTGTGTGAAATGCTATTAAAATATATACCGTAAGTCGTAATATTATAGAGAAAATATTGACTTAAAATCTGTGTCCAAGTACCTTTAAAACTATAGAATTAATGAATCCAGAAAATTCAGAGTATAAATGTGCAAAAGCAAACCCATTCCATTGTAATGTCAGCCTGTGCTCAATATTGTGAACGGAGTTTAACAAATTGAATATACCCCTAAAATGTACACAGTTTTTGTCAATAGGACATGAGCTTTGTTGTTGTTAATGTGTACGTTTCATCAGGTGTGTTCAATTGTTAAACTCTCCACACACCACTGAGCACAGACTGACAAAACTGATGTGTTGGTTTTATATTCGCACATTTCTACTCAGAATTACAATACACAGAAAATTTTAGAAATTATTAACACCAAATCTGTGTCTAAGCACCTTTAGGTCTAGATTTATTTACCATATAATGTAAAGCTTACGTTAAAATCCCTGTCTCAATATCCAAATCATGTTTAATTACGGCTTTCTTATCCATGAAGCAATCAGCGCTGTCAAACCCAGTCCTCATTAGCTGTCGGCTGTGTCTCTCCATCAGGGGACTGGCTTTTTCCTTTAAAATGAATACAATAATTAAGTGATGGGAAAAAAGAGCAAACAAGTTTCCAATTTTCATAGAATTCATGACCTTTTCATGCTTGCAAAATATTTATTTAAATAAACATCATCAACATCATCATTAGTAGTAAGTAGTGACTGCTCTTAGCTAAGAACCTGGCACTAGAGTTGAAAATTATGGGTCTTTTGGATGAGACCTCAAACCAAGGCCCCATGTCACGGTAGGCATTGGCACGATATTTAAAAGCAATAAGTGCCAAGTAGGTTTAACATTGAAACACTTCAAGCCTCTATATGAGTGAATAATTATTGAATGGGATGTAAAACAACTATCAATCTATCAAATATTAGTATTTGGTAGTTGTTCCTCCTCGGTGAAAAAAGATAACTTTGAAAGTCTAATTCAGTGTTTGTATTGCCTAAAAGGTGATTGCACTAATGTACTATATTGTAATGCAACGAGCAATGAGCCTGGCTAAAAATGACATAATTTGCAATTACCAAAGTAACCCAATTTATGTAAATATAAAAAAAAATACCAATATATTTCATCATCAAGAAATGTTGTGATCATAGCTTTCTGTTTCAAACTTCACTAGAGGTTCTGTGAGCTTTAAATCTCTCACTGTGGACCTATCCATGCAACACATGTGGATCGTGAATTGAACATATTCAAATTTACTACTGTAGATCACTTAATTTTCGCGACACCTTATTTTCGCGAGAAAGTCATTGACTCTTTATTAGCGAGACAAAATTTTCACGAATTGTGGTCATTGCTTTATATAATCTTAAGGAATTCTATTATACGCGAGAATGAAATTTTCGCGAGTAACCATTCTCGCATAATTACGCGAAAATAAAGTTCTCGCGAATAAAAAGTGGTTTACAGTACCTGAGGATACTTCCATATCCATGTTTGCAGTTGTTAAGAAGTTCTTAGAAAGAAGAATATTTTTAGCTAATATATTCCTATGCAAAAGTAAGAAATCTCAAGTTGGCCCCACCCAAACGCTGGGGAGATATGATTTGAACAAACGTGAATATAAGCTATCTGAGAATGCTTCTTTATAAAAATGATTAATCATGGCTTTGCAGTTCTTGAGTACAAAAATCTTAAAGATTTTTTTCCCAAATATTCCTACGTACACATTTTGATCCCCCATTTTAGCCCTACCCAACCCCCTGAGATCAAGATTTGAATAAACTTGAATCTAGACTATCTGACGAAGGTTTCATATAAGTTTGAACTTTTTGGTCTAGTGGTCTTTTGGGAAGAGGTATTAAAAGATGCCATCAAATTTTAAACTCTTAATTATCTCCCCTCAAAAGAGAATGTGGCACTTCATGTGAACAAACTTGAATGCCCTTCATTATAGGATGTTTTGTAGCAATTGGTTGAAATAAGCTCAGCAGTTCTGGAGAAGTTGAAAATGTGATAAGTTTACAGATGGACTGACAGTGGACAAAATGCAATCAAAAAAGTTGACTTAGCTTTTAGCCAAGATGATATTCATACAGATTTTAAATATCTGTAAGGAAAGAAAAATAAACCAGACAGGATTCGTATACCCTCATGGATATCCTGGTAATGGTGTCCTTGACATGGGAGGAAACCTCTTTTGGGACAGCTGATGCATCAAATGGAATGATAACCTGTACTGGATTACTGCTGGCCAGCACATCAAACAGGGGCTATAAAATATACACACAGTTCCTCAGTCTGGAGACTAAATGACAAATGACTAACAATTAACAATGAATTGAATTCTTTCAAATGAAAAGCAGACAAACATACTATAGAAATGAAAGTCACAATCAAATACATGTTCTTAATTTTTAAAAAAGAAACCATCTTGCTTCATTTTTCATGACTTCCTAAATTTTCTGATGAATAAAAACCTATATTTTCTCCTTTTTAATTCATTCTTTGAACCTAAATTCAATCAACATTATTATGCCTATCAGTTACATCAGAATGAGAGAATTCCAAACCCTTGGTCATGGAGAAATTTTGCAGAAAGGAAAAAATAATTTCTTTCTCTCTCTCTTGAAAAAAAAATAAGAATAAAGCTGAACTTTGGTATCTTTGGTATCTTGAACATGGCTTTCTTGAATACAATGGGTATGTTGGTTAGTTGGAAGTCGTCAATATGTTTTATATTGGAGTACATGTATTTTACCCTGAATATCTCTCAACCTTATCTTTAATGTTTTTTATTTATCCCATAGAGTTTGAGATGATGAGATTTGACTGTTGAGAATCAACAGAATCTAACTTCGGACTTACATTGTTTATGCTGACTTCATTAATGTTCAGTTTCCAGTCGTCCTCAAACTTGACCTGGGGGTAGTGATGAAGCCCCTCGCTGGCAGTCACACTCCCCCCACTCAGGGAGCTAGCCAGACTCTGCTTGACACTGGGGTGGGGAACAATTAGGACATTTCCTGTCTTGTTATCCGAGGTATCTGTACAAAGAAACAAAAGTGAAAACTTTATCTTATGACAATGGATTTACACATGGATAAGATTTTAGCATACTTAGTTCTTTGATTAACAGCAGCCTTGCATTTTCACAAATGACAATTTCTCCTATTCTTCCCATGTTAAACTTTGATATTTATAAATACATAATTGGTTACAAAGCAATTGCTTCATCTCGAGTCTTTCCATCAGAGGTTGGAAAAACAACCTCGAATGTATTAACATCACTGGATGTTAAAATTTTATACATTTCCTGTTTATTCAAATATAGAAAAGACAGAGTTAAAAGTCCCTTCTATAGTATATTTTAAGTAATATCTTTACATTCAATTAAGATAAACTCCATACTCCAGAGATAAAAGGTCTTCCAACATTTATTTCAAAGTTTGTGAAAAGGTGGGCTGTCTTGGTGTCTACGTAATACTTTCAAGGTTGTTATTCCGCTAGTCGCATACCAACAAAGGTTACATGAAATTTATAACTCACCTCCTATGTGTGGGAAAACAGGTGTTCCAACTATAATTTTTCTTTTGAGTGTAGTAATATATCTGAGTGATATGTCCCTGACTGATATTCTACATAGTCCCTCCTTCAGTTCCTCATTCAGAAGTGATACTCCAACATCAGTGATTTTCTCACAGGAGTCTAGGTTGATCTATAACAAACATTAAATAATTCTGATAAAAAATATATCAAATTGTTAACTTTGTATTGCAAGCTTAACTAAAGAATACTTACAATATTTCTTAACTCCACGAAAAAAAATTTTTTTACAGAAATCTATAAGATAACCTAACAGCATGTGTAACAAAATTTATTTTGTGTCAAAAAGGTTCAGAAGTCCCCAAACAGAAGCTTAATTGATTGGCAACTCTGTATGGTATACCCAGTTACAAACTTGAAATTGACATTTCCAATTAGATTTCTCAGAAGCAAAGTGCTCAATTTCATTTCAATTCCTTTTATTAAAATATGAGAAGTTAAAGAGACCACTCCGATATTTCATTTGTATCACCATACAAAGTTAAAAAAAAAATCTTGAGATTTTAAAATAGAGACTTGCAGTTTAAGAAGTATTTTATTCAAAATATACAGAAAAGTATACAGTGAATATGGATTGAACAGCAGGCCAATGGCCTATATTAGTTCTTTCCATTTGAAATAGAGACTTACAGAATTGACGGGGGCTCCAGCTATCACCTCAGCTAATGAATTAATACAGACTTACAGAATTGACGGGGGCTCCAGCTATCACCTCAGCTAATGAATTAACACAGACTTACAGAACTGACGGGGACTACATTTAAGCATAATTAAATCTGATACTTATTTGAAAAAGACCATAAATAAAAAAACCCACGGGTGATCTCGTCTATACTTATCACCCGTGGGGCTCCTGCTATCACCTCAGCTAATGAATTAATACAGACTGACGGGGGCTCCAGCTATCACCTCAGCTAATGAATTAATACAGACTTACAGAGTTGACAGGGGCTCCAGCTATCACCTCTGCTAATGAATTAATACAGACCAATGGGGGCTACTGCTACCACCTCTGCTAATGAATTAATACAGACTGACGGGGCTCCAGCTATCACCTCAGCTAATGAATTACCACAGACTTACAGAATTGACGTGGGCTCCTGCTATCACCTCAGCTAATGAATTAACACAGACTTACAGACCTGACAGGGGCTCCTGCTATCACCTCTGCTAATGAATTAACACAGACATACAGAATTGATGTGGGCTCCTGCTATCACCTTAGCTAATGAATTACCACAGACTTACAGAACTGACAGGGGCTCCTGGTAACACCTCTGCTAATGAATTAACACAGACTTACAGACCTGACAGGGGCTCCTGCTATCACCTCTGCTAATGAATTAACACAGACATACAGAATTGATGTGGGCTCCTGCTATCACCTTAGCTAATGAATTACCACAGACTTACAGAACTGACAGGGGCTCCTGATAACACCTCTGCTAATAAATTAACACAGACTTACAGAACTGACAGGGGCTCCTGCTATCACCTCTGCTAATGAATTAACACAGACATACAGAATTGATGTGGGCTCCTGCTATCACCTTAGCTAATGAATTACCACAGACTTACAGAACTGACAGGGGCTCCTGATAACACCTCTGCTAATAAATTAACACAGACTTACAGAACTGACAGGGGCTCCTGCTATCACCTCAGCTAACCACTTCATGCCATGATCAGTTAACAGGTCACATCCTGACAAGTTCACAGTCTTCAAATTCTTTAAAGTGGTTCCCTGAAAAAGGAGTGAAATAATATACTGTAGATCGTTTAATTTTCGCGACACCTTATTTCCGCGAGATAGTCGCTGACTCTTTATTAGCGAGACAACATTTTCATGAATTGTGGTCATTGCTCTATATAATCTAAAGGAATTATATACGCGAGAATGAAAATTTCGCGAGCATACCGTCTCACGTAATTACGCGAAAATGAAGTTCTCGCAGATAAAAAGTGATTTACAGTAGATCTATACCTTTGCTTATACTTCATTTTTAAGTACAATTTGAATGATTTAAGATCAAATTCAATTTTATAACCAAGACATTGTACTTTAAGTATCCATACTGTAAATTGCTGCATTCAAATATAGATGAATCCTGATACTTAATTAATTCACAGGAGACAGTTTGAACATCTCCTGCTTAAAACGATAATGTTTACTACTGGAGGTGCAATAAAGATACGCTTGTTTAGATTATAAGTACAATCATAAGTCTTTCAAAAATAATGATTCAGTGCTTCATTAGGATCACTATCTGAGAGTCATGAGTAAATCAAATAAAAAACATTCCGTTCCTGATTCAGCAAATCTTACTAAATGTTTGGAGACGGTGCCAGACAACTCACCGAAAGACACGGGTCACCAACAAAAGTTAAATTCACCAATGCGTGCAAATTTGCAGAATGGACAATTCACCAACAATATTGTCTGTGAGTAGAAATTCATATAATAATTGGTAGATGTTGTGTTAAGTATTCATATATAATAAACATGATCAAAGATGTATAAAAAAAAACATGTTTTTCTTGGGGTTTTTTTGTATATCCACCATTGTTGGTCTAGCGCATACAGATTGCTTCTCGTGAATCCGAGCAAGGTCATAGGTCGGCAATATTGAGGGAAGTTTTTGATTAAATGAAAAAAAGATTTGAAATGAATAAAAACGTTTATTCACATAAATGATTTTCTCTAAATATTTGTTAAATTTCCCTGTTTTATATATTCGGTCGACGATGTGTCTGTCGGTGACCCTTTTTTCTGTGACTTGTCGTATCGGCGAGTTTGATAGTGTTGGTGAGTTGTCGTTCGATGAGTTGTCTTTCACGGCTATGGCACACTTTCTTATATGTAAGACTAGGACAATGATTTACCTTTGTATGGTCACGTATCACTTTGATCACCGCATCTGTGCAGTAGCCATTGCTACTGAAATTTATATCTGTCACTTCATCTAGCTTCAACTCTGCCAAGTTTTCCTGTTTAAAAAGCAAATGTCATGAAATTTTAACATGCCATATATAGGAAGAGCTATAAATAAGAATAGTTACCTCCAAATCTAACAGATAATTAGAAACAGGAGGACAATGAAATCACTATTACTCAGAAAGACTTATTGCTTAAAAATCTAATGGAAAGGTGTATGTTCCACAATAAAAAGAAAATTCCTTGATATTTTTCTGACTGACCTTGAACTTGTGTAGGGGTATCTGTCCTCTGAGGACAGACTCCTCCCGATCGTACGTTATCTCAGTCATCTCGCTAGGTCCTCATGTCCTCACACTTCTGTAAAGGAAAAACACTACGATACATTCACAATGAGATGCCTCTTTAATTCTAATTACAGACTGTACTTCTATTTAGGGAAAACACTACGATACAGTCACATTCTTAATTATGTCTCTTTAATTCTAATTACTTAACATGTTTTGGTATTTAAATTCAATCACATATTCAATTTTGTTATTCAAAACACTCAAATGATTTCTGCCACTAATTTGGAAATGTAATTCTTATAAAAGGATTTTAATAGTTGGTGCTGACTTCTGCTTAGAAAATCTTGACCCTGTACATAATACATCTACAAAAGCTGCATGCATTGATTTGAAGTCATGCATCAATGGCACAAAAAATAAATTAAAAAATACATAAAAAATTTCAGCTAATTAAAGAACTTTTGATGAGACATGAGTCTAATTATTTGTCAGCTGAGATCCATGTAGTTCCTTTTACTAACATGCCCCCCCCCTCCCCTTTCATTATAAACCACTGTGATATAGATCTAAATATAAAACCCCTATCTTAGGTCTTTGAACCTGGACAACAAGATATTGTATCAAATCATTAAATGAACAAACTTTATATGATTATATAATGGTTGCCCTGTATGAGTTTTTTTTCTCTTTATTGCTATGTATAAAACACTGGACAACAGCTCAACAGCTCCCTGGGTCCTGCATGGTTTCAAGAAATTTGAAAAATATATTTCAAAAAATATTACAAAAAAAATATTAGAAACCTAGCTAGCTTACATTTAATTTTTGACTCAGATTTCAATTAATATACCAGGTACATAAGGGATCACAAATTCTTCTTTTAAATATCTTATTTACTTTCGAAAAGGTTTAATCCTTTTTGCTCGTAGCACATCTAAAAACCCTTAACCAAGGACTAAGTACAATTCAAGTTAATAATTACATCTTGGTTTTGATATGAATAGAAGTAGAAAATGTCAGAGATTTTAAGATGACACACAAAACTGATAATTATAACTGCATGTCGCTGTAATGTGTGTACATTGCTGTTGTTATTTGATCATTACTCATGACTCCATGCACATAATTTTAAACTTATTTAGGCCCATGGTTCTTATCTGAAAATTAGCTAGGTAACTGACAAATTTTCTAGAACTGAAATAATTTTAGTCAAACAAATTCATATTTTTACCAGGTATATCACTTGTCAGCTTCTTAGAAAATTCTGGCAGAACCTATCACTTCAAAACTATTTAACATAATTCTATTTTTATGACATATTTTAAATTAAACAAATGAAAAAAAAACTGTCAAAAAAATTCACAGATATCAGTCTCAATTTATATTTTTAGAACAAATTTTACACCTTCTTTAATCAAACTTTGCCGAGAAATGAAGAAACACATGTATATTAAAGATGTCAAGATAAAGTTTACACCAATTTTTGCCTCAAAATCATATATATTTTGACCAATATTTTAAAATTTCCATCACTGACCCCATTATTTTAAAGTACTCAGTACTTGCAGGGACCTATATACTAACGGGATAGGCAACTCCTTCCTCGCCATGTTTATCTACCCAAAACATCACGCACAACACTACAAGTTTTTCAATTTACGTTTATTCCCAGTAAACAGGATGTTTTCTGATTATTATCATTTATTCCTTTTCTGTATTGGAATTGATTTATTAATAAATTTTAAAGCATAATAATATTATAATTTAAATATAAAGAAAATAAACATCGAAATCGGCGATTTCTCGCAAATATGGCCGATCGGGGCATGTGCTGATTTTGCATAAAACAAAATTACTACTAAGATAAGGAGTATAATACAAATCTTGAATGATTTTTTGACAGACATTTTAAGGTTTTGATCTCAAATATGCGATAGCTTTAGAGATATAATTAATTAAAGTTGACTTACGAAATCCTGCGACTTACAAGATATTGCGAGACTTGCGGTAGTTGCCTATCCTGTTAGTATATAGGTTCCTGGTACTTGTGACTAATCAGGACTTAACTTGTAAAAAGTTTGATACAAGAAAAGATGTTATTGCCTAATTAGATTTTCAATACCCCAAGTATGTTATTTTTTAGTGCAAAAAGGTCACACAATAATTTACATGCATTAATTTGCAATATTTGTTCAATGATAAATATTAATCAAACTATTTTACATAAAATAAGATTATAATCATTATAGCCAATGTTACATCTAATAGATTATGATAAATGTTAAGTGATTAATACTAGCTAGTAAAAAGAATTAAAATTTAAGTGCAAAAAGGTCAACTCAGTTGTACAGTAGCTAAGTAAGATGCACACTGACCCCTATTTTCTCTACAATTTTGAGTCATACTAAATGAGTACTTTCCAAAATATACTTCTCAAAAAATTCTTGATATAACAAATTTCACAAGTGGCACTTCACTAAAATTTGCCTCTCCCATATACCATACAATTAAGGCCTACTGTGATCCCATTTTCATCCAAATTAAGGAACAAGATTTAAACAAACTTAAATGTACACCACATGAATTTTTTTTAACTTCTTTTTCTTTTATAGTCTATCTGCTTTTCACAGAAAAAATGTACACTTTGGCATTTGGCTGGGATGTTCCAACTAATTTCACTGATTTAAAAGTCACATAAAAAATTAATTCTTTTACCATAATCATAATGATCATAAAATTTGATTGTTGCATAGCAGCATAGCAGAGAAGTGTCTATCATATCATCATAAAATTAAACACAACATAAGCCCGACAATACTGGTTTATGAAGTTTGAGGTTAGGTATTCTGAAAGTAAATAAGCCAATTTAAAGACATTTTAAATATTACACTGTTTACTCTTTAAAGTCCCCTGGCAAGATACCAAATGTTTTGTTCTAATACATGTAATTTTAGTTCAGACATATCCTGTGGATTCTTAAACAAAAATAAACGTTTTTTCTACCTCAAAATATCATTCATATTTAAGGAAACAATATACATGTAGCATGAAAATGCACCATAGCTTTTTTCAGCGCTAGAAAGTAAATGTAGATATATGAAAGATTTACTATACATAAACATTAAATTCGATCAAGGCAGTATAAATTCAAGTTTTCATTTTTCTATGTTATATTTAAGGTACGCAGTATGGCAAAGATTGATAAAAATAAAATAAAATAACTACCACTGACAACAGAAACCCTTAACCCTGTCCTCGATCACCATAATATCATTCATAATTTTGATGGCTTCCATAGATACAATGCAACTTCCGGTGTAAATAATTTTTAAAGTAAATAGCTAAGAAACTAATTACCAAAGTAAATACGTGTGAACTTCGGAGCACAAAGACGAAAAACGTCTAAGAAACATTGAACAAACCTTCTTACATATTTATCGGACGCTATTCAGCTTCAAATTTTGTTATACACTCTGCAGCCCACCTGTTCCTGAAATTCCACAAAAGTGGAATTCCATACCCGATCAGAAAGCAGATTAAGGGGGGGGGGTGTAGATGATATTTTCTTTTACATATCAAAACATTTCAAAAACAATTATTTCAAAAGGTTTTATATTAATTTTTATAATACTTTTTAAAATAAAAAAAAAATGAAAAAGAAAATAAGTGAATAAAGAGGGTCTTTGTTTCTTTTCCTATATGAAATTGGAAGACAAACTATAAAAACTGCCACAATTTAAGATTAAGCCATAGGGGGAAAACACTATTAATAAACCTTAATCATCAAGCAGGGAGCTGACATATATACACATTATTTTTATGCATACAAGTTGTCAACAGTTAACTTAATTATAATTCACACAAAAGCTGAAGTGTGATTTTAATAATAATCATCAAGAGTGGAAGAAAAAACTTCAGCTCCATAGCTCAAAGCGTTTGACCATTGCGAACTGTTTGGTTCTTAGGTTTGACAAAACGCATGTTGTTCTGGAACCTTGTCTAGAGTGCAGAAATCAATGCTTCCCTTACAGTTTTTCAGTTTTGACAATTGTAGGTTTCTCATTCAAGTTTCATTGGTCAACCATTCATTTTAAAACTGGTTATAATTTTTCTTAGCTGCAGAACTGTAGCTCTCTGCTTGAGAAAATTTGGACATAGCTGAGAGCTACAGATCCAAGTGTTGCATAAACCTTTGATGTATCCTGCCTGGCACCAATTTTTTGTCTCTCAATTCAGGTATTATTTCTTGTATATAATGCTTGCTTAAGCATTAAAAAATGGTCTCCAATAATTAACCATACATTAAACTCGTTCTCCTGATATTTCATTTACCTTTCAATTGTTTGAAAAGGCTGTTTGTGATAAGTGACCTCCAAAAGGAAATCTTTTAAACCAACATTCCAAAACCATAAAGGACTGTTTCAGACCGTTGAAAGGTAAACAATCAATAATAGGAGTATAAAAATAAATGACTAAGTATTTGATGCCATTCTAAAAACCAAAAAAGCATAAAATACAAAAAAATATAATACCTGAAGTGAGTGACAAATAATCAGCAGCATAAATCAAACTTTTTACAACACTTGAATCTGTAGCTATCTGCTTTATCTTCCGAATTTTCTCAAGCAGAGAGCTACAGTTCTGCAGCTAAATTTTTCTTATCTATTTGAATGTAACAAATTAACAGACAAAAGAAAATGGCATAAGATTATACAGCCTGTTAATACTCAATCAGATAGACAAATATCAAATGTAAATGCTTAACACTTTATTTAAAAATCTTCATATAAATAACAACAGAGGTATAAGTCTTCATCTTTTTGTTTTCTGTCTCTTTAGTAAAGAATTCCGTAATGCAATCTGTAAGGAAAAAAAAGTTATCACAAATACAATACAGTTTATGATTCAAATATCTAATACAAGATCTACTTTCTAAGTTAAAATATATCTACTAGAGTATTTTAATCTGTAATACAACACAAGAGAGAAAGCTTATGATTGCATGATTGTATCATTTCCTTGACATGAAGGTTTTCAAGAAAGGATTTCTGTTCTATTGTAGCAAAAAAAATGCCACATTATTTAGCTTATACAATATTAATTTGATTTTTCAGGAAAATACATACATGTATATAGTGTGAGTACAATACACTTAGTGATAGATACCGTATAATCCCTATTACCCGCCCCGGGCACTTAGAAAATTGCAAAAGGGGGGGCGGTTATTTTAGTACATGTATTCTCTTTATAATATTTAATGTCATATTTTAACTCCAAGAAATTTTTGAAAAAAAAAACTAAATTTAAAGAACCACAAAAATAATGTTTAACTTTTATACTTAAAGTGAAGATAATCCACCTAAATTAAGCTAAATGATTCATTTTCCACTGAGATATTGGGTAATAAACAAGTTTCATTTTCACTTTCTTCAATTTTTGCAGACTTTTCATATGATTCTAGATGATTTTAATCAATGTACAGGGGACCCTTATTTCCTGACAATTGAAAAAGATCTAAGGCGGCGCTCAATAGGGATTATACTGTATACTTGATTGAATTGTTTTTTGTCGATGGCACTACAGAGAATAAAATGCAAGATGTTTACAGTACATTTGTTCTTTACCTTAGAAGTAAGTACAATTACCCACCTGTTTATCACGGAATGATCTTTTGACCTTTTTCTTCTGTACTTTGTGTTTTATCATCATAAATGCCTTATTCTTCTTCTTGTTTTTATTGGTTGTGCTGGCATGAGGATTCATTTTTTCATGATTTTTTCCAAACTTTTCCCTTCCTTCTCTTCCAGCCTGTTTAAAAATTTAGAAATAAAAAATTGTACTTCTCTCTCAGCTTTCAAACATTATTTGAAAACAATACAGGTCAGAAGTGAAAAATTCTCAAACAAATTTAATTCTCTTGAAAATATTATTATCTGTATTATTCATAACTCAAAACTAGGGAGTTATTGCTATTCTCTCTGTATTAACTGAGAATTTTTGCTACACTCTCTATAATTTGGAGCTATAACTATTTCCTCTATATTTGAGAGTTGTTACTATTCTTTACTGAAGCTATTACTTCACTCTCTATAATAGGGAGTTATTGCTATACCTGCTATAAGCGGAAATTATTCCAATAACTTACCATAACTGTTGATAATCTGCTCTCTTTGTCGTGAGCTCTCTTCTTGTGGATGTTTTCAATTGTAGATAAAGTTAGCAAACTGAAAGAAAGACAAAGTTCTGCTCAGTAAAACCATTTAACATAACCTGGTTAACATCTGTAAAGTTGTCTTTAAAAAAAGCAATGCTTTCAATTTGATGGAAGAAATTCTTATGATCTTTAAAATTATTCTTTAAAAAATTTTGACAGTCTTAGATCTATCAAAAAACAGAGGAACCCATTTCAAGATATTAATAAAAAATAAATGTCATCAAAACAATATTTCTCCAATAAAGCACAGTGTAAAATATAACAAAAAAATTGAGCAAGAAGATCTTCTGCCTCGTTCCCCCTTACCCTCCCTCCTCCTCCTCTTCCTCCCGTTTTCTCTTCCCTCTTCTTCCCTCCACCTCCTTCAATGCCTGCCTCTTCTGAATCCTCTCAAATTCAACTGTTGTAAGAATGCGACTACTAGACACACTCTGGGCCTTCTTTAATTTTTCCTCTTTACTTATCTGAGGTTCTTCTTCCTGAAAAATGTTAAATTTATCAGCTGATTCTCGGTCAAATCATGAACAGGTACCCCTTCCTTTCCCTGTCCTTGTGATCAAGCTTTGATATTGGTGCAAACGAATAATGACTTTAATAATGCAATATCCTTGCACACTACACTTTATAAATATTTAGAATTATTCTTCAATTCATGTTTACTGGTACTCTAGAAGCATGAAATAATAGAGAATTGGGAAGCCCACCTGTGTTTCCTCGTCTGACGAGTGATGAACGTCTATCCATTCCCCCTCGCTATCCGACTCATCACTGCAGGACTCCCAATCATCTGAAACATATACAAAATTTAATTTATATTATAATGGAACAAAATGGAGAAATCCCTCAGAAGACAGGATAAATCTAAGAAGAAGGATTTTAACATGATCCGACTTCAATCTAATGGATGACCAATTAATCATATTGACAGATATATCCACTAGTAAATATATCTCACATGATTTAATATCATTTAAGTTGGAGACAATGTAATTGTGGGTGTAAGGAGAGTTCCAATAGTGCATAGTTGTCTAACTGTTTTTTTTTATGGATTATTCCCCTCCTGTGAAAATCTAAGTATTCTCTCTCTCTCTTTCTCTCACTCTCTTTACCTTTTTCCTTTGACTCCTCTTTTTGTTCTTCCTCTTCTGGTAGAATTTCTGCCCCTGGGATAAAATCTTTAGCTAAATTTCCTCCATATACCAGAGTGTCTGCCTCAGCCATGGCCTCTGTCGGTTTTCCCTGGTAAATGTATGATTTAAAAATTATAAATCAGCATGATTAATATTATCAGAGGATCTATTTTGATGTAATTGATTGACCTTGACCTTATAACAATTGAATCAAGGTCAAATATTTTGATGACATGTACCCTACTCCATACCACAAATGCATGTTCCAAGTCTGAAAATTAATGTCAAAGAGTTCTTATGTTATTGTCTAATCAGGTTTTTTTTCTATTTGACATTGAAGTAAGAAAGAAGTCAAGGTAAATAGAAGGTAAAAATTCTAGTGCACTTCATCGTAAACTATTTTCAGAAACTCCAGTACTTACCTTGTCTTTTTTACTGAGAAGATCAGGTTTCACTTTTCTATAGAGTTGTAATAGGGCCCTTGAGCTCATCATCACACCTAGTAAAAAGAAAAAGTGGTGGGGTAGTCCTTACCATATTTGGTCATAATGTCTACAAAAGGAAACCAAACATAAAGAAAAAATATTCAAAGTGTACGGACTGAGTTAGAGTTATCACCCATGTTTGTTTTCCTACATTGCTAATCTATCGAACATAAAAAAAATACATGCAGTTATACTTGTATTACAGTTTCCCTTTGTCTCTGGCTTCTACAAATGGACATTTTATCTTTTGTCTCTTTATTCTTTTACCTTTGTCTCTGTGTGATTTGTACTGTACTAAATCTCCCAGTAAATCTGCTGACATGGCCAGGGGACATCGAGCACAAATTTCCTTCACTGCATTCAGTCTGAAAGTAAAACAACCTGCTGAAGTATTGTATAAACAAAAATATAATTGCAGAGATACCTATGTCATTTTTGTACAGAGTTACAATTGCATTAATGCTTTTTTTTTTATCCCTTTATAATCCTACCAGAAACTAGAACTGTCCAATAGGGACAAATACCCCCCGCTGGGTTTTTCAGAGAAGGTGCCAATTCAAAAATACTTTATGGATCTAGAGATGTTCACAATTTACTTAAAATAAAGTGCCACGCCACAGCATGATAGGCCCGTCAAAATATTACACAATTATCTTTAACAGTTTAACTGCAAGAAAAAACCTTGATTTTAAGATTTCCAATTTTTCCATTTTTAAAAGAAATATTTCTTTATCCATCCCCTGTGCTGTAGACATAATTAAAACAAATATTACATAACTGACAGATTTCTATACTGTTTGTGTTAGACTTTGTCAAATGCCGGCCATCATAATAAACAATATCAAATTAGTCTTAACAACTTAATCTATGTCAAATTAATTTTGAAAAGAAAGGCTGACCATCAAATGACATTTGCTATGACCAGCAGACTTCTTCTGTTTAATCCCCAAAGACAGATAAGGCAGCGCTAGATCAGATAGCCTTCCTACATTGAACTCATTAATTAATCTTTGACTGGATGCTTTTCTACTCATTACTCCCTAAATATTAATGGATCTGCACTTTTTATCCTAAAACACTTTTAAAACATATAAAATACTCTTTTTAGAGTTAATGCCAGACAGGTTTTAAATTTAATTCATATGCACATGCTGATTCAACCCCATCCCATAAAATTAGTTTTTAATTAATTAATATTATATAATGTCAGATTATTAGTTTATTATGCAATATCAAATAAGTTTTAATTACTTTTTATCAAATTCATTTTAAAACTTAGCTAAGCCACCAAGAGCTATTTTTAATCTAACAGCTAGGCTGGCTGTCCATTTGCCCAATACCCAAGGGATAACACCAAACCTCCTCACACTAAACCCATTAATTTCTCTCTAATTTGACATGCAACTTTCTATATCAAAATTCTTCCTGACCAGTGTTATATTATGCCCATGGGACAAACTGAATTCCTCTCATTAAACACTGAAATTTGTTTAAGATTGCTGTAAAGTATATGATGAAAATATATATATAAGTTTTTACTTGATTTAATACTTTTTAATAAGGATACAACTCTAGTTTTTACATTTTTAGGATTATGAAATTTAAAATTCAAAAAACTTAAATTTTTAAAAAATTTCACTAAAATCAAAGGTCACAGTGACCTTGAAATAGGTGACACACCTTCTACCTAAGATGTATACTTTTGCCAAGTTTGATAGCTCTAGGTCTAATAGTTTTCTAGTTCTCTCTCTCTTTCTTCCATCTCTTAGCATCTTTATTAAAGGTCAGAGCTACCTACTTTTGGTGCGCGACACACCGTCTACCCAAGAAGTATCAGTTGACAAAGTTTGATAATCCTAGGCCTAATAGTATTGAAGTTATGAGCCGGACACGAATGGATGGCCTCAGTCGGACGGACGGACATGAAGCCTATAACATAATACGTCCCGTCTTAAGACGGGCGTACAAAAATTTGCAATGAAATATGATTGCTCATCATGTTTCTTAATGAATGAAAGGGAGGTGCAACCAAATGAAACATCAATACTAATACATTGTAATTCCATTGTAACATTTTTTTTTTTTTTTTTCATTTAATTTTTCTTCATTTATACTGCATTAAAAAATATATTGCAATCATGTGTTATGTCACTCTGCAAACTGATTGTTGAAAAAAAAAACCATTATACAAAATCAAATTAATCTTGATATATCAATTTGAAATGCATTTTGAAAATAAAGAACTGGTCATCCAGTAATGAAGTGTTTTGAAACAATAAATTACAATTAAGAGAATAAGAGAAGAGAGATCTTTAATTCTTGTGCTTTATTCCCTGAAGATTTGATAACACACACACTTGATAAGATATATGCCTAAACAACTTCCAACACCAAACTCATTAATTTATCTTTAACTGGATGCATGTCCAGTCATTATTCCAAGAGACAAATGAAATTACATTATCTTCTGTGCAAAGTAAAAACTGTTTTTAACACTTGATGTTTCTTTTTTTAAAGTTTTTATGAGTAATTTTAAGCTGTAGTTCACGTTTTTGTACAGATATTCTAGATTCTATGTCTCAAACCTTATACATGAGCCCAAAATGAACAAGTCAATTAAAATTTTAAAAAACCTGTAAAATGCAGAAAAATGAACAAAAAGAGTTGAAAATTCCTGGTGCACAACTTCATATGGTGAATAATAATTGAACAAATTTTCTGTGTGATCCTTGCAATAGTTTCTGAGAAACGGTCCCAAAACCCCAAAATAAAAATGAAAAAACACCTGTAAAATTCAAAATAATAATCCAATCAAGATGAAAAATATCAACAACTTCATATGGTGAATAATATGTGTACAAATTTTCAAAAATCCTTCCAATAGTTTCTGAGTAATGGTCCTATGTCATTTTTGACAGACAGAGTTACAATTGCATTAATGCTTTTTTTTTATCCCTTTATAATCCTACCAGAAATTACATACTCTGATTAATAAATGTATATCTAAGAATCTCAGCTTACCCAACAGCCATCACTTCTCCTGAATTTCTGTCAGTGATGAAATTATTTGCAACTGTTTTCAAAACACCTTCAATCACCTAAAAAAATATTCAAGTAACAAAAAATGTCTTATAGTTGATGTTACAGGATATAAAAATTATAACAGTTTTGCGAGTTTGGAACATTTAATACTGTAACTGAAAGTGACCAAAAGTCAAAAACTTACATCAGGTGGAACAAGTTCATGGCTGGATTGAGCAGCGTACAGAAGTATTTTTGTTACCTCTGAAAAGAAAGATAATAAACTGCAATCACCCTGTTCTTTAACTTAGCCAACTCTGAAATTGAGGTGAATGCCATTTTTGTGTATAGTCAAGTGTGTCATGGAAAAATGTAAACAATTCAGTTCAAATTTAGTATCCAACTGAGCCATTCAGGTAGAAAATACTTCTTTATATAGTATTCTCAGACTTCACTAGTCTATTCAAAATCTGCATTTTATAAAAAAAAAAAATATTTACTTTACTTAAATAAAATTATTATACCTCTCTGGTGGGGCTGCAAGAAGCGTTGGACAAATGGGTAGAAATTCAACACCAAAAGCTGAAAATTCAGATATAGAATTAGTATTTGATGGTTGAAGTTATTTTTAAAAAAAATAAAACTAAAGTGACACACGAAAAAAAATGTCTACCTGGTGTATTCCAATCAAGCGTGACGTCAAATCCATCATCATCAACTTGACTTCGAACCTCTCTGTTGTTTTCTCCAGCTGATTAAACAACCTCTCACACATACCTAATCATTTCAAGATTTACATTTACTTTCTGTTTTGGGTGTCCTTAAATAACACTTTTACAAAATGCTTTTTTCCTTTAGTAATTGTTTATTACAGTACCTTAATCAAAGGTAGAAATAACAGTTAATACTGATACTTTACCTTGTGGGTCGTGAATGAGATGCAGAGCTGAATTATTGAAAACCTCAGCAGTTTTCTTTTTCTTCTTGTGTTTCTGTATCATAGAATGTATAACTCTTATTCTTCATTTGTAATTGTATGCATGTGTTGTGTACACCTAGTATATGAATACAGGTAATAGAAATAATAGATACGATTAAAAGCTAATGCAATTTTATACAGGTATAGGAACAATTTGAAAGTACATTGTACTATACTATACATGTACTTAGGACTGTCATCTGAAAATGTTGTGAAGCCAGTATTTTGTATACTTAAAATCTCCTTCAATGTTAAGCTTAACTGAACAACTTATGATTAATATACAGTAATAAATATGCTCTCTATAAAGGAATGAAGAGAAATACTAAATCCTAAAGCCTAACCTTTAATGTCTGCAGGGCTCTGTCCAGCTTTTTCTGCCTTTTCTTTGTGTGTTTTCCCACTCTGTGTGAAAGTCGCAGTGACTTCTCAGATTTTGGTGCCTCATCCTGTAAAAAGCACATAATTCACCAATCATTAGATCCACACATCAGATTTTCATGCAAGTGATGCTCACATACTATCCTATCAACACTTGGGTAATATTCTCTCAACAAATTATGCCTAACCTGTAATTCATTAGAAGTTTGTTTACATACCTCCTCGCTGTCTGAATCCTCGTTCTCTTTTCCTTCGTGACCCAAGAAAAATTGTAGAGCTGCTACAAGCACCTGTGTTAAGACAGTATAAAACACCATAACAAAATAGGTCACTGAAATGTCTGTTAACCTGTAAACTGCATGCAAATATGGTATATGTCTTTTCCATTTTTTAAAACTAAAAGAATTGATTATAAATATTATACATAGAATACAATAAATGTAACAATGGATTTTAAATGAAAACAGGTGCCCCCTCCTGCCTTTGTACCTTTGTGACTTTGGAGAAACAACCCGTGGCAATGACATTGACTGTCTTAGCATCATTCCATACGTTTCTTCTGTACAACTCTATCATAACATCCTGAAACAATTTAAAAATTAAGTTATTCGTGTGAGTTTGATTTTTCAGGTAAAAGCTCCATGTCCTTTATAAATACCTTATTAATAGCGTATGTTGATCAAACAAGCAGTGACACTTGGAAGTCTCTGTGTCATTTTTCAAGCATTGCTTAATAACCTGGTAGTAACATGCATTAGCAGTAAAATTTGAAGAATATATCACCTACCAGTGACATTTTTGCAGCTACTGCATTGTTATCCTTCATCATAGTGTACATAAAACTTTGAAGAGTCTGAAAGAGAAGATTAAAAGTTAATACTTAATACTAGCTATCTCTATTTTTTAAAAGTAATCAATTAATCAAACTGAACATCAGTGTATATATGACTTCTTACCGAGTTTAATTTGGTATTTTTGTGTTTTTTGTTCACATTTTTAATGTCATTTACGATATAAGAGTAGAGAGTCTTCCTCAAAAGTTTATCCTGGCACCGAAAAAGTTTAAAAAATAGTTCCAGCATACTGCTTGCTTCTAGCATGTTCTTATTCCTCAAGAGAATCATAGCCTTGCAAAAAGTCTGAAATTGCAAAAAATAAAACTTTAATTTAAACAATACCTGGTGCATGTATTTTATTCACAGATGTGAAAGTGAATAGGATTGAGCAGCAGGCTTGTCTTATTATAGCCCTCTCACTTTACATTTAAATGAATTGTCATTACTCTTAAGATTTCAGCTTAAGTGAGGTAAAAAGCATAACTTAACAACCTCCTGATATTCACAATATTCTATAATTGGACACTTGTAATACTTAAATGTTTTTAATTTTAATTCCCTACCATTCTCATACTTCTATCCAATCCATCACCATGGCAACTAAGTAAATCTCTTAAGTGTTCAGGGAATTTTGACGCTTCTTCTGGGTAACAATGTGCCACCTTGATAAAGAGGAAACAATGAAATAATCATAGCTGACAATTTAACATCATAGCTGACAATTAATTGAACATTATAAATGAACTTGGCTAAAGCCTCGGCTTTTATCTTTCATACAACATTTCTCGATCGCCCTCGGAGTTATCCTGCAACATTCACGAAAATGCGGACTTTATTTCTTAAACATGATCAAATGAGACACATTCTCACATACTTTTTTCTTTCTGTTGAGTTTTTTCTGCAATCGGTCAAAAAACTGTGACATGAAACACAGATAAATAATTTCTACAATATCCTCAACAACATTTTTTTGGACTGACACATTTTACCTGAGCCATAAATAGGACCAGTTCCTCAAGTGCTTTGGAGTAAGTTGATGGTTTCAGTTGAAAAATTTGAAGATTTGATTCATAATGTCGATACTGCTGTAGAAACTAAAGAAAAATTTGAGAATAAACAAATTGATATTTCTGTAAAAAACACACTAGAGTAACAGGTTGGGCACACACCCCCAAATGGTCATTTAACCACCGTTTGGTGGTCAATCGCCCATATCGGCGTCTTTTTTACCTTCCAAATGGTGGTCTTTTTTATTCAAATCCAATTTTTATTAAAATGAAACAAAAGCGCATTTACTTCAGCAATGGAAAATTTTAATTAACATATTCCTCGCACAATTAATACAATTTAGTCAATTTTCCATGTGGAATTTCTTTGGAACTTCGTAAAAACGAAACCCACAGTTGTTTGTGACAGCCGAACTATTTGCTCAGACAATACGAAAAATTATTTTGTTGTGTATAGTTCAGTAAAAAATATATTTAAACAAGAGGTGTAAGTCTAGAGAAGTAACTTTACAAATGATCTTTCAATCTGCGTCTATATAAATCTCTATAAAATCCCGTTAAACAGGAGCTCCTCGTATCTTTTTCGTATGGTGGGCACTTATTGCTATAATTTTCATTTTTTCTACATTTGAATGTAACATTTATTCTTTATTTTCTTTTAGGATGAAGTTACGATTTCTGTGTGACCCTGTGTGACCTTTTGTGATTTAGTATGCATATCTATGATGTATCTACTATATCTATTAAA